TGGATTTTTGGACTGCTGGCTATATGAAACATACAATTTCAAGATGCACAGATGAAATGATGAATCAAGAAAATAATGAGCAGATTAATCTAGAATGAAAATAATTGTTATGATTCTGTTATGGGCCTTAAAAAAGAATACTTTGAGTAACACACTTGACTTGGAGGAATATAAGGCAATTCACTAATGAAACATTTATTTCACATGTGGACCACACAACATTTACAATCACATGGATCTGTTGCTGAGGCTTGTTGTATGCGCACTGCATCTGATTCACCTGTGAAACCTCATAATGGACGATTGAAAAGACAACACAATGTTTGTAATAAAGTGACAGATCCTCGTCTTTTATCAAAGATATACAGTTCACTATTGGTGCTGTCCTGGCCATCAGCCTTCTAGAATTGCTCTTCATCATATGGTGTCTTTTTCAAAGTTTTCTTCTATATGTATTTACTTTTTCTAGTTCTCTTGTTGCTTAAATTTTTGGCTAGTAGAACAGTTTAGCTTTGTACATATTTTTTTTGGTTTTCACACTATGGAATACTTCCTTTAGGCCGGCAAACCCCAATCCTGGCAAAGGGCTTCATTGGCCATACCAGGTTTTCAGAATTTCCTTTGGGATTAATAAAGTTCTATTGTATCTTCTTATCATATTGTATCTTCTTATTGTATCGTATCTTAACTTCTTATTGCATCTGATCGTATCGTATCTTATCTTACCATATCTTCTTATCGTATCGTATCTTATCTTCTTATTGCGTCTGATCGTATCATATCTTATCTTATCTTACCGCAACATATCTTCTTATCGTATCGTATCTTATCTCCTTATTGCATCTGATCGTATCGTATTTTATCTTATCTTACCGTAACGTATCTTCTTATTGTATCGTATCTTATCTCCTTATTGCGTCTGATCGTATCGTATCTTATCTTATCTTACCGTAATGTATCTTCTTATTGTATCGTATCTTATCTTCTGATTGTGTCTGATCGTATTGTATCTTATCTTATCTTACCGTAACGTATCTTCTTATTGTATCTTATCTTCTTATTGCATCTGATCGTATTGTATCTTATCTTATCGTAACGTATCTTCTTATCGTATCGTATCTTATCTTCTTATTGTGTCTGATCGTATTGTATCTTATCTTATCTTACCGTAACGTATCTTCTTATCGTATCGTATCTTATCTTCTTATTGCGTCTGATCGTATCGTATCTGATCTTATCTTACCGTAATGTATCTTTTTATCATATCGTATCTTATCTTCTTATTGCGTCTGATCGTATCGTATCTGATCTTATCTTACCGTAACGTATCTTCTTATCGTATCATATCTTATCTTCTTATTGTGTCTGATCGTATTGTATCTTATCTTATCGTAACGTATCTTCTTATCGTATCGTATCTTATCTTCTTATTGTGTCTGATCGTATTGTATCTTATCTTATCTTAAAGTAACGTATCTTCTTATCGTATCGTATCTTATCTTCTTATTGCGTCTGATCGTATCGTATCTGATCTTATCTTACCGTAACGTATCTTTTTATCATATCGTATCTTATCTTCTTATTGCGTCTGATCGTATCGTATCTGATCTTATCTTACCGTAACGTATCTTCTTATCGTATCATATCTTATCTTCTTATTGCGTCTGATCGTATCATATCTTATCTTATCTTACCGTAACGTATCTTCTTATTGTATCGCATCTTATCTTCTTATTGTGTCTGATCATATCGTATCTGATCTTATCCCACCGTAACGTATCTTTTTATTGTATCGTATCTTATCTTCTTATTGTGTCTGATCGTATTGTATCTTATCTTATCGTGACGTATCTTATCGTATCTTACTGTAACACGTCTTATCTTATCTTACCATATTATGTCTTAACCTTCTTATTGTGTCTTAACCTATCGTATCGTACCGTATCACATCGTATCTTATCTTATCTTATCTTATCTTTATCACATCTTATATTCTTATTGAGTCTAATTGTATTTTACCTTACCTTGTCTCATCTTATCACACTCCATTTTGAGTCAGGAAGACTAATTTTTGCTGCACAGTCCCACACACAATGTGCCTCTGCAAGTAGAAATAGCTCTAAATTAAACTATAACGTGCTGAAGTAAAACCATTATTTTGTCCTTGGGGATAGCAGCTGTTTAAGTAATAAAACGCTCTGCACTGACTGACCTATACTCTCTAAAGATTCGTTTCATTTTTTGTCTCATTAAAGTGCAACATTATGATATGTTTCAACTATAGATGTCTAAAGTGGGCTCAACTTGTGATGAAGGAGCGCATTCATCTCTAATGAGGGATTTATAAATCATGTGGTGTTATGTCTGTCATCAAGCTCCCATTTTACTGTATATGTGACTGGATTAACATTTTCTAGCTTTAAGCTTTTACTGACATGACCCTTTATGTACTGGTTATATAAAAAACTATGTAAACTTCCATTAAAGATGAAAACAAAATGAGTAGATGATTTTATGGAAGCAGCTACTGATAAGAAAAAAATGCTTTATTTGAAGGAAAAGAGGATGTACCTCACTTAACAACACATTTTAATAGCTGTTAAAGAAATGCATACGGAAACTGTGTAATTTTGAGCTGTATAGCTCAACAGTTTCCTCTAGATGAGGTAACTGAACAAGTTTACAGAAGATTATGGTCTCACATGACGTCACACTGCTTCACTTCTCAGGCTGCAACTAATGATTCATTTCATTATTGATTCATCTGCTAATTATTTTCTGTAATAATCTTGGTCCACATGTGAAATAAAGTGAACCACTGTATTACTCCTCTGAGTCTACAGCAAATTGGTGTGTTACTTTAACCATAACCGAATCCTAATTTAGAATTATTTCCATTATTGATTAATGTGCCCATTATTTTCTCAATTAATCTCTTTGTCAGTAAAATGTCAGAAAACAGTGAAACCCGCCCATGTGTATTACCATGTGATCAAGGTCTTCAGCCCATGTGTACCATAAAACTTCAATTAGTGGCTGATATTTGCTTAAATCACTGAACTCAACAGGCCTATATTTGGGACATGCCTTTCATTCCTTTTACACAAACATGTTGCTCAGCAAAGATGGGAAATATGATCAAATTGTTAACTTGAACCAGTGCGAGTATTACAACATTTATCACGCTTTTATAGAACAACTAATCTATTAATCAAGAAAATAACTGACAGATGAATGACATAAAAATAATCGTTAGTTGCTCTAGCTTTTTTCTTATCTAAGTCTTTGCCAAATGCTCTTTTCTTAATGTTTAATACTTAAAAAATACATTGATTTTTAGCTAGTGCGACAGTATTAATACAGTTCAGTTAAACGTCTGATTAATATATGAAGATTTTGAGAACATGAGAAATTGTCTCTTTGTGGGAATTTAACCAGAATTCCCAGAATGAGAGTATGCCACAAAAAATATAAAATAAATACAGTACACACAGACATTTAATATGAACACAAAACACCTTTTCTTAGATTATTAGGGGGAATAAAATTTATTTTGATGTTGCTGATAAGCCCAACATCATTTTGATGGTGCCAGGGTCAATGTTATAATGTTTGAAATGCCAGAAAAAAATATATACTCTGTGTTTCCGGTGAGTTTTTCTGCATTTAATATTACAGATTGTGTCTTAGAAAAGGAAGTGTGAGCACCTTGTTTGTGCGCCACTACTAAAACTTTTGCAATGTAATAAAGAGTATTCATGCAAACAAACAGCATGTATCCTTGATTGTTGTTGTGCTTTTCTTTACCTTCACACTTATATGAGGGTTATGTGTTTTTCAGGATTTATTGGGTTGAATCCTAAAGACGTTAATTTCAGGATTTATCACAACAAGCATTTCTTTGTTCACTCATAGTGACTGATTATGGCATCTGAAATTAGTGGTTTCATTCAGGACTGCTTTGTTTATGCTGCAGTGATCAAGGATTCCACATATTCACATGTTTTAAATTTTAATTTCTGATTACAGGTCTTTAAAGAGTTTTGTGCTTTCTTTCTTGCATCTTCTCTCCCTATCGGACTTGTTAAGTATCTTATACTGTAAAATCAATATGTGGAGTTGTTGACAGAAATTTACCATCAAACTAAGCAACCAGATTACTTGTGCATGACAAACAAATTACATTAACAAACAAACTTAATGTTAACTAAACAAAGTTCCAGTACATATCACCTGCACTGTGCCAACATGTTATGCGTCTGTGCTCCTAGGTGCAGTGGACTGAACTGATGACCTACTTCTCCTGCAAAAACCTTTCAATGTAATTGCACCAGATAGCTTAAACACGTAGGTTACAGAAGGTATAGACCTACGAAATGAGACGGCAGTGAAATTATAACCATAAACTGATGACAGTTATTTTCATAAGCTCTGCAGTTTCAGACCAAACAGATTCTGTTAAAGCTTAACTGAATCCCTCTCCAAAACCAGAGGAATCTTAAAACCAATCACAAGTTACATCAGTTACATTAGACAAGAAGATGAAGGTGTCAAGTGTCAACAAAAGAGGAAAATGGATCTGAAATGTGTCCCCACTGCCTCACATAGCATTATGTAATGTGTCACAGAAGCAATGGGACACTGAAGTTTGCAGTGGAAATGTATGTCATGGCTGTATGGCCTTTAATGCTCAACACTGCACATTAAAACATTAAATTGATATTTTGCATTGTGCATTTTCTAGTTTATCTTCTTTTTATATTTTCTGCATTAAATATGCCATGTTAGTAATGTTTTAACTTGTGGATTAACCCTAAAACAAGACTTATTATACAAATAGAAATTATGACCTTTTTCCATGTATGGAGAAGTTCTCTATTAACCCATCAAAGCAGCAAAGAAATTATGTTGTGTTAGGAGCTGATTTGCATCTCTATCTGTGTGGCCATGCTCTGTATTAATTCCACAAAAAATCTAAAAACCCTTGCAGGGATACTTACATATGAAACTCTGAGATTTACAGCATCATTTCCAGAGTTGAGTTCTTCGGTTTTTAGAAGAAGGTACAGCCAAACTCTCCGCGCAAAATCCATGTCTTCTGCTCAAGGTTGACTCTTCATCGTGGACAGAAACTCCAATCCAACAGGACAGAAAAGTGCGTCTTATCACCGCCACAATCCAAAGTTTAGCGAACAACACTGACTTCTAGACAAACTCCAGGCGTCTCATCACCTTATGTTGGACATTTTGAAACCTGCCACAGGTGCGTCGTGCAAGCTGCGCTCCTTCCTTCCATGCGAGAGGCTCTTCCGTCTTCATCCCACAGAGGAAAGGTCCCGAGCCGCCGAGCGTGGAGAGGATGCTGCCCTGTCTTCAGCAGCTGCGTAGCAGCGGGAGAGGCGCACCTCGCTTTGCCCTTGAGCAAGAGCATGAGGGAGGGAGGATGCTGCTGCTGGACCACAGGGGATTACCGCTCCTACATGTCACATATAGGAAGAGAAATGACAGTTTCACCGCATCACCACATAGCAAAACAGAAGTGAGGGAGATCAGAGGAAACTTGAACTTTGTTTACCCAGCATTCTGTGCGAGAAAGACTGATGGGTGTAGGGTGAAGTCAGGTAAAGAGGGACACCAGGTAAAATGGTTTAAAATCCTGGGCTCTTTAAATGTTAGCAGCCAGTCACCAGATATGTCATTGCATTGTTACAGATGTGCTTTACATGAAACAACCATTATGATTGGTCTGAGACAGGGGAATAGCACCAAAGTCAGGGGCCAATGCATAGGCTATACCCACTGGGCCCTGAACATAGTGACCCCCGCCCTTCCTTTCTTCTGTTGGGCCCTTCTGTACAAAGTTGCTTTCTTTTCCTTTCCTTACTTTCTTTTCTGTTTTGAAACCCTGACCCCCTCCCATTGGGCCCCTAAGTAATCGGTCCCACTTTCCCCCCAGTATAACAACTCCAGTCTGAGATAGCTAGGATGGCCAGGTGGAAGACTCAAAAGATCACTGGTCCCAGAACTTGCAGGGTAAGCCAAGTGGCATGTTGACTTTTTTGTTTGTTTTTTTAAGAGTGCTGCAGCTAAAACATTAAGGGTAGAACATCAAAAATGGTTGTAGGATGTTGCATTTTATTAACTGTTTGACTTAAAATCAAAATGTCTTCCCAATATGCTTTACTTTTTATGGAAAAAGGTTTTGAGGGGATTTTTCAGATTTTTTGAAATTGGGTTGTATGAGCTACTTATCCATAGTAAGTGTATTACACACAGCATGTAGCAGTCTGCACGCCCCCCAGTTTGGAGGCTGGAGTCTGACATGGAAGCTAAGCAATTTTGATGTTTTTAGCCATCTAAATTGTTAGACAGCCTGTTCCAATGGGGAAGCTTCAGTTCCCCATCTTTACTCACATCAAAGCCACCAGACTCCATTGACAAAAACTGTCATTCAGGCTGAAAAGTTGGACCAGTTGGATCTTTTTTAATGAATAGCCACGGGTTACATTAAATGACTCAACTGATAAACTGATTTAACAATTTAAAAAACATGACTGTCCCCAGTGGCTTAAGTTATGACGGAAGTTATGACGGGCCCCAGTGCACACTATCAAGCATGTACTGTCTTAACACAAATCGAGACTTAGAGAAAATAGAGATTTCCAAGGTGGCAATTTGAATCACTTGCAAGGGCCCACTCTCTATGGGCTATCCACCCAGGGGCCCCAGTGCAATTGCACTGCCTGCACTGTCTGTATTTATGCCCCTGACTGTCCCATTTTACATGAACATGTAATCAGAGTGATGTTGGGGCTAGTGATGTGTTGGAAGGCCCAACGTTTCTACAGTATTTTGCCTGGCAACATATTTTCTTTATAGAAATATAGCAAAGATACATTACAAGTCCTAAAAGTAACACTTAAAGTAGTCCTCAGAATTCAGTGTTGGTTTTCTTGGTAATCTACCAAGCTATCTGACTTCATCCAACATAAACAAAGGTGCTTTTATTTTCCTAACTGTTATTTTAGTCAACATTTTAGGTAATCTAATGTCGGCATCGAGTTATTTAGCATATGGACAACATGTATTGTTTCCTGAAAGTATGTGAACCTGTTCTGACTTTGATCACAGGATTTAATGTTGCATTTACACCACATTTGAGTTGCAGTTCAGAGACAAGCCATGTGCTTAACAAGGCCTACAACAACTGATTTTTTCAACAACAGAGAGGAATTAATGAATAAAATCAGCTGCTGTCAACTTGATTTGGAATCTAAAATCTGTTGCACTTGAATGAACTGTGAAAAGGATGTGGTTCAACACAAGCTGTCAGCATTGTCATGGTGTTTCCAATCAGCTGAAGGGTGGTGGTTCAGGATGACCATACAGCTCAGGCCTACTACAGTGTTGGTCTCCTATTGCGCCCTCCAGTGGCCAACTATAGGCATTGCATGAATAGGTTGGTCTGGGAGATACAGCAGGCTGTGTGCTCTGCTACATGACCAACCTGTCAGAGAGACGACAGATTGGTGTTTTACTGTACAATTAAAAATGCAGAGGAGACCGAGGTTTTAATATTATTGCTCAAAAACCTCTTGAGCTATTTGGACTAAACTTAACTTGTGTCTGTGCTCTACTTGTTGACAATCATCAGCTGCTTTTACAAGCAATATTTAGTCACAATATTGATTTGAACACTAGAAGCCAAATGTTACATCTGCCCTCACCTGCAGGGGCGACTGTAACAACATATTCAATACCTTCATATAAATACCAGTGACTAGAATAAACTTCCAAGACTATAGATATAGTTCAAACAATTTAATATCCATTGAACAATCAATTCAAGTTTAATTAAAACAGTATAATTAGTTCATATCAAGTATAAGACCACAGTGTTGTTTGTTAAATGTGTGTAAAAATAAAGTAACCTTATCACAGAGCACATACATTTCATGGTTGTATCTCGTTTCTAACTGGTGCAATCTGAGATGTTACAATTGCCCCTTGTATAAAACATGTAAAAATTAAATGGCTCAAATCAGGTTACAATCTGAGATTCAACAGCAGGCTACTACTTTCACATACCATAAAAATAGTTGAAAAATATGTTGATTTTTAGCCAATATGGCATTACTGAGACAAAACTATTAAAATGAAATAAAATAAAAACTTTTGATTCATATACACTGAAGATTTTTGTCTCTTGGGAATTTAAACCAGGATTCCCAGAATGAGAGACAAAGGTTTTACCCACTGGACTATAGCACAAAATATAAAACAAATACAGTACACACAGAAACATTTAAACTGAATACAAAACACTTTTTCTTAAATTAGAAGGGGTTATTCCTATGGTCTAACACAATCCAAAAATGTTAGTAAAAAACAACTCTCCCAAATCCCAAAAAATAGAGTGCTAAAACTGAAATTTGTGATGTCATAGCAACTTGGTCTCTTTATGAATTCATCAAATACCGCTGCTTGGTCAATGATTTTTGCGTCAAACACCTACGAAAAAAATGGCATCCTTTCATGGCAGTATGAGACACCGTTGGTCAGTGTGAGTTAATGACACCACCGGAAGTCATCACTTTGAAACGCCGCCGGACAACAATGTAATCTAAGGACCTGGAAAGTCCCAATATAGCAGGTAGGAAGGGTGGTGGACAGGTCCAACAGCAGTGGACTTTCACCCAGGAGACCAGTGTTCACTTCCTGTATGAATGTAGAGCCAAACCATGATGTTTTTTTCTTCTAAACCTAACCATGTGTGTTTGTTGCACAATGAAATAAACATAAATACGCAGTGTTTTACCAACACTGCAAGTTTAATTTTTTTTTTTTTTTTTTAAAAAAGACTGTCTGCGTTGAACAGGCCAAAAGTTTACATTTCCTGTGAAAATGGAAGTGTATTTTGATAAGACACAATGCACGTAGGAGATGTAAATTGACAAACCCCCCAGATCGTCAACAGCCGACACATCCAAGATACCTTGTGCATAACATATAGACGTGAAAGTCCACTGACCAAACGTGATAGGATAAAGCTCATTTGGGTGTGAAAAAGAAAAACATTCTGTGGGTCAACAAAATCAGGCTCCCACTCATAAGGCTTGTTCAAGGTGAGCCAGGCCTGCGCAGATTCGATCACTGGTGATCGCCGCACAACACATGCCGGTTAGATTTCATGCTGACTTGCTCTAATGTCTTACAAAAGTGGACATTTTCAATCTAATGAGAGTAAGGCAGCCGCAATTTTTAGAGCCAGGCACTGCAGTTGCTCTCCACCAATTGCAAGACCCAAGACATGATGGGAAACGCCTGGCTCTCACCTGATCAAAGAGCTGATTGGTTTAGATGTTGACTCAAACTCTTAAATTTTTGTTGAATTTCAGGGATTTAAATTTTAGTCTACTATATATTAACATTGGGCTGTTTTAATTATTGAAGCAATGTTGCTGATGGAGCAACTGCAGTTTTTCCACCCTATGATATCACAAGTTTGAGACTTACTTCTCTGGTTTCTGGCTTTGACAGAGCAGCTCATGTTCACAGATATTAATTAAACTTTTGTTGATGGTGGACATAACATGTTGGAATTCTTTATTTCGGTGGTGTTCCCCTTTAAGGGCCCCTTTATTTGGGGGCCCCAGGCAGATTCCTACTTTGCCTACTGCTGTGTCATTTGAATGCCCTCTAACAAACATCTCTCTGGGCCCTTTCTACAGTGAAACCAAAGGACAGTGTGAAAACTACATTACCCATAAAGCTCAGCTGCATATGTTTTCTTTTTTTTTTCCGGATGTAGCATCACATGAATTGACTGTCAACATGCAAGATGGCCACGCATCACAGGCAAAATGCTGCTGGGCGGAGAAAAGTACAGGTAAATTATAATAGTTGCATTATTGCCAAGTGTGTGGCAACGGCGACATTATGGTCTTCGTCTTTACAAAGTGCTTCACGGATACTTGACGGACGGTAAAAACCGTCTGCAGGAGGCAGCGTTGCTGTTATGAGTCATGACTCAAGCCGGCTAACCTAGCTAGCTTAGCTTAGCTTACGGTAGTTGTTAGCTTCTTTTGCTAACGCTGGCGTCTAAATGATTACATGCTTTTATTAATAATTGTCATATAAGCGGGGTGTAAAATACGGCATAACATAATAACAGAGCTCGTCAATTAGCACAAATCATTTATGTGTTGTCTTAGCGGCATTTTTAATGCTGTTACAGCGTTGACGGTAGCTAAGCTACTCTGTATCTGGGCTCGGTCTAATTGCTGGGAAAACGTACGTGCCCCGGTGATTTTCTCGTGCACCCTGCCCCATTACAATGCTTCAAAATCAAAGCACTATAAATACTGAATTACACCATGTCAGGGTTAATCTATGGCGTATTACCTACCAATATATGTGCCATTTGGCGTGTTTCCTTAGTTAACTGCATGTCCTTGAATGCAAGAGCATGAAACTTAGGGACTGCTCTTTACTTTACAGAGGTGGTTGGGGTGTGACTTATTTTTTATTCTGACCGTCCCTGAAGCTACAAATATTTTTCCTTGAGTTTCTCTGAGTGACTGGTCGTAAATGCGTGACCCTACTTTATATATAAATTAGTTACTGGATTTTGTAAGCCTGCCCGTAGATTTTTGAAAGTCAAAAGTAGAAGTCAAAATGGTGGAGTTGAAGAAAGTCTTGTTTTTCCACTCCTGATGTGCATTCTGATTTGTTCGTTTAAGCATTTTATTTGGAGCCAACCTTTAAAATGAGATGTTTAATAAAGTGATTTTGATGAAATATCACTATTTTAAGATCAAATTTGGTTATGATTGATTGTGACAGAATTGTTCGTTGCACAAGATGTGTCCAAGGACCGTCAGAAATGTGAAAATCTAATGAGAATTTTTGTTTTTACAGTTTGTGGCTGTGAGAAATGGTGTATTTTGGCAATGCTTTTGAGAATAATATGACTTCCAACCCCTCAAGCATGTTTCTAAAAAAAATAGCCTAAAAAAAACCCCCAAATGCAACCATTTAATTTTGTATGCCCCCTCCCTAAGCCAAAATAAAAAACAGAAGTCCCTCCCCAGCTTAAAGAATTACTCGGCATCCCTCCCACCTTTTTGCACCACCCTCTCCCTTCTCATAAATAACTAACTGCCTTCACGCATTGAAGCCTCGCAGTGTGCACGAGGAAGTGGGTGTGTTGTGGGTCCATAAAAACAGAAGCGGTCAGAGTCTGACCTCGGTGTTCACGCTCCTTTTTATGTTTCAGGTGTCCTACGTCATTAGAGATGAGGTGGAGAAGTACAACCGAAATGGGGTGAACGCACTCCAACTAGACCCTGCACTGAACCGGCTCTTCACTGCTGGACGGGACTCTATCATCCGGATATGGAGTGTCTACCAGCATAAAGTAAGGCACCCCAGACCCTCTAGCTAAATCAGATATTACACTCACAGTATGGTCTGGCAGCTGTGTTGTCACATGCATCATTTTGTTTGATTCCTGGTAATGTAAGTGTCTTAATTTCTCTGTTCTTTGATTGCAGCAGGACCCGTACATTGCCTCCATGGAGCATCATACAGACTGGGTTAATGACATAGTGCTCTGTTGCAATGGAAAAACATGTGAGTGTGATAACTAACAGCTATTTTATTTAGGGTTTAGGCGCTTTTTACACTGAACAAAAATATAAACGCAACACTTTTGTTTTTGCTCCCATTTTTCATGAGCTAAACTCAAAGATCTTAAACATTTTCTATATACACAAAACACCATTTCTCACAAATATTGTTCACCAATCTGTCTAAAATCTGTGTTAGTGAGCACTTCTCCTTTGCCGAGATAATCCATCCCACCTCACAGGTGTGGCATATCAAGATGCTGATTAGACAGCATGATTATTGCACAGCTGTGCCTTTGGCTGGCCACAATAAAAGGCCACTCTGAAATGTTCAGTTTTATCACACAGCACATTGCCACAGATGTCGCAAGTTTTGAGGGAGCGTGCAATAGGCATGCTGACTGCAGGAATGTCCACCAGAGCTGTTGCCCGTGAATTGAATATTCATTTCTCTACCATAAGCTGTCTCCAAAGGCGTTTCAGACAATTTGGCAGTACATCCAACCGGCCTCACAACCGCAGACCACACGTAACCACACCAGCCCAGGACCTCCACATCTAGCATGTTCACCTCCAAGATTGTCTGAGACCAGCCACCCGGGCAGCTGCTGCAACAATCGGTTTGCATAACCAAAGAATTTCTGCACAAACTGTCAGAAACCGTCTCAGGGAAGCTCATCTGCATGCTCGTCGTCCTCATCGGGGTCTCGACCTGACTGCAGTTCGTCGTCGTAACCGACTTGAGTGGGCAAATGCTCACATTCGATGGCGTCTGGCACGTTGGAGAGGTGTTCTCTTCACGGATGAATTCTGGTTTTCACTGTTCAGGGCAGATGGCAGACAGCGTGTGTGGCGTCGTGTGGGTGAGCGGTTTGCTGATGTCAACGTTGTGGATCGAGTGGCCCATGGTGGCGGTGGGGTTATGGTATGGGCAGGCGTATGTTATGGACAACGAACACAGGTGCATTTTATTGATGGCATTTTGAATGCAGAGATACCTTGACGAGATGTTGCAGCATGATAATGCACGGCCCCATGTTGCAAGGATCTGTACACAATTCCTGGAAGCTGAAAACATCCCTGTTCTTGCATGGCCAGCATACTCACCGGACATGTCACCCATTGAGCATGTTTTCTGATGCTCTGGATCGGCGTATACGACAGCATGTTCCGGTTCCTGCCAATATCCAGCAACTTCGCACAGCCATTGAAGAGGAGTGGACTAACATTCCACAGGCCACAATCAACAACCTGATCAACTCTATGTGAAGGAGATGTGTTGCACTGCGTGAGGCAAATGGTGGTCACACCAGATACTGACTGGTTTTCTGACCCCCCCAGACCCAGGCACAGCTGTGCAATAATCATGCTGTCTAATCAGCATCTTGATATGCCACACCTGTGAGGTGGGATGGGTTGTCTCGGCAAAGGAGAAGTGCTCACTAACACAGATTTTAGACAGATTTGTGAACAATATTTGTGAGAAATGGTGTTTTGTGTATATAGAAAATGTTTTAGATCTTTGAGTTCAGCTCATGAAAAATGGGAGCAAATCAAAAGTGTTGCGTTTATATTTTTGTTCAGCGTAGCTTCTTATACTGCTTTCTTATTCCACTGTTCTGATGTACTTTTACTGTCTTCCATTTTCAGTGATATCTGCCTCATCAGACACCACAGTCAAAGTGTGGAACGCGCATAAAGGCTTCTGTATGTCGACGTTACGAACACACAAGGACTATGTGAAAGCTCTGGCCTACGCTAAGGACAAGGAGCTGGTGGCATCAGCAGGCCTTGACCGGCAGATCTTTCTTTGGGATGTGAACACACTAACAGCGCTCACTGCTTCCAACAACACTGTCACCAGTGAGTATTGTTTGTGTCTGTGTGACACTGTGTGCTCACAGATACAGTCGGTAGTTGTAGGAACACCCACAAAACATCCCATCCTCCATCCACGCCAAGGGGGAAAACAATGCAATCGCTACCATAAAGAGCTGCTGCATGGTTTTCTGCACGACAACTAAACTTAAAAATCAAAGTGAACCGGAAGTTTTTATTTTCCGACCTGGATAACATGTTTTGAAATTGGTCCGGTAGTGAGGGAAAGCAGCAGCCAGGCTGCAATGGAAGCACTTGGGGCATGTCCACATCAAGTTACGTCCGCTAAGTGTTTGCAGCTGCTTGCTCAGATTGTTATTTTAAGTGTCTCACAAACTTATTGAAAGGATCTGAGGTTGCAAATCCCTGAATGATGACGTTATAGCACATCAATACACAGGTTAACGTCGTTGACTAACTTTAGCGCTGTTATACTGTCTGAAAATAGCCTGTGACATCATAGCGTTAATGACTGCAGGGTGCTGATATTATGGCAAGTTTAATTAATCATATCTATAGTAAATGTAATAGTGTCTTTTGTGTGAGTTTAAAACCGGGCATTCTCAGCATTTAGAGGCTGACCACGCCCCCTAACTATGACTAGACACGGACTGTATCTATCTCTGGCCCATACACACTGTAGTTTGATTATTTTGCATTTGTACTATTCTGTAATGGCTGATATGTTTCTGTGGAAGATGATTTGTACCTGTGGACTCACGTCAATCTGTCTCCAACAGCTTCGTCACTCAGTGGGAACAAGGACTCTATCTACAGTCTGGCTATGAACCAGATGGGCACAGTCATTGTATCTGGATCCACAGAAAAGGTTTGGGTTTCCATCAGTGCAACACACACACACACACACACACATACACACATATATTAACCCTATTAGTTCAGAGAAACTTGATTAAAACAAGTCAGTTAACATTGTAACTGGAATTTTAAAACAGTTTTATCTTGAAACCAGAGTGGGAATGTACTGCACTTGTCATTCTCCCATCTTATCTGTTGAAATGTTCATGCGTAAGATGTTTCCTGCAGGCTACACCACACACCTGTGTGGACATTATTAAGTTTACAAACTGGGGTTGCAGGAGGTGTTCAGCTAATTTGAAACCATACATTTACTTAATACTTAAAAGTATATTCTGCATAAATGGTCAGTTATTGATAGTAAACACAGAGTGAGCGTTAGGCCGCCATGCTCAGGCTGCTTCTCTTGTAAAGCACATTGAATTGCCTTGTGTATGAATGGTGCTATATAAATAAAATTGCCTTGCCTTGCCTTGCCTTAAGGTAAGGGATGTAGGCCTACCTGTAGCCTCGCTGTCCCTGCACTGATCCGACAGCCGTCACTCCGTCAGCTCGCTCTCTGTGCACCAACACTGCTTAGCATCTGTACTCCTTTGACAGTTTCGTTGTTGACATTAAACACGTGGACGATAACTTGAAACAAAACTTCATTGAGAAAAAGAGAGGAAACTCCAGTGTCTGTCTTCCTCGCAGTATTCAGAAACATCTCTCATCAACCACAGTCCCACACCTGGTGTGAATCATCTCTCTTATTTACTTCAGCAGGCCCCCTTTTAAACTAACACAGCTCTACACCTCAGTAAGCCCAGCCCACCTAGCCTGACAGCCATGCAGGACAGCCAATAGGGACAGTGACACTTGGCCTCTCCTCCCTACACTGCATGAATGTACACTGCAAGCTACTATTGTACAAATGTTACATTTGATGTAATGGAAAAGCTGATACTGTAGAAGGCTAACTGAGCTAACAGCTAACAGGCCAACTTCGACTTTGTTCACATTACAGGGCTTAATGCTCAGTTCTGATTATTTCTTCCTCGCCTGTCACGCTGATGTTTGAACTCACCCATATCTGACATGAGTGTGAACCAATCTCTGCCCTGAAATGCTTCACAGGCAACCAATAATATCACACACATGCTGGAACAACAATGAAATGTCACATTTGTGACAGAGGAAAAGTGAATGACATGGCAGTGCAAGCTTCATCACACGAATGAGCACCAGTAGGAAGGTCTGATGACGCCATTCTGCATGATAATTAGCCATCTGTTTTTATTTGGGAACGTTTGTGGCATATTTTTGTAGCAATGGGCATTTGTTTTTGGAATAATGAGCTGTCATAAGATAGGTCCACTAACTATAGGCAGCTACTGCTTGTACTTGTGTGAGGTGAGAGGGTGAGAGGTGCGGCTGGGAGAGGAGTCAGGAGTGGTGGGGCTGCAATGTGGAGGGTTTCATGGATGAACAGCTCCTCCAGAATTTTAGGATGTCCAGGGCTATGTTCAGATATCTCTGTCGGCACCTCACGATAACGCTGTCCTGGAATTTAGGCAAGCAATCCCCGTCAGATATCGTCTAGGAGTCGGGCTATATTGGCTGGTGACTAGGGCAGCCTACTGCAGCAGTATGGCTACAGCAGCTGTCTGTAGTTTCGACTAACCACCCCGACAATGTACGGTGAGCGATCTGCACCTGTGCAGTGAAGTATGACGTGGAAAGACCATGGATGTAGAGGAAAACACACATGAATTTGGATATTACTGTTGCTACAGCGGTGGCAAGTGAACTAATATGTATCAGATTTAGGACCACAAGTGAAAGTGGCTCTGATTGGATTGTAAAAAAGTCGAATTTTTGTGTCCACACTGCTCTGAAAAAAATCAGACCTGTGTCACAATATAGCAAAGGCTACATTTGCTTGTAATGTGAACATAGCCCTCGTGTCGCTCTTTATCCTCTTCAGTGCTCACCAGCGAATGGAAATGCCAACCCCAAATTCACTCTTGTTTTGGAATGAGCTTTGTCCGCCTGGTGTTTCTTCTCGCTTTATTTTGGCGCTGTGTCCTTTTGGATACTTGCTGGTTATGGAAGCTACCTTTTTATAAAGACATGACCTCACGTCCTGAACACAACAATATAATAAGGAAATACAGGCAGGGAGCAGAGTCTCTGCAGATAAATACACTGCCAGACACCTCCTGTTGGTCATAAGTGATGATTGAGAGGTATTACTCTCTATGAGTCAATACACTGTGTTTTTTGGAAAATCCTGCAAAGTATACCTTTAAATGAGCTGTTGTTTTCCGTTGCTTAGTCACTGTAATCTGGTTCTAGAGTGAAGAAATGCCGATCTTCACTTCCCTCCTTTTTTCTTTCTTTCTTCAGGTCCTGAGAGTGTGGGACCCTCGAACATGTGCAAAACTGATGAAGCTAAAAGGACACACAGATAACGTCAAGTCGCTGCTGCTGAATCGAGACGGCACTCAAGTGAGTGAGGATATCTAAAATAAACGGATATGATAATCCATTTATCGTTTTAAGTAAAAGTAAAGATTTTCTGATTCCAGCCTCTCAAATGTGAATCTTTTCTGGTTTCTTCACTTCTCTGTGACAGTAAATTGAATATCTTTGGGTTGTGGACAAAACAAGACATTTAAGGATGTCATTGTGTGCTTTGTCCTACATTTTATAGACCACACAATTATTCGAATAAGCGAGAAACTAGTCAACAGATTTATCAACAATGAAAATATTTGGCTGGCGATACGGCCAAAACCTTTACAGCACATGTTATTTTATATCACAGTGCAGAAATTGTTTTATGAATTCAGTTCAGACACGGTTTAAAATAACCGTACTTTATCACATTTGATTATTTTCTTCTTGTATTTACAACTTTCATAGAAACAAAAAAAACAACTGCCTCGCACGAGACGCTTGACTGTGTGACATTACTGAGAACAACAACTCCAAGTGTTACAGTTTCTCTGTTTACAGCTTAACTTTCCTCCTCCATGTCTGTCGAAATCATGTTACTTTACAAGGCAGCTGGATTCCCAACATCCGGGGTCCATTTCACAAAGCAGGTTTAGTGAAAACTCTGAGTCTGTTAACCCTGAAATGAGGGCAACTCTGGGTTTTCCGTTTCAGAAAGGGAAGTAACTTAAACCAGTGAAAGCGGAGTAACTCCAGCCCGTTTCAGAAAGAGAGATAACTGAAGCTCGGTGTCAGTTACTATGGCAACTGACTCTGTGAACCTAACCTGGTCGGGAGCAGGTTTTCTTCAATGAACCTCGAGTTTCTAGCTGTCTCCTCCCTCTTATGCCACACACGCAGTGTGATTCATTCATTCATTTAGTGTTGCGCGGGTTTCAGCGAGTTTGATCATCTGTCCTCAAGGTAAAGTTGGATCCTAAAGCGTGTTCTAGTTCTAAATCTACTTTTTTCGACCATGGCATATCCGTTCTTGGAGGACCCTGTGGACGAAGAGGCAGTTACGCATTCGTCGGGAGATTATTCACAGGCTCAGAATTGACGTATTATCATTTCCAGAACATTTTCTTTTTGAACGGTGCAGTTTCACATCACAGTTAAATCCATAACCTCATCCGTCGTGACATAAACAACGTCACCAACCATGGATGTGCACTTTCATCTACCCAGATTCTTTGTGTTGCTCTTTGCAAAAAAACAAACGGGAGTTTTCCGTATAATATCAGAGATGCAGAATATATCAGTAAGGCCACTGTCTGCAGAGCCGTGAGAAAAGTATAGAATATGAAGTCCATTCACAGCATTAATGTGCAGGTAGATTGACTGTCTCAAAATGTCAGACTGCATCACACTGCAAAAACTCAAAATCATACCAGAAATATGTGTCTTATTTCTAGTAAAAATGTCTCATTTCTAGTCAAAACAAATCACACCTAAAAGTAACTTGTTTTTAGACTATTTTCACTTGAAAAATAATTAGGTGGGATTGCATCTAAGTGAACTGAATTTTAGCTTAAACACCATTCCACCTGTTTGCATCTGTAGCCTAATATTATTGTGATTGCATAAGTGTATAAAATAAATTTAAACTTTCGCATTGACTCGAGCAGTAATTTTCTTCCACGCCGACTCCCGTTCCTTCGCTGCTGCAGCCGTGTTACTCTTCTTCCTGAAAACAGCTTCAAATTCGCTGTATGAGCGCATTAAAATATCCAACTCCAGAGGAGTAAAAAAAAATGCAGACCTTTTCTTGTAGCTTGTTGCCATGGTGAATCGTGGTATCGGGGCTCCATTGATGACGGCTTTTTAAAGTCGTGGTGCACGCACTTAACTCACAGTGAACAAACTCTGTGTTGATTCAACCGATTGAAATCATCTGTTCTGAAACCCGTAACCCAGAGTTTCCCATCTCAGAGTTACTCAACTCAGAGTTCAGGGTTAGGCTCAGAGTTTGTTGAACCTCCTTTCTGAAACGGACCCCTGATGAGCTCCCACAGTAGACACAGTGATGTCAAATCTCTACGGCTGGACACATTTCTGTAAATATCATCACATGGGCCAACCACACAGTGGTGGCAGCTGTTACACAATCTGTTTTACAATCTAAAGCTGTTGTCCTTCTCCACAGTGCCTGTCGGGCAGTTCGGACGGGACCATCCGCCTCTGGTCACTCGGCCAGCAGAGGTGCATCGCCACCTACCGGGTGCACGATGAAGGCGTCTGGGCCCTGCAGGTCAACGAGGCCTTTACACACGTCTACTCCGGAGGCAGAGACAAAAAGATCTACTGCACTGACCTGCGTAACCCAGACATCCGTGTGCTCATCTGTGAGGAGAAGGCTCCGGTGCTCAAAGTAAGAAGCCAACACACTTTAACCTTTAAAACATTTTTGTGCAGCAGTGATGTAATTCTGCGATGTACAAGTTTAAGAAGAAGCAGTACAGGTCTTGTCTGAACGTTCACTTTTGCTTTCACCTGGCGTCTGCTTGCAGTGTAGATGAAACACAGGGTGTAGTACTTTGTGCTTACTGGTTCTTTGATTTTACCAGTGTTCTGCACGCTCACGTAATATCAATAAAATGTTTTCAATTCCCATCTTTAATGACGCTGTGTTCTCCCCAGTCAGTCCTATGTTCGTAGCTAACCATTTGGAGTCACTCAACCTTTCGCTGTCTTTCTCTTTTGCTCAGATGGAACTGGACAGATCTGCTGACCCACCTCCAGCAATCTGGGTCTCCACCACCAAGTCATCCGTTAATAAATGGGTAAGCATGCGTGACACCTCTGAGATCGCTGGTCGGCTGTCAGCATAACGACGGTGGGATACAGCATAGACGGACTTGTGCATGTGGCCACGCCTAATGCTATTCAGCAGTAATCCTCCTGTAATTTGTGTAAGAATTTAAACCAGCTTTGTGACGATGTGGGTGATACACAAAAGATAATTGCATTACATTAATCACAGCTATTACTGCGAGGGAGAAGTAGGAAGCGATTATTAAAATCCAGGACAATCTGTAATGATTATTATTTTCTGTATGCATTTGTAGTCTCTAAAGGGAATGCACAACTTCCGATCATCAGGGGAGTATGACAATGACTGCACTACCCCTCTGACACCACTGTGTACTCAGCCAGAACAAGTCATCAAGGGTAAATATGTTTATTCATCTAAACTACAGTAATTTTCTGTATCTTCCTCCCAGACATTCTGTAACGTAACACTATGTGTTGTTTGCAGGAGGTGCCAGTATCATACAGTGCCACATTCTGAATGACAAGAGACACATACTCACCAAAGATACCAACAACAATGTGGCTTTCTGGGATGTCCTGAAGGTAAACTCCACACTGACGTTATTATATGTGTGTTGTGTTGGATTGTGATTGCATCTCAGGCTAACTTCCTGAATTGGTTCGATTTTGATTTACAAGGTACTGATTCGATTCAGTTTCAAATTTGATTTGATATCGATTGGGTATATTTTAGAAATAATACCAATTTTTGCTAGTATGTGAAAGGGATTCTCAGAGAACTAATACTGTAAATTTTACAAGGAATTATTTTTTAAAAAGAATACAGTCAGAACAGGATTAATAACATCAGAGCTTCTCCAGACTATGGTTGTTAATAACTTAGCACCACGGCCTGTTTACTACCAGTGAGATTAACAGGGTTAAAGCTTCACACATCTGTGGGAAAAGTGTATATTAAAACCCAGTATTTTAACCCAGCCCTTAGTTCATCCACTGTTTTTTTCAGCCAAGCCATAGTTAAACTAGTTGTTCAAATTATGACAAATCACACCACCGCCCGAATCAAGGCTCCCATTTGGTGTATTTGTCTCTGTATATCTGCACTTCAGCCTGATCCTTCTGAAATTACAGCACTGTAAAGTGAAACTTCTTAAAATTTTAATCATAGGAACATTTTGAGCAGCTTCTCAGAAAATCTAATATGGAAACTTAAAAAAAATCATATTAGGACTTCTTTGGTGACTTTGTATTTTATATTATTATTTATTCATATTAATAAATAAATAAATGAGAACATGTCAAAAGTGTCAATTGAGTAAGGCTCAAGGTCAACGCGTAAGAGTTGGTAGCTGTACCGTGATGCATGCACTGGTGCATACAGAGCTTAGAATTGCACAGCTCAAATTAACATGCACTACAGTACAGATGCACTTAGTATTTGGAGACCTGCCACTTCGAAGAGGAGAGTCGTGGTTACTTGGTGCTCATCTGCCCTAATAAACTACTACCTATGAAATTAATGTCTCCAGATTAAAGAGGACCTCGCCTGATGAGCCTGGTGTGAGCTCCTTCCTGGTGATATACGTGGTTAGAACTGACTTCATGTATATTTTTACCTTCAGGCTTGTAAGGGTGAAGACTTGGGGAAAGTGGAGTTCGATGAAGAGATTAAAAAGCGATTCAAGATGGTCTACGTGCCAAACTGGTTCTCTGTTGATCTGAAAACTGGGGTGAGTCACACACCTGGTAATACAGGGCCATACTTCTGTCTGACCTTCCCGAGCCTGGACAGTTTTCTCATATTCGTGCTTCCTGCTTCTCTCTCTCAACAGATGCTCACCATCACATTGGATGAGAGCGACTGCTTCGCTGCCTGGGTGTCTGCAAAGGACGCTGGGTTTTCAAGCTCTGATGGATCCGACCCAAAGTGTAAGACATCTGACCTTGTCACATTTTCTATACAAATACTTAACACTATGAAAAACTGAAGCTAACTTTATTTATTTATGTATTTTAAAGATATTTTTAGGGCATTTTTGCCTTAATTGATAGGATAGTGAAGTGTGAAACGGGGAGAGAGAGAGAGAGAGAGAGACACATGCAGCAACGGGCCACAGACTGGAGTCGAACCCGGGCCGCTCTGCGGCAACAGTCTTGTACATGGAGCGTCTACTCTATCCACTAATCCACTGACGCCCCAGCTAATTTTATTTTACTCTCTGCAGTGAACCTGGGTGGACTGCTGCTCCAGGCTCTGCTGGAGTTCTGGCCCAGAACTCGCATCAACCCCATGGATGAGGAGGAGAACGAGGTGAACCATGGTAAGGAGGTGGTTTACTGCTAAATCATTATGAAGCCAAATCAGCCAAACCTCTGCAGTGATGCTCCGGAAATTTCAGTGAACTCAGTGTCCACTTGTCTGCACACTCAGCATCATTTTCTTGCCGCTGTCAGTGAGCGCAGGATGTCCAAAGCCTCAGTCGGTTCATCTCACAGTACGATTGTGTTCTTGTGTCCACAGTGAACGGCGAGCAGGAGAACAGGGTCCAGAAAGGAAATGGATATTTCCAAGTGCCACCACACACGCCAGTCATCTTTGGAGAGGCAGGAGGCAGAACTCTATTTAGGTAACGTGTCACTAACATCCCTATCCATTTGGGCTGTCGCGCATTTGTACTGAACCGTCACGGTACAGTGTCAAAGTCTGTATTGGAGGGGGTTGTATTGGAACTGTCCACAAATGTTCACAATGGATATGCAAACAGAACCCTTCAAATGTGTACCGAACTGAACTGCTTGGTGGAAACAAGACTTTACATCAAAGCTGCAGTGTGCTCTGTAAATGCCATCGTGTGTCATCACTTTATAGTTGCCGTCATGGCAAACACAATCCTCGGCACTTGATACTGCTACTCAGAATTAACCCTCATCTAGAGATTCCAGGATTGACTGCCCAGACATATGTCACCACAGAGTGAGCATTCAGCTGCTGGGCTCAAAGGTAAGGGATGAAGCCCTACCTGTTGCTCTGATGTCCCGGCTCCGATCTGACGGCCTTCATTCGGTCAGCTTGCTCTCTGTGATCCAACACTGCTCAGGGTTGTTACTTCAAAGGCCGGTCATTTGTAGACATTAAACATGTGGACATAGCTTGAAACAAAACTTGATGAGGAAAACGAGTGAACTCCACCATGTCTTCCTCGCAGCACTGATCAGCTGTGGTCCCACACCTGCTCTGAATTGTCTCCTAATTATTTTTGGCACGCCCCCTTTTCAAACTAACACAGGCCCAACCCACTGAGCCTGACAGCCAATAGGGACAGTGTGCCGTGACATTTGTCTGACATAGAAATGTTGACAGTTAATGTATTCATTCCTCCTCTGCGTTGTCTCTGATGTGCTGTGTTGTGTGTTGCAGGTTGCTATGTAGAGATTCAGGAGGAGAGACTGAATCGATGCTGCTGAATGAGACTGTTCCTCAGTGGGTTATTGATATAACTGTAGATGTGAGTACAGTTTCCATCTTTATTTGACATGAAGACAAAGTCTAAATGATTACAGATGAAATAGTATTCAGTGTGTGTGTGCACTGTATACATATTAGTGTGTCCGTGTCTGAATCTTTTATTCAGAGAGAAACACAGTGTGACGCTGGTGGTATCAGACCCACTCTCACTTACTTTTACCCTAACACAGGAAATCATGACTGCTGTTGTTACTAAGCAACACTAAATGCTCACAAGGATTCTCTACTCTTATCCGCTATTAAACATGTACACAGGAAGTAAGATGTTTTTTTAAATGTGGGGAAGCGATGTTCCTTATATAGATCTTTCTTACAGCAGACACTTGAGAAAATCAATTTATTGTGTTACTGTTGTTTTGGGCAGTGCTAAGCCTAGGATTCAGAGATGGTGCCTTTGCAAAATAGTGTCGGGAAAACTTGGTTGGTTGAGAGGTGAGTGCTGGCATTCAGTTGGCTAAATCCCTGCAAAAAGAAAACATTAAAATATATTTTAACATGCAGGTTGCTAGTTCAGAGGTTGTTAGTGTTGTTTCACACACGCAGCTAAAACAAAGTGTGGAGATAAGTTTGGCTATGTGGGACTAGTTTCATGTAGTGACGGGGATTTTAATAACAGGAACAGGCTTCCTGCATTTGAAATAGGTGGCCAGTGACAGGCTTATACCCACAGTCTACATACTGTGAGCCAGACTACATCAGTACCCTGAAACTGGAGCAGCTAAATCAAAGTCAGCCGCACGTCATGTCAGTTATGCTCGTGTTTTTCCTGACGAAAATCTGAATTTAGAGTCGAACAGCTACGTCACTTTTGTTTTTCTGAGGAGAATTTGTACTGTGTTTCTGATTTGTACTCTGTTTCCTCCTCTACTCCAGAAAAATATGCCCAAGTTCAACAAAATCCCATTCTACCTCCAGCCCCACTCTTCCTCTGGTGCAAAAACTCTAAAGAAGTAAGTCTGTCGTCTCGTCTGCGATTGTGTGTCCTTTGATTATATGATCCATCTACACGAGCATGGACGCTGCATTCGATGATTTTACCTGCTGTGTGTCCTGCAGGGACCGCCTCTCGGCCAGCGACATGCTCCAGGTGAGGAAGGTGATGGAGCACGTTTACGAGAAGATCATCAACCTGGACAACGAGTCGCAGACCACCAGCTCCTCAGCCAACGATAAGCCGGGGGAGCAGGAGAAGGAGGAGGACATGGCCATGCTAGCCGAGGAGAAGATCGAACTAATGTGTCAAGACCAGGTGGGCGCCACGTCTTTGCTGCTACATCTTCATCACATGGGCACATCCTCAGTCGCTGTATTAACTTTGGATTTTTTTTATCTTTCCACCAGGTTCTAGATCCCAACATGGACCTGCGAACAGTTAAACATTTTATCTGGAAGAGCGGAGGGGACTTGACGCTTCACTATAGGCAGAAGTCCACGTGAAAATCCTAATTTTTAAAACAAGAACTCTTCGTCATTTGCCAATCACCACCCACCTCTGACATGTAGTACCCTAAACCCCATTGTGTGGTCAAGAGTGGCAGTATCAATGAGAATCCAGTAAAAGTTGTGAGGACGAGGCTCATGGTGTATCATAGGGAACTGACCAGAACAGACCGGAGCAGCCAAGAGACACCCGGGAGATAAGTGGTCCATAGTTTCTTTCTGTTTTTTTTACAGTTTGAAGAAAGGACTCTGTTTTCTCCAGCACTCACCAATTTCTCTTCTTTTTTTAAACTCTGACTGCTCTTTGTTCTTTCTTTCCGGTTGCCGTTTTATTTTGAAGCGACAGTACATGTTTGTGTCCAAGCGTGTGTGTGTGTGTATATGCACATGGATGTAGTAGACTGTTTGTTTGTTCTAGTACATTCCAGAAACTGTCCGACAAACACTCCACACCCGTCTCAGCAGTTATCACCAGTTTAGGAGTACACTTGGTCTCTGGGTAGCATCACAGTCCCTCGAAAAAGCAATCTTCTGTTCTGCTGTCGTCTTAACTTGAACTTAAAGGGACAGTTCACCCCAAAATCATTAATACAGATTTTTCCTCTTACCTCTTGCCCTGTTTCAGTCTGGATTGTTTTGATGTGACTTGCTTGCATTGTTGTTGGCGATATTGGCGGTAGAGATGTCTGCCTTCTCTCAAATATAATGGAACTACATGGCGCTCGGCTTGTGGTGCTCAAAGCGCCCCCAAAAAAACCCTCAATAGCAATTTCTCTTTTCAGAAATCATGTTCATTCACTCAAGATAATCCACAGACCTTGTTGTTGTTGTGAGCAAACCGGCAGCGAATCTGCAGATTCTTGGATAGCGAAGGAACGACCCACCTTACCGGAGGCGTGACCAGCCTGGCAAATCGGATTGCGCCTCCTGGATACTACCAGCTGATAAAGACACATCAGGACGCACGTCAGTTGACGCTTCTGAAGAACACTGAAGTGACAGTCGAAACATGTCAAGGTAAACTAAAAACTCATTGTCTGAAAAAAAGAAACTTTCTACACTGAATCTAATTTGAGTAGACAAAATGAACCTATTTACACTGATAGCTGCTGTGTTTAACCAGCTGATTTCGTACGATATACACGTACACGCCAACTGTATCACCACGTAGAAGGAAGTGTACATCTACTGCTAGCTAACGTTTTAGCTCAGCAGAGGAGGATGCCATTAATGTTAACATGCCTCCTTCTGCGCAGTGATTTGGTTGGTGGGTGCAGTTTTGTAGAAAGAAAATAGTCCTACATGAAACTGCTCACAACAAGGTCTGTGGATTATCTTGAGTAACCAGGTCATGATTTCTGGAAAGAGACATTGATGTTGAGTTTTTTAAATGTATTTTTTGGCATTTTGAGCACCACAAGCTGAGTGCCATCTAGCTCCATTATATTGGAGAGAAGGCAGACATCTGTACAGCTGATATCTCCAACACTCTGCAACTCACACCAGAACAATCTAGACTGATAAACAGCACTGTAAGATGAAAAAGACGTGTTGTTGATTTTGGGGTGAACTGTTCCTTTAATCCTGGCTTAGACGTCTAATTATTGCAGAGCTTGAACCTCATTGACAGAAACACTTGTCTTTGTCATTTATTTTTAGCTGTGCTGTTCTCAATGGACTGAATGTTCTTTTTTTGTTTTTTTTTTGTAAATATATGTACAACATTTTTGATTTAAGTGACTTTTGTTTTCTTTCGATTTTATTTTGTTGTTGTACAGTTTACTTAAAAACCAAGTTATTTTTCCAAATCCCTAGAGCACATTCATGGTCATGACGGTTAATCTGACTTGGATGTTAAAAATCACATTTGTTGTTATTCACGACAACCCAGAAATTGCAGTTTTACTCTTTAAGAATGTTAGTAGTCGTCCAAGTCATCTTAGCAATGGGGAAAATTATATATAAGGTATATATCTTTGATAATAACTCATGCTTACTCGCTCTGTGCTTGGGTCATGAGCTGTGACTTTGATGACAGTGAGGGCTGTTCCTAATGTATATTTCATTTAGATTTAATAGGAGTTCAATGAATATAACTTGAAGGGGAATCTCATCCGAGAGAATATATGAATAATCAACCACTGTGGGGAATTCACCAAAGTAAAATATTAACGGTAATTTCTCTCTTGGTGTGTCACCGAGCAGAACAACAGGTCATTGTAAATTTTCCGCAGTTAAGTTTTGCCATGAAGAGTGTGTGTAACGCCATAGTGGGGACGCAGCGAGTGAGCTCTAACGGGCCAAAAAAACAGGATGGGTACCATAATTAGGCCATAACACTGCAATATCCCTTGTTGTAATAATTTGTGAAATATGTATATTTTAGGCATTCAAAGAAATAAATTGGAATGGTTTAACAATGACAGATTTATGGGGATTATAAATGTTTCTTGAGTTGTAAATGTGTTCAGCTGGTGAGTGTGAAATAAGAAAAACAAGGGAAACAATTTCTTTTTCTTTTTTCTTTTTTTTTTTTTAAAGTCAAGTGATATGATTGTTTAACCATCAAAGATTCACCCATTTCACATTCATGAAAAGACTCTGCACTCATTCCTAATAAAACATACAATTAATTGATAAAATATCTGCAAAAATACTTTTCCTTATTTTACACACTAGCACCTACTTTGACAGTGAAAAACTTTTAAGAAGCCCCCTAGAAAAAACAAAATTACTCGACAGCAGCATCACTGTTTGTACATGTACTGTATATGAAAAGTCATCTACTAGATTTACACGTTGCATAGATCACAAAAATTATGTAAGAATAGAGTTGAATGAGACGCGGGGACATGATTCAGGCGATACAAGCAGATTTCAAACAGCTCACAGGCTGAATACATCAAATAAAAAACTGTGTTCTGACCTCATCAGATCTCGAGGTTCAGTGTGGAAGATTGAGGGGGATTTAGTGGAGCCTAGCGGTGGGGATTGCAACCAGCTGAAACTTCACCAGGTTAGAACTCCTTCAACGTCAACGAGCCGAATATTCGGCAGAGTACTAACAAACCAGAGGCCTGTACTATGAAGCAGGATTTGGAGTTAGCGAGGTAACTTAAGTGTTAACACTGGGTTTTCAGCACTATGAAGCTGGTTCTCTTTTTACTGGGATAAATCACCATGGTAACTGATGCTGAACAGCTAACTTGCTCCAGAGCAGGTTAACTTCGGAGTGTCAGATCACAGCCCTTCAACATCCCGACCTCTGACCAATCAAATCACTGTAGAAAAAAGTATCAATGGACAAAAGTCCAGAGTCTGGGGCAAAAATTAAAGCATAACTCATATATAGTTATAGGTCAGTAGTAATAGTAGGTCATTTCATTGTTCCAGGGCTCTATTTCCACTGGTTTTATAAACAGAGCTTTTAACAAACACATAGATTGTTTACACACTAAACACATAATTTTTAACTTATGCAAAGTTTATTTTAGTCCGCAGTGACAGTGTTGATATTTGACACTGATTCATCACTGCAGCTCGAAATAACATGAGAGACCTGTGTGGTTTGAACTGGGATAAAACATAACATTTTATCAGTAAAATAATCCCCACATTGTTAATTAGCTCCTGTTATTATAAACGCAACATTTCCGTCAGACAGACAGGGGAAGGAAAACACAGAAAATATATTTCTACCTGTCACTCCGGAATTTCTTCCTTGTCGAGATACATTTTTTTTTGTGACTGATATAACAGAGGTGTTGACAGGTTGTGATCAGATAATCTGTAGTTAACCAGTTCAGCATTAGTTACCATGGTAATTTATGCCAGTAAAAAGTGAACCAGCTTCAGAACTAGAACTAAAAACCCAGCGTTAACCCTGAAGTCACCTCGCTAACCCCAAATACAGCTTCGTAGTACAGACCTCTGGTGATTGAAACAGAAACACTGAAAGAAGCAGTTTCATGTTACTGCTAATGTGTGCTCACCTTTTTTCTCTGATAATTTAAGATCCTGGGGTCTCATTTATGAAACAGTGCATAGGATCCATACTAAAAATGCACACACAGACGAAAGCCAACAACGGCGAGCGCCAAAAAATACTTGACATTTTCTCCAGCCAGGCTTTTTCACCTCACCATGTGCCAGTTTCCTGTCTCCAAAATGTTTGTACGTATGGGTCAAAAATTCTCCTAGCAAGTCTGTTTTTATAGATCACAACTTTTGCGTGCTAAGTGGCGTACACCTCTTTCAGGCCTTGATTTGTACGTCTGCAATATTTATAAATGAGACCCCAGATGTTCAGGAGGTGTTTACAGGGAGCTGAATTATCCGCAGAGGTCTCTTCCTCTCCAAAACAAATGGACCCAGTGATTTAAACTGCTAAGAACACTGAATAAAACCGTTTCACTGTAAAAAAAAAAAACCACCTGGTGTTTCTCCACTATCTCATCACAAAGGGGCTGGTTGCCGACACTAAAACACCAATGTCCCTATCTGGAGTTAGTGTTTGGTTTGTCTGCTCTGGGCTACTGTAGAAACATGGCGGACCCCGAAGATGAGGACCTGCTTCCTTTGTAGATATAAACGGCTCATTCTAAGGTAACAAAAACACAGCTATTCTTGTTTTAAGGTGATTATAAACTAAAGAAAAGTGATCGTTATATTCAGTGTCTGTCAATTTGTCCCCCTGAATCCAACACACTGGACCTTTAAGTAAAAGCATGTACTGACAGGTGTGATGCAGCACAAGACAAATATCTCCCTTATAGTACCAACACTTAAAAATCCAACACATGAGTCATAAACTACTGTAAAAGTTTCCCTCTTATAATTTAGCTATTTCTTAAAAATTTGGGACTCTTGATTTGCTTCTTTGAAACACATCGACAACAGATGCAGCGCTGCACCCCAAGACTGTGACAGTCTGGTAGCTTTAAAACTTTTGTAGTGTTGTGGATATTAATTAAGGTGCATTAATGAGCTTTGCTGTACGTGTTTATCTTTGGAGGAGTTCAAGTATTCATCACATCAGTGTTCCAGAAGCAAAGTCTCGTCACCCGTATGATCTAATTTTGCACCAAGCATGGAAAAAGTGTTGACATTGTGACCTTCTTGGTGAACAAAGTTGCAGTAACTTTATATTCTCACATATTCCTACACATACAAAACAAACAGGATATTCCTACAGCGCCTCGAGGCATCTTCCTACTTATAAGCTGGTTTCTGTAGTGTAACTAATCTGATTGAGGAGCCTTGTGCTTAATGTAAAGCCCAGTTCAGACGGAAGATCAGACAAGATCGTGTATGGTCTCCATAGCAGCGACTCTCCGTACTTACATTGCAATATTTGGCTTTTCAGGCTTTTTGAATATAATTTTTAGCTCCTACAAATATTAATCAGGATTGTGAAAGTCAGATATTTGCTACAGCTGCATTTGTAGTAGTGATGACACAGCGAAAACATAAAAACACACTCCTGTATGGGTCTGATTTTCAAGACCCACCACCTACACATACGACCAATTAATTCTGCAACCCAACATGCTGACACAAGAACCACAACCCCGCCCGAAACAACAAATCCTGAAATAACCACTTAGTGTTCAAGTAATTCGTTCAGGCAGCATGTTTAAAGCCATTTAAAGACACGTGAAACGTACGTTTTAAAATTAAGGTAATTCAGAAAATACAATTTATTTTAATATTGAGCCCCGATCATACAGAAAGCGTTTTGTATGTTGCAGAACGCATGGCGCACAGCACTGCCTTCTTTTTTTAGTAAAAAAAGTGAAAAAAAAATAAAAAATAAATAAGCTTGCCGCACCTTTTTATTGTAACCAACCCATCACCTCCTACAAACAGATCTGTGTGGGTACATGAGACCCTAAAAAAGAGGGTGGATCACGAGGAGTACCACCAGTTGGTCCAAGAGCTTCTCCTCCATGGTGGATGTCTCCAGGCATATTTTAGGATGACTCAGGGGCAGTTTGACAACCTGCTGTCTATCATCGGGCCGTATAGCTCTGGGTATCCAGCAACAGCTACCACCAGTTTCTCCTCCATTGTTTATCAACTGTAAACTTATTGTGACTACCACAGAAGGTCCGCCTCTCAAATCATCCGATTGAACAATAGGAAAAAACATGACGTAAAAAAAGGGATGACGTGGGGCGCTTTTCTGTTCTGAGTTGACGTTTTTTCAACACAAGGAGTTCAGAGCGCCCTGGCAAAAACACCAGGTGCCCAGAGTGCAGAAACACGAGGCGTGTCGCAACGTAAAACAGCGAGTAAAAAGCTTCATTCTCATAAGAAACAATCGCAAAAAGCTGCATCCAGCTGCTAAAACGCTTTCTGTGTGATCAGGGCCTAAAGTTGCTCTCCTATTCCAGCAGGCGCAGGAGACATCAGTCAAGGTATTAAAATGTTAGAACATCAAATTAAAATATTACTCTAAATTTCTAAAAATATTTTGATCATCAAACACCTACAATCAACATGTGGTTTCCCCTTTTTTGTCAATTTCTCTCGTTGATTCCCCGTCAAAACACTCAGCCATTTGAAAGGAGCTGGTGTCACCTCTGATCAGCAGAGAAATCACTAACTATGGAGACAACATTTCGCCAGGCTGATGATGATGCTGCCCTTCCTGACGACAGGTGAGCTACAGCCTTCAGATACTGAGAGAAACATACACTATAAACCACTGATGAGGTGATGCTCTCTGTCCTCCGCCCTGTGCTGAGATGGGCCGGTTCACGCTGCTACAACTTTTTCCTGCAACACTCTAAAACATTTTCCTCTGGTCTGAACTGGGCTTCAGATTATCAGCATCAGCTCAGACTGCTTCTCCCTCAATCTGTCCTGTACCTCCTATAGTGTCTCTTTAACAATTGATTGTCACCTTCACTTTGCATTCTTGTACGTTGCGTATGGCCTGATGCGAGCTTACTCAAGAGGCGGCTCTTCTTCTGGTTTCTCCTCGTCAATCTCATGGCTGCAGTGATGAGCAGGAGCCACGTCTAGAGGCTCTAGAGGCTCTGCAGGTTCCTCAGCTGGCGTCGGCGCCTCCTCGATGGCCTGAGCAGGAGAATCGTCTGCCATCGACTCCTCACCAGCAGAGGACTGGAGGAGGTCGACGGAAGAATGGCGAGGAGGGTCTTCAGCTGGGACAGAGGGCTCAGCAGGAGGCTCTAAAGACTCTACAGGGAGAGACACAGGGGGACTGGGGCTATAACCGGGCTCACACAGAGAGCCAGGCGGGTCTGTGGACTGTGTGAGCAGGTGAGATGGTTCAGCTGGTGGGACGCCTGAATCGGACATGTCGGTGGAAGCGAGAGCGGAGGTAAGGTCCATGGCTGCCTGGGAGCTCAGCTCGTGTGTCTGGCTGTCTGCTGATGATGAAAGCAGCACACTGTCCTCCAGCTCCTCTGCACAACAACAGGAAATGCAAACATTCAGACTGTGTTCTCTTCAGCCAAATCAGTACATGATAGTTTTTTGTTACAGCTTAGAGGGTAAGTTTGGTATTTTTCAACCTGGACCATATTTTCCATGTTTTGCGTTCCAGTTATTGATGGGAAATTGGTCCAGTATTGAGAAAGAGCGCTGCATCTGGCAGTGGTAAAACAGGATGCAATGTAACCACTCAGGGTATTTGTGCCTCATCAATTTACATTTTTGTCACTGACAGGCTCAGATTATTATTCCAAGTGTCTGACAATGTGACGGACAGGATCCCTACAGAGATAGACTTTTTTTTAAAGAGTAAGATCCTTTCCGTTCAATCTGAAATCACTGTTGCCAAACCCACCAGACTCCATTTAAATAAACAGTAATTTTATTATCATAAGACACACTTCAATCAAAGTTGACAGAAACAAAATAAAACACTCAAAAGTCATTTTGGTTCATCTTCCCACTCTTCCAACAATCACCAACTCTGGTTTGGTTGAAATAAACCCCTAATTCACCCAGTTAGATGTGAAAACATGCTGTCTCTATATACACTAAAATTACTGTTTATTTAAATGGAGTCTGGTGGGTTTGGCGAAAGCAATTTCTGGGCTGTTTCTGGTTGAACAAAAAGGATCTTACTCTTTCACAAAAAGGTCTATCTCTGTGGGGATCCTTTCCATAATGTTGTCAGGACACTTCAAATAACAAACCCTAACTAACTAACCCTCAATCAATATTCATTGACCCATCTCTTTGGGACAACTATATTCATCCCACGGCAAGGAAATGCAAATACTGTCCTCACTCACCAACACCAGAGATGTCACCCTCCTTCTCCTCATGCATAGCCAGTGCAGTGTTGGTCATGTCGATGGACGACATGGACAGATCCAGTCTGTCCATCAAATCTGCAGGATCGGGATTTATCACTGCCACTTCAGAGTCTGAGAAACCTGGAAAAACACACACAACGCACTCACTCAGAAGATTTTTATGAGCACAATTAGACGCCAGGGAGACAACTCTTTCATGTCAGATATGATCATCCTCTAAAACCACTGCAGAGCTGAACTGACCGGGGTCCATGACCCTCTGGATGGGTGGAGGCAGAGAAGCTTCCTGGAGGGTGACCTGCTCCAGGTCTAACAAGTCCTCACTTGGACTTGAAGGTGCCATCAAAGGTGCCTGAAAGCAGGTAACAGAAATACAGCTACTAATAACAGTTTGATCTCATGCAGCGCCATCAGAAAGTCAGTGTCGTTGTTCAGGAAAACAAAAACAATATCCACACAGATTTCTGACTGTTATTGTCTCTGATACAGAACAAGTCAGACTATATGTACATTAACAGTGAAACAATTAGTTGACTGATTTGATTAAACATGTTTTGTTACCCATAGTTATTTAAGCAATCTATCTCGCAAACATGCCAAACATTTGTTGATTTCATCTTCTAAGATGTGATTTTTAACCATTTTCTGACATCGTATAGACTGAACATAAGTATAAACAACACTTTTGTTTTTGCTTTCATTTTCCATGAGCTGAAATAAAAGATCTTAGACTTTTTCTATCCACACAAAAGGCTTAGTTCTCTCAAACTTTGTTCACAAATTTCATCACAACAGATCAGTCAAGAGTGACTAAATGTGGTACATGTGGATTCAGATTTACCTCCATGTATCCATGAGTTGGCAGCTCCGGAAGCTCCAGAGAGGGTTCCTCCACAGGAACAGGGGTGGGTGGCTTTGGCGTCGATACATCGGGATGTGCCGGGATTCGGTGCAAGTAGCCATAACCAATGCCACAACCCAAACTAAGAGCAAACATTTGTAAATGCTTCAAGAACATTTAAAACAATTCATACATTTTAGAATAATGCCGCATAATCTGGAAAAGCCTCACTGTGAATGAACGGCCAGCTGAGGTTGTGTACCGTTATAGTGATCTGAATAAACTTTATACAGGAGACCATAAACAATCTGCATCACTTCTCTCCTCATAAAGGATTTAACACCAATGAAAAGTAATTTATAATATCTAAAGACAAAAAGGTGTACTGCAGTAATTCTGCAGTAAGCCCCCCTGAATAACTCATGTATCTGTGTACTGTCAGATACCTGCCCTCTCCGCCCCACGCTCCGTTTGGCGTGACCACCACCTCTCTGCAGGCGTCTGTCTGTGTATTGTACACCAGCAGCTTCAGCGGCTTCCCTTCATGGGCCTCAATCAGCGAGAAGAAGTCTTCTGACTGGAAATCAGTGACTCAGAGTTAACCTCAACTCAGCTTTCAAACATTTGTTAAAGAGATACAGTGAAGCATTACATGAACATCTCACATCTTGCAACACTTGATCTGCTCCGACGATGTAGTCGCTGTGTGGCTGGAGCTCTGCCAGTGCAGCAGGTGAAGTGGGTTCCACATCCTACAGGACAGAGACAAGCGTTAACAAACTGAAGATGAAGTTTTGAAGCTGAAATCAGAGTTAGCTCAGTCGATTTGGTTTTCCTAGTTGTTAATGATGGAGCTCACCAGAACGTGCCAGACATTCTCATTGGCTCCTTGGTAGCTGCAGAAGCGAACGCTGGCACCCAGCAGGCCCTGTCCTCCCCACATGTTACTGGGCACCACCTCCAGCTCCCGGACTCTTGTGGTTTTAGTGCTGTACACCTCCATCTTCACTGCTCTCTCCATGTTGGCTTTCAGAAGCTCCTTCAGCAGGTCATTCTCCTCATTCTGGTCAACAGTAACAGAAGGAGTCACAACAGTAGGAGTAGGAGGTAACTTTGGTACCTATGGGCTGTTCTTTCTTGATTTTGTGCCTCCTCGCCTCCTCTTTTCTCCATCCTACTGCCTGAGACCTAGAAATTGATTTCAGCGCACCACCTTGAAGGAAGTCTAATTTCAAAAAAGCATGTCAAGGAGAGAGGAGTGAGGAGGCTTGCTAGAGGAGCTATCAGCAAGGATGCACAGGTGTGTCTTTTTCAGCACCTCTGATGTAAAAATGACAGGTTAATAGGGATGTTAATGATTAACTGTTAATCAAGAAAATCAAGAATATTTTTAACCAGTTATGCATGTTGGTCTATAGGACAATTTTGCTGCACTGCACACCAACTGGGTCAGGTGGGAGCTGACCCGACAGTGTTGCTACAGAAACATGCGCCCCCCTCCAGCTTCCCCAGGTCTTCACAGTGAGGACGTAGCTCAATTTTGACTGTCAAACCCCTTTTATAATTGTTGACTATGTTATTGAAGGTGGGAGGGACTAAGATGTGAGGAGAGGTGGCGGGGAAAGGAATCAAGGATGTAAAAACTAAGAACTGACTCTGTGTACTCTGTTTATGACCAACCAGTCAATGACTACTGAATTAACTTCTGACAACAGCACAAGCATTAAACTTACAAGTCTTTTGTTGTCCAGGGACAGGATGAAGTCAAAGAAGGGCTGCAGTCCGGCCATTTCTGCAGGGGAATTCGGCTGCACCTGCCAAAACCAACACAAGCATTTTAATATTTTAAAAACTTTGAGGTTTGAAAGTTAAAAGTGAAAAAACAAAATCCTGGAATCATTAAACGCCTTGGTTGTTCTCTCCTCTCATGCATGCAGGAGTGTAGAACTAAATGTTTCTTACTGGATCTGGTTTGTGCACATGGTTTATTTTTAGCAAAATTTTAAAGAAGACATGTATAGGGTTGCAACGGTGTGAGATTTTCACAGTGCGATAACCATCTCAGAAAATATCACGGTTTCACTGTATCACAGTATTAGAAAATGTATAATATCATCAGTCAGAATAACTCTTAAAGAAATGAAAACAGGATTATTTTTGGTTGAACGGACGTTTTATGATTATAAATGAAACTTGAAACCATTTTGTTAATGGACGTGTGTGCATAAAGTCTCCCTTTAGAAAATGACTAAAATGAAGGGGATATTCTCCAACCAGTTGCTCTTTTTTTGTGTGTTAATATCATTAATAAGCATTATAATACATGGTGTGATAAGAGTCAACTTCTATATCACAGTATACCTTGAAACCGTCATATCACTGCAACCCTAGACCTTAATCGTGCATGATGTGTTTAAGGACCGTCATACATTTGAAAATATGAAGACAATTTCTGTTTTTACAGTTTCTGTCGATAATAAACGGCGTAATTTTGCAGAATTTTAAATAAAACATGCCTTTCAAATCCCCAAACAACAATTTGGGGTTCAAAGGGTACTTCATTAAAATAAATATAACCATTTAGACTAGGGGTGGGAATCAACAGAGGAGCCACGATACCATATTATCACAATATTTAAGTTACGATACAATAATATTGCGATTTTAAACATGCTGAATATTTTATTATTACCTTTAATATTACCTTTTTTCAACTGTAAATTGACTGTAACTGTAAGTTGATGATTATATCATTCTAGTTGGCTACCTAACATTTAATTTGTGTTTGTCATACTAATAATTTACACAATAAAATATCAATACTTGGCAATGTGTGACGGTACAATGTTGCCACACAAAAATTGCAACACTATGCTGTATCGAATACAGAATGCAGCAGCACGTGTACTAACAGGAACTAAGAAACGAGATCATATTTCTCCTGTTTTACCTTCTCTGCACTGGCTCCCTGTAAAATCCAGAATTGAATTTAAAATCCTACTGTTAACTTATAAAGCTCTAAATGGTCAAGCTCCGTCATATCTTAGAGAGCTCATAGTGCCATATTATCCCACCAGAACACTGCGCTCTGAGAACGCAGGGTTACTCGTGGTCCCTAAAGTCTCCAAAAGTAGATCAGGAGCCAGAGCCTTCAGCTATCAGGCTCCTCTCCTGTGGAATCATCTTCCTGTTACGGTCCGGGAGGCAGACACCGTCTCCACATTTAAGACTAGACTTAAGACTTTCCTCTTTGATAAAGCTTATAGTTAGGGCTGGCTCAGGCTTGTCCTGTACCAGCCCCTAGTTAGGCTGACTTAGCCCTAGTCTGCCGGAGGACCCCCTATAATACACCGGGCACCTTCTCTCCTTCTCTCTCTCTCTCTCGTATTCTATTACTGCATCTTGATAACTCGGCCATTTCAATAATGTTGTTGTAAGCTACTGTTATCACCTGCATCTCTCTCTCTCTCTCTCTCTCTCTCTCTCTCTCTCTCTCTCTCTGTCTCATTGTGTCATGCGGATTACTGTTAATTTATTATGCTGATCTGTTCTGTACGACATCTATTGCACGTCTGTCCGTCCTGGAAGAGGGATCCCTCCTCAGTTGCTCTTCCTGAGGTTTCTACCGTTTTTTTTCCCCGTTAAAGGGGTTTTTCTTATCCGCTGTGATGGTCATAAGGACAGAGGGATGTCGTATGCTGTAAAGCCCTGTGAGGCAAATTGAGATTTGTGATATTGGGCTTTATAAATAAAATTGATTTAATTGATTGAATTGATTGATTAGTCAAAGCTATTATTTAGCTACAGTGCTAATATTAACGACTACGATAAAAAATAATTCATGTTGTTACTGTAACAGCTCGATGAACTGTTGGAGGACTTTCTTTAAAATCAGTTAAACGCCTGAATTCAAGCTTATTTACGACATAAACACACAAACAGTAAACAGATGTTTATGTTGCATTGTGTCAACTTTTAACAACAAAGGTAAACAGTGCCAACTCGTCGGGTCTCACCGCAGAGTCTGCAGCAGCTAGCTAACTGTTAGCATACAGTAGCATCACGATAAGCTGCAGCACACGCTGTACAAATTCAAAACAAGCTCAATAATTGAAGTCTTACGCCGTGCACGTGGTATCCATACGTCCCTCCTTCGGATACCTCTGAACTCTGTGATAAACCCATGTCTGTCAGGAACTTTCAAATACGAGCTAATTTCATCAGAAAGTAACAACTGTGTGAGAATTATTACGGTTCACAGTCCGCGGCCATATTGTCTGCAGGCCATATCAATCGAGCACCGCTGGTATCGAACAGACACAGGCGCACACATTGCGCATGTGCACACACACCAGTACTTCTTTCAGTGGGTACGTCCCAAGTCCCTTAAAATTACTGCTAACCACCTTACCTAGCCACCTTACCTAACTGTTTAGTCCCTCCCACATGCAAGGAGTCGGGAGTTAGGAGTTAGCAGTATAAAATAAGAGACTTGGGACGTACCCACTGTTCTAAAACACAGGGCTGCTTCAGCGGTAGCATTATATAATGGAGTTGTGTTAATGAGGTCACTAACATGACCTCTATGGTAACATATTTATTTAATTATAAAGTAATGATGTAATGATGCAAAGACCTTAAACGTGATATTTTCTGAACCATGGCAGGTTTATTAGTGACAGTAAATTAATACCAACCAGGAGAAACAACCCTTAGACACTTTGACATTACACAGCAGTTAATTCAGTGAACATAAAGACATTTACGCGAATGTCATTTTGAGATGTAGATTTATAAGACTAGGTCCAGGGTATTGGTGCTGTGTATTAGGACTGCAACAATTAGTGGATGAATCGATTAGTTGAATGACAGAAAATTACGACTATTTTGATAAATGTTTATTTTTTTTAAAGCATCAAACTAAAAATCATTCTCTGGTTGCAGCTACCAAAATGAGGATTTGTTGCTTTTCTTTGTTTTGTTTTCTTTTATATAATAATATGATAAAATAATATTTATTTGTATAGCACTTCAATAAAAAAAAGGTTGCAAAGTGCTTCACAAAGTGCTTAGAAATAAAACACAAAAGTTACAAACCACAAAAGTAGAAATCAGGCATTAAAAGGGAAGCTTTCCTATAAAAATATGATTTAGGCAATTTTTGTGATATAAAAGTAAATATATTTAAATTTGTGGACTGTTGGTTGGACAAAACAAGACATCACTTTAGGTTCTAGGGAAATGTGATGGACATTTTTATTATTTTTGTCATATTCTAGACTCACAATTCATCAATTTATTGAGAAAATAATCATCAGATTCATCAGTAATGAATATAAACATAACTTGCTGCCCTACTGTGTATGCTGGCTCACTGGCATGGTGTATTGGAACACTTAGAGGCCGTTTACACGTACACGGTGATTTTGATAAACGGAGACATCTTCCTTCGTTTGTGCCCTTCGCTTACACGCAAACGGAGATTTCTCCTCTGAAAACGAGCCTTTCTAAAAATTCCGGCCAGAGTGGAGATTTTGGAAAACTCTGGTTGCGCGTTTGCATGTAAACTGAGATAAACGGAGATAAACGGAGTTATAGGCAGCCGACGTCACAGTATGCGCCGCAACTTGCGCCTGTGTCAAAAGTGCGACCTATGTTGCTATGGTGACAATGGATACATGGAAGGCTTGAGCTTCTCGTTACACTGCCACTTACAGGTTTGGCATGCTCTTGTGTATATATACACGGGTAAGTGTAAACGAAGATCTTTTTGAAAACGGAGACGGTGAAATGTCTGTTTATGAAAATAGCCGGCCACGTGTAAACGGCCTCTTAAAGGAACCGACTCTTCATCAATGTGATTAGTTTCACCTGTGCTTGTCCTGCAATGAAGTCAACATGTCTGACTATTTGCAAACCACTGGACTGAGTTAGATAGTTGAGATTGTACTGAATTAGTTAGTGTTATAGTTCTTCTTCTTGGCTTTGCACTAAAAGAATCATGAAAAACAACAGTGAGCGTAAATCCCATGAACATCATTATCATCGTTATTGCTCCTATACCGTCACGCATAGTGGGGCTGAATAGAAAAATACCACTCAATAAATCAATCTGAAGTCAGTGAATAAATAAATAAAAATGTTTTATTTTATCAATCCGATACAGAAATATTTTAAACATATTGTTAGGCATAAACAGGATGATCCACAATCAGCCAGACAGTTGTTAAAAAATAATTAACAACCCAAAAATTGTTGAAAATCGAGACAGGTTATTTTTTTGTTACTGCATGTGTCAAAGTGTATTTTCCTGTTTATGACATGACCAGCTGCCCACGACACATGGATATTTTTTTTGATATCCAGAGCAGTATGTGCCCTATCAAAATCATCTGTGTGGCCATGATGTAAGAAATTAAATAAAATATCAGAGATCATTATATAGGTTCAAGAAATAATAATAATAATAATAATAACAATAATAATAATAATAATAAAAACAGACATATATTAATTACTCAAGTGTGGTTTCTCTGAAACAAAGGCAAAATAATTTTTAGGCAATAGAAAAAATATCCAGCAAGGAAAAAATATTTTATCGATCATTTTTTTGTACATCGAAATATTCTTACAAATACATAAAAGCAGTGCTTTATACAGTTAAATCTCTTACGCAGTTTCTTTGTGACACTAGTAACAGGGGCGAGTGGATCGATACCAAAATATCAGTACAGATATTAAGATTTTATTATAAGGATTGATTGTAGTGGCAATGGGATTGTTTTCGAAAAAAGTGTCCACACAAACAATGTTTCGTTGCCGTGAACACATCTAGTGCATGTGCTCTTTAATTCTCCACTGCTGTTGTCATGCTGTGTGCACTCAAACACACATGTTGCACTCTGACTAGTTTAACCAGTAACACTTAATTTGAATAGTCCGCCTACAGATAGCTCATAGAGTATCTGTAACAGTTCAATAGCTTATTAGTTGACATTCAACAATTTAACTGTCTCACTTTGTTCTGTAGATGTTTAACAGATTATCTATGTGATGATTCATCACCATATTCTCAGAATAATTTAGTTGAACTGGAACTTTTGAATAGTTAAAGTTGAAACTCTGAGTCTTGAAGTCCTGAAGTGGACAGGACCTGGTGGAGGCCTTCAGTGACTGGAGCAATAAGGACTGCCTCCTCCTGAACACCACCAAGACTAAGGAGATGGTGGGGGACTTCAGAAGATCAAAGCCACCCTGCCAGCTGGTTTGCATAATGGTGGAGGCCACTGAGGTACCTGTAAATACCTGGGTGTGCTCCTGGACAGCAGGCTCGACTGGTCTGCGAATATGTATGCTCTGTACAAGAAGGGGCAGAGCCACCTCTTCTTCCCCAGGAGGCTCAGATCTTTTGATGTTTATCAGACTGTGGTGGCGAGCGCCCACCATGAGAGCTGCTGGATACCTGAATTTCCCAGAGAGGATGAATAAAATATCTTTCAACACACACTGCTCTTCCCTACATGAACGTACATAAGCTGCTTTTGATAATTCAAAGCTTAAGTATCGATTATGGCAACTCTGGCCCTTGGTATCGGATCAAAACCAAATTGTGTGGTATTGCCCACCCCTGACTAGACTGCCTTGACTTAGCTATGAAAGCTGGGTGTCGCTGACTGTGTAACCCTGCTCTGGGCTCGGCTCAGTCAGGCCGATCAGAGACTCCAGGAGGTAGGTGCTCGACTCGTACTGTGGCAAGTTAACTGAACTCAACAGCTGCAGTTGGCAAAAGCTGTCTGTTTGTCTGTGTGCTTTGAATGAGCTGTGCAGAGGTCCAGAGGTATAGTCGCTGTCGAAGAACTCGAGGTCGGAGTCAGAGGACAGACTCAGGTCCATGTACCTGCCTGAGAAATAGTCCACAGTGGGGGAAGGAGTTTTGGGGAAGCCCTCAAGAGAGTCATCGTCGAAGAAGTCTGTGGCTTGGTTTGCGTTCTCGTCGAGGTAATCTGTCCTGCCCATGTTGTCTGTGAACATGTTGGCTGTCAGTGGTCCCGTACTGTCCACAGGTGTGCTGTGAGTGGCAGAGCAGCTGCTGTGCTGCTTCAGTGGTTCTCCTGTGTGCCGCAGCTGGCTGCACACAGAGTAGTTATTATCTTCAGAGTCACAGATGCTGAGGGCACGAGACAACCCTCCATCAACATCAGGGAGGTTCTGACTCCCATTAATAAGGCATCCTGTTGCGTCAGAGTCAGAGGAGGAGCAGGAGGAGTCGGTCATGTCGCTGCTGCAGCTGTTCTCCTCCACTACCATCCGCTCCGGGCTAAAATGAAAAGAAGGCGTGGCGGGCATGGTGAGAGGAAGATCGTCCTCCTCCATGGTAAACCCAAAGGGGCAGCTCTTATCCTGTGCACTCTGCACCGGATGAGCCTCATCCTGGTCCACGTAATCTTCAAGGTCCTCTGGAAGTCCCGTCTGGTCCTCTCGGCTCAGTGTTTCATCTTGCAGTCGTCTCTCCAGTTCCAGTTTCATGACGGTGTGGATGTAATGAGTCTGCACGCGTCTGGAGTTGAACTCGATGCGCCCCTGAGTGTTTCCACAACCGTCCTTCGTGCAGCCACATGGGAAGTTGAAGCGGTCCACCTGTTGTGTAAAAGACAGGAGAGAATCAGCACTGTGGGTACTCAAATACGATGAACAGACCATTGCACTTTCACGCACGTCTGGGGTACAGGCAGGATGTCATTGACGCAACTTAATGGGAAAAGCCTGATATCTCTTCAGGCATGAACTCTTATCCAGCATGTGAACTTTGGGGCAGACTGAGCTACGTAAAGTCAAATTACAACAACTTCCTATGTTATGGGGAAACGTGGAAAATGACCACCAAGCCAGGGCAATGCCATTTGACGACAGCTGGCTATCTTCACAAAAAAGCATCATCAAGGTCTTAAGACTTTACAAAACAAATCTGAGGTAGTTCTGTCCAGTTTGCTCGGAAGAGTACATCAGTGTATAAAACAAGTCATTTCCCTGTAAGTTTCGTACCTGGCACTTGATTCCTGCCAGACTGCACGCGCAGGTCTCTGGCTCACAGAAGCCTTGGCAGTCACATCCACAGGCCTCTCTGGAGAGACGCAGGGCGTGAAGCTGCCTCTTCTCCTCCCTGTCGATGCGTTTCACTCCCGCTGCCTGGAGGAGAGCCTGCCGCTGTTTGGAGGAGTACGGCTGAAGGAAACCTCCCTCCTCCAGCTCAGCATCACTGATATGGACGTCAGCGTCTTCATCTGGGATCTGATCCACCTTCAGCGTGTCTGCGTCTCTTCGGTCAATGGCCCCACTGGTGATTAACTGTGACCCACACAACAGATAGAGTAAGAAGACCGCCATGTAGCAAGCAATGCAAACTAATGTAGAGGTGAAGCTCACTCACTTTGTGTTTCAGTGCCTCGAGCCTCTCTTTTCTCCGTCTTTCTCTGAGCCTCTCCGTGCGCCTGTGCCGTCGCTCCAGGGCATGCTCCGCCACTGTGTATCTCTGAAGGGTGCTGTGCCTCTGCATCATGCCCAGGGTGGCACCTCCACGACTGGGCACGCTGGTGAAGCCCTGGCAGCGTGGGAAACTGAACACCGTCACTTGGTCAAAGCGCACGTTGCTCTGTGCACCTGCAAGCCTGGGCCTCTTCAGGATGGAGCGAACTGGTGGTGCTACAAAGAGACATCAGAGTTTAGTTTTAAAGTGAGTGTCCGGAGCTTTAACAAGAAGAACCGTTACTATGAAGACATGAGCATATCTGTCAGAGCACTGTCAATGTATGGCCACTAAAACTTAAAACTTTTTTTTTTTGCCACTGACAGGCTCAGGCTCAGGAGTTTGGCGTCAAAGCTCTTTTCATTCAACCCTGTTTGGAAAGTTAAAATCAGAGTTTCTTCCTGTGGGGTTTGGTGTATCTTAAGAAAACCCTGCTCCTAAGGGAAAAAAAGATTATTTGACTGTAATCCTAATGTAACTAATGATTCCTTCATACTTGATAAATACATTCCCTGAGCTTTGGCACAGACTTTTTCTTCTGCAGGTCTCTGAGTGGCCACAAGGTGACACACTACAGGTGGCTTGGCTCAGTAGTTCAACATACACGTGAAGAGGAAATACCAAGCAAACGGTCTAATGCAGCAGAGGACAGATCAACAGTAAAGACAAGTAAACCAGGGTCTAACTGCTGGACTGTGGAGGTTTAGACTCTATCTGACAGTTTAGTCTTACATATCCATCAGGTCACTGTTTAGTTCAACAGTTTGGCTTCAACAACTTGTCCAACCTTCACACATAGCTGAGGCTGAAAAGTCAGTAAACAACTGAGACCAGCTGACTAAGCTCATCTCAGCTGCTGTCTGTCTGAAAAGCTCCACACTGGGGCACTGTTTGCACCAACACTCAATTTGTGACCAAACAGAATAACAAGCCTGCAGCTGTTACACATAAGGTTTTAGACCACACACCGATAACTGCAGAATATCCTGTCAATGAGAGCTCCCCGTGCAGCTCCGCCATATCTTAATAAGGCCATTTAATACGGCTTGTTTAAAGGGACCTTGCTATTCAAATTGATTCCACAACACCCTATTGCTCAGGCAAATGATCTTCCACCCAACCGGACGGACCGTCCAGAGGCCAGTCATTCACTCTGCATTATCTAGAACAGCGTTTTCATATCAGTGCTGCTGCAGCCTGATAAGAGACACTCCTATAAAACACCGATGGGGAAAGAGCCTGATAAGGTGGAGGTTTGCATTATTTGAAGGTGGGGGGAAAAAAAAGCACAGTGACCGTTAGTCTGGAGACTTACTGGGTAAACTGGCAGGCGAAGAAGGACTGTGAGGTGTGAAATCCTGGTTGTCAGAGGGGCCGCTCTCCCCGTCTGACTCCCACTCGGAGGAGGAGGAGAGGGAGGACGGAGGAGAGGAGGAGTAGCAGGGATTGTCATCCACCTCTGCGAACTTTCTCTTCACGATGTCTCTCATGGTTTGTCTGTGGTGGTTCATATACATTCTGCATGAACACAAAGAAAAACTGGTTTAAATATTCATCACGCTGTGTGGTGCTAAATGCACAGATCGATTCTCCAAGAGACAGAAAACAAGTCGTGCACTATGTGGCTTTGCAAAGAGCTCGCTCGTTTCGGCACTCCAAACCCAGCGAGACGTTATGTAAATCAATGAATTAATAATCGAGTAACAATTCACTAACATGGCAATAATGACCTGTTTCCTCTTCTGTGTGAGAGACCAAATGTACACAGTCAAATGATCTTGTGAGAACCTGAGGAATGAGAGGTCTTTCCTGTTGAGAGCTGCTGGTTGAGCCGGTTTCAGGGCACCAGTTTGTTTAGGCTAATTACATCTCGATGGTGATTATCTTACAAACCGATGTTTCACAAGTGCACACGGACGAGCTGAAATCCTACGTTTGCTCGCAAGCAGCTGAGAACTTGAGAGAGTTTTTCCCTCTCTTTCCCCTGCAGGGTAATTAACATTCCAATGATTCCTAAAGTTTTTTTTGTGAAGAATACGTGGAAACGGACCATCCAATGGCTGCACGCCGAGGACTGGGGGGTGTAATGGTTCAAGTGGCTGCTATTTTTGGATGTGAACATGGAAAATAAGTCCAAACACAAGTAATTTCAGGCTTAAACCTTAGCAGGGCTGTACAAAGCTGCTGAGTAGAAGAGAAAATCTGAGCAGAAAAGCTGGTCCTACATGGTCTGTTACACAAGTTCCGCTTCCAGTGTGTGTGTAGAAGCTGTCAAGTAAGTTTTGGACACAATGGGAGCCTATGAGTGTTTGGTTAAAGGCTTCAACAAATGATCATTTTTAAACAGAGTCACATTTTCTCAATTAATCGGCTTGGTGCATCAAACAATGGCAGTTCTTGACCATTTCAAATGGGGGGAGCCAGGCTGGGGCCACATGTGATTTAAGGGTTACCAAATATATTAAAGGGATAGTTTGGATTTTTAGAAGTAGGGTTGTATGGGGGACTTGTCCACAGACAGTGTATTACACACAGTAGATGTCAGTCAGCATGCCCCCAGTTTGGAGAAGCAAGCCGGAGTGCGGACATGGAGGCTAAGCAATGTACTGCTGTGGACGGGGGCCAGCAGCAAAACATATTTTAGCCACCTAAAAAAATCATTAACAGTCTAACTGTATGCTATATTGAGAGTATTTTCACTGCCTTACCTTTAAGTCAGACAGCGGTTAATGGCTTCAGTTCCCCATCTATGCGCTCGTCAAAGCCACCAGACTCCATTGAGAAAAACAGCAACTTTAGCTCGCTGATCTTGGGAGCTGCTGGTCCACTGCTGCTTCGAACAGTTTGTGAGTTTGGGTTATTGTGTGACTTCGGCGAATCTGAACTGACCCGTTTAAATGCCAAAGTCACACAATAACTCAAACAAAACAATTCTTCAAGGCAGCAGTAGATCAGCAGCTCCTGTGTTCAGCAGTGTTAAATCACTGTTTTTCTCAATGGAGTCTGGCTTTGAAGAGAGCGACACAACAGCTTCAGTTCCCCATTGGAAATTGCTGTCTCATGACATGGTAAAACACTAAAAATTCTGAAATATAGCGTACACGCACACTGATATTGATTTTTTTGGTGGCTAAAATACATTCTGCTGCTGCCCCTGTCCACAGCAGTACATTGCTTAGCTTCTGTGTCAGACTCCTGCCTGCTTCTCCAAAATGGGGGCGTGTCAACTGAGATCAACTGTAGGTGATACAATGATTTGAATAAGTACCTCATATAACCCCATTTCAGTAGATTGGAAATATACCTTTAAGCACAGCTGTTACATACCACCACCACTCCCACAGGTTTGCGTCCCCAAATGATAATGATACACATATGACAACATACACAAGAATACAGGAGTGGGAATCACCAAAGCCCCCATGATATTATCACAATACTTAAGTCACGATATAATATTATTGCAATTTTACACATGTTGTGATATGCTGAGTATTGCGATAACATATATTAGAATATATTGCAATTTATTACCTATGGAAAAATGTATGAATGAATTCTAGCAGGCTTCCAAAAGTTTAATTTGTAGAATTAGTTATTTACATAATAAAAAATTGATACTTGGCGTCCGGGTATTAATGCAACATTGCCACACTCACAATCACAGCCAATGAATAATTAAAATTACCTTCTTTTGGGGATAAATGTAGGGCGAAAAATGTCTGAAAATATTCACCACAATTAACGGAGACAGAGGAGGGGTCCAGGTTTAATATTACAGGGGCACTGGCACCTTCTTGCCCCCCCAGAACCATGAAGTGCCACAAAATACTGAAAGTGCACATCAAAATTTCCCTAAAGCCATATTTAAATGTCTCGTTCTGTCTGAGCAACAATCCAAAACTCCAAAGTATTCTGTTTAATATAATGGAAGTCTAAGAAAATCAGCGAATATTCACATTCTGAGAAATAAACATTCACTTATCAAACTCTTTTTAGGCAGTCAGAGCGGTTTGACCTCAAGATGCTTTAAACTGACAGTAATACAAGCAGCTGACCAGGATTTAGACTGATCCCTCAAGTCCCAGAGGGAAGGGAAGGGAAGGGAAGCGTACAGCACGAGCCACTATAAACAGTACAGCGCGTGTGTTTGAGAGAGAGTACATTAGGTGAAACAGTGACATTGCCGCTGGTCAGAAAAAACAACTGTGGCTACCTTCCTCTGCACTGACAGGCTGCACTCTGCAATTGCTTCACTCATTCTGAGACCACGAGAACAGGGACTTCTGATTGTTTGTAGTAAGCAAATAGTTAAACTAGTGAGGCTGTCTCTTTGTGTGTGTGTGTGTGTGTGTGTGTGTGAGTGTGTGCGCACTTGGAGTGAGCAACTTCCTGAATCCATCAGCAAATGAGAGGTGAAACCAGAGATCACTTCTTGTGCCATTACAACGCTGTGCTGCAGAGGCAGTTAGGTTAAAAGGGATTTAGCTCTGCATGGCTGTTTAATACTCCTGAAAAATTAAATAACAGTGTTTCAAATTAATGCTGCGTCGCAGTATCATTACAGCTGCTTCTCGTCCCGATTGTATCACATTTACTCCTTTATGTCTGACAGAGTGGAGAGACTTTACTGTACATGTGGATGTGGGTATCCGCTGAGAGCAATCAATAATTTAAAGGTTCAAAGCAGCAGAAGCACAGGGTGCATATGGGCGTTAGGGTGAAACAGGAGGGGGGGCTGTATTAAAGGCACAGTTCACTCCAAAATAGAAAATGCACATTTTCCCTTTTACCTTTAGAGCTCAATCAATCTAGATTGTTTCGGTGTGAGATATCAGCTGTAGAGATGTCTGCCTTCTCTAAAATATAATAAAACTGGATGGCACTTGACTTGTGGTGCTCAAAGTGCCAACAAATTATTTCAACATCAATGTCTCTTTCCAGAAATCATGACCCGGTTTCTCAAGATAATCCACAGACCTTGATGTGAGCATTTTCCATGTAGGAATTATTTTCTTTCTACAAAACTACACCTGCCAAATGTATCACTGCGCAGAGGGAGGAGTGCGTCTATTGCTAGCTAAGCTAGCACCACTGAGCTAACTAACTTTACAGCTCAGCCGAAAAAGAAACCAAAAGCCTTTACATCTTGCACAGTCTTGAGCAGGAGCCTCTCATCCATGAGTAGATGCACTATTTTCTGCTTTCAAAAGAAGCGAACAGCGGGCTCACAGGTGAAAGTCCCTGGTTTGTTGGACCCGTCGACCTCCATTCTCACCCTTCCAACAGGAACTTTCCAGCTCCCTATAATACACTGTTATCAGCAGTGTTTCAAACAGACATGGCGTTATAAACTGCGTCCGGCAACGTATCATACCACTACAAAAGGTGCCCTTTTATGTTGGTGTCTAACGCCAAAATCATAAGCTCTTATTACACTGCCTCTTCAAGGCGGCAATTTTACGGCGTTAGTCACGTCGCCATGCTGTGTAAAAGGTACAATCCTGGAATGGAAGAACGGAGTTAGAGTTGTCTCGCCTTTAGGCCCGCAGTGGAGGTAGAAACAGCGCCGAAACAATGTAAGACACAGGTGCGATATTTTGATGATGTGTTATGCATGCAATCCACCACCGGGAGATTCAAAAAGTAGCTGTTAGCAGTTAGCAGCTAACTCAAAGACGAAGAACAGCGGTGGAAAATGTCTGCAAATTGGGGAAACAGTGAGGTCCAGGAGCTCCTTACCCTCTGAGCAGAGGACGAGATCAGCCGCCATATAACAGATGACGCATTTATGTTACATGTCAAACCCGTGATGCCTCTTTTGCCTCCGTGATGCTGACATGCCGCCGCTGTTTCTGTGTAAAAATGCAAAGGCGGCGTAAATACGGGACTTTGTAGCGGCTCTATAGTGCGATCTCTGTGTGAAAAAGACTACTGAAAAAGTGGCGGTATTTGATCACTTGGGAACCTCACACCTAGTGCCATCTAGTTCCATTATACTGGAGGGAAGGCAGATACCTGTACAGCCCATATCGACAACACTCGGCAACTCACACCAAAAAGATCTAGATCGATAAACAGTGCTAAAGGGAACAGAAAAAATATGCAGTTTTGATGTTGGGGTGAACTGTCCCTTTAATGTACTTAAGTAGTTTCACAGTGACACTATAGGATAAAAAAAACTACTATGACGCACAACAAGTCCACAACACTTTCACTATTGTGTTCAGACACTCTTTAAATCCCTACAGGAATGTTGCTCGGATGTCACACCGAGTTTTCACTGGAGCAGTTGCAGGAGTCGTTTCCTGTTTGGCATTATAACAGTCATTAGGCAGCTGACCTCTTCACCCCTCACGGAGACACACGGCGATCATGTCAGCTATGATGGCAACACTGTCTCCTACCCTGTCCTGTCCTGTCTTGTCCGTACAGCACGAACACCAGCAGTCCCATTTAAACCTGAGCAAACTTCCTCTGCTGCCTCACAGCAGCTCAGACACACAGAGAGGAGTCCAAGCCGCTGTGAGAGGAAGTTTTTAAGGTTTTCATGAAACACAGTAAAATTAATAGCAACAATCCAAAAATGTCACTAATGGGCTCATTATTACGCATAAACATGACAAGACCTAATAAACACAAAATACAAAACGCTCACCAGGAGTAACTGACCCAAACCCTATGAGAGTAACACAGTGACTCTACTCACCAAGAAGTGAAATGCAGCATAATAATTTCAGAAAAAATGGCTGGATTTGACTCGAAGTTATGGGTCTTGTCCTCGGTCCAGCCAGCTGAGCATTGTGTGTCCCTGTGTGTTTATGTGAAGCCTCACTGTGCTGTAGTACCAGTGTGAACATGAGAGGACTGGCTGGGAGCAACCAAAGACACGACGGTTAGCAGCAAGATAGTTCACCCCCGAGGAGTCGCCGTAGAGCGTGCGCATGCGTACAACTGTCAGGACGGCTAGTAACTCAATTTTTGTGTCGGAAACTTCAAATATGAACAGTATTATATGTATTATGAACGAATATAATATGTACATGATGAAAGCCCACCTCATGAAACAAAACGGACGCGTTTACTAGTTGAACACAACACAATGACACTCAAAACTAGCTAGCTAGCTAAAACCCATACCGTTACAACGTCGTTCGGTCTCAAATCAGTTAAAAACATTGATTAAACCAAAATAATCAAAAGTAATAAACACCAACGCTGAACTTCATGTCTCAGTTTTTAAAATATCTGGCTACTTCTTTGCTAACAGCGCTTCAGTCAAACGAAACCGGAAGTGATTGTGGGAGGGAACTATCCTGCTTCACACAGTTGATCTCTGCGGCTCCCCTGACTGTGTTGACGTAGACGGTGACACACGCAGAGGCAGGAGACGCTCTGAGCTGTCACTGCTGCCCACAGACTCCCTGTCTACTGTGCTCACACTGTGCTGTTACAACTAGAGATGTACCGATACCACTTTTTCCTTCCCGATACCGATTCCGATCCCTGAACCTAAGGTATCTGCCGATACCGAGTACCAATCCGATACCAGCGTGTAAAATAAAAATGGATGGGATATGAATTGTTGTATGTCTCAACTCTTAAAACTCTATGTAAAATATTAAGAGATAAATACATAATAGTAGAATGAATGCCATAAAACTTTTTTTTTTATTATTATTATCCAGTGTTGACACAGATCAAGACACAAGTTAAAGTGCAGCCACACAATTTGGTGAAAAAGACATTTTAAAGGCTACAGTAGAATGCTTTTTAAGCTCCATTTCGGTTTCGTTTGCCTGTAGCGTGCGTATGCGTAATGATGTGAGGCGTTACGTGGTATCTGATTGCTCATAGGCTGTACTCGCCGATGCCCGATACCGCATTTTAGGCAGTATTGGAGGCATTTCCGATACTGGTATCGGTATCGGTACAACTCTAGTTACAACCACTGATGTGGTGGTCAATAAATAACCCATAAACCTACAGCTGGTGATTATCAGAAGGCAATCAGGCAATACTGTACATGTGTTAGGACACTGGGTTACCTTGGATCATTTCCTTATTTTATCCAATAAAGTAAAAGTGATATGGTGATGGTGGACAAAATAATGGGAATACTCTACAGCACAATAGGTGAAGCTCATATTATCCAGCTTTTGTTGAGATTGAGTTTTTTTCTCACAGAATCAGTGACCTCTTTTAAATCACTTCTTAAAGGGATAGTCTGGATTTTTTTGAAGTGGGGTTGTATGCCCCCTTTCCCCTTTCAGCTTGTTAGTATTGGACCTTTTTCCTGTTGACCTATTAGGTCACAGCCGAAACAAGTTAGCAACAGTTAGCTGGTGGACAACAGATGCAGATTTCGCCACGCTGGTACCGGCTTCTTCTTCTGTTACCCCTTTTAATGCTATTTGATTTCCAGGTCAAGGCCCGGGGCGTAAATTGTGGAGCATGCTCAGAGCACCTCTGCCAGTTTGGGTCTGATTGACTGTATACATGGAAGAGCAATTTGACTCCCAATCACATTATCTAGGTGTGTTAGTCCGACTTTGAGAAATTTGATTTCATACAATTTCAGCCAGACTAACATGTTTACATGTGTTTTAAAAGTCTAGTTTTACTCGGACTAACACGATAAATCAATTTCCCTAATATCATGCCAACGTACTGAGGGTATTTTGTACAGCAGATGTCAGTTGGTATGCCCCGAGTTTGGAGAATAAGGCTGGAGTCTGTCATGGAGGCGAAGCAATGTACTGCTGTGGACGAGGTCAGCAACTAAATTTACTTTGGCCACCTTAAAAAATCAATATCAGTTTAAGTGTACATTCTACTAAGATTATTTTCACTGCTTTACCTTTAAGTCAGACAGGGAAGCCATTAACAGCTTCAGTTCCCAATGTATGCTCTCGTCAAAGCCACCAGACTCCATTGAGAAAAACAGTAATTTTAGCTCACTGAACACAGGAGCTGCTGGTCTACCGCTGCTTCAATCAGTTAGTTATTTAGTGTTACTGTGTGACTCTGGTGAATCCAAACTAACCCTTTTAAATGCCAAAGTCACACAAAAAAAAAACAAACTAACTGACTGATCAAAGTAGTGATAGACCAGCAGCTCCTGTGTTCAGCAATCTTAAATTACTGATTTTCTCAATGGAGTCTGGCCTTGAAGAGAACGATACAATGGCTTTTTTTCCCGTTGGAAATCACTGTCTGATATTAAGGTAAAGCAGTAAAAATATTCTAAATATAGCGTAGACTTAAACTGATATTATATGGGACTTTTTTAGGTGGCTAAAATACATTTTGTTGCTGAACCCATCCACATTTAAAGGCAATTTTAAAAACAACATTTTTCTTTGGTTAATAAATTTCAACATTACTGTAAGTATGCAGTGGTTAAATTTCATGAATGATGCACTGATTTTCTGATAAGATTTAAATCATTACGCCTGCCATTGCCTCAGTAGACTGTCTGGTCTTTTGTGTCTGTGTAAACTGCCTTCAGACCTCTAATTAAAATGATGATCAGACCTCTATTAAAGGTGACACACGCTGCCATGTATTCATTTACATTACTGTAACATGACTCACTGGTGTTCCTCTGAGAGGGTGATTGAAGTCAGACACTCCTAAACTCCAGGAAACTCCCTGCGGTGTGGAGAGGCTGTAGATGGGCAGGATTGTGGATTTGGGTGTAAAGCCTCTTCTACTGGAGGAAAAAAATCCTCCTCCCTGCTTTCCTGTTATGTTCCAGATGTTGGCATTTGTTGGAAAATTGAAGTTTGTCATTCCGCAAACAGGCACATTTTGAACCTTTCACACTGTTAAAGGTCCAGTGTGTAGGATTTAGAGGGATATAATGGCAGATATGGAATAAAATAAGCATGTTTTTTAAGTGTATAATCACCTGAAAATAAGAATTGTTGTGTTTTGGGGGACTGCTACAAAGTCCCTTATTTATGCCTCCTTTGCATTTTTACACAGAACCAAATGACAGCAGCTTCATTCCACTCCAGTATGTGATTTCAGACAGCATCCTGGCATCCTGCAATCAAAAGAGGCGTGACATGTAACAAAATAGCGTCTGCTTCTAGTGTGACATATAACATACATGTCGGTAGCGCTACCTTAACAACAAGAATGACATAACATGGCAATAACAATAAGTTACTGTCTCTGTTATGTGATGGCTGATCTTGTCCTCTGCTTGGAGGATAAGGAGCTCCCGAATCTCTTTGTTTTCCCAGTTTGCGGACATTTGTGGCCACTGTTCTTCCTCTTTGAGTTAGCCGCTAACTGCTAGCAGCTGCTTTTTAAATTTCCCGTCATGGGTCCACAACATAATATGTAAAACATCACAACTGTTCCACCCATGGTCATGTCTTTCCTACTTTACGTTTTTCACAGGCATCTTTTCACGGCTGTTACTACCTCCATTCCTGGCTCAGAGGCGAGACAACTCTGTCATGCTTTTGCACTATCGTACCTATCGTATACAGACCACAGAGGTGGCATAACGGCACAATAGTCTTGCCTTGAACAGGCAGTGTAAAAGTGGCTGCTGGTTCAAGACTGGGCCATACGCCAAACAGCATTGGAGAAACACTGAGTTGTCATGTTATGCTGCTTTATTCAGTGTTTTTACTGGTTTTAATCACCTGGTTTGTTTGTTTTGGAGAGGAAGAGACCTCTGCGGATAATTCAGCTCCTGGTAAAACCCTCCTGAAAGTCTGGATCTTAAGTTATCAGAGAAAAAAGGTGAGCACACACAAGCAGGTGCTGGACTAATAGCCCTTCCACAGCAAGCCGAACAGCAATGGGGAAACAAGATTAAATCTTCAAGTCTGTTTGTTTTGGAGAGGAAGAGACCTCTGCAGATATTTCTGCTCAAAGTAAAAACTTCCTGAATGTCTGGATCTTAAGTTATCAGACAAAAAATGTGAGCACACATAAGGAGGCACTGGGCTGACAGCCTGTTTGCTTCATGCCAAACAGCACGGGAAAATCATTGATTTGTAATAATAAACTGCTTTATTCAGTGTTTTTACCAGTTTTAATCACCTGGTCTGTTTGTTTTGGAGAGGAAGAGACCTCTGTGGATAATTTGGTTCCTGGTAAAAACCTGAACACTGAAGGAATTTCAACCAGGAGAAGTTTGAACTGGTTGCAATCTGCAATCCTCACCGCTAGACGCCACAAAATCTCCCTTAATCTTACACAGTGCTGCTTTCAGTCAGTGTTTTGCACTCAGAGAGATGAACAGACAGAGTGAGAGATCAGCAGATGGACAGACAGATGAACAAAAGGACACACAAGTCCAGAAATACTCTTGCACTTTGACCCCACATTGGTACACAGCAGTGTGTCAGTCTGAAGAAAATATGCACTAATACCGGACCAAACGCTGAGGCCAGAGGAAGGGCTGCATGTCTCTTCCTCAGCACTCAGTGGACGTGTGTTATGAGAGTGTGACCCACTTTGGCTGGAATCACTGTGGTGTATGAGTGTTTCTTTTCCACTGACCTGCAGGGAGACAGTGCTGCAAGAGAGGAGGGAATTATTAATACCATGAAACAGCACATGAATAACCAAGAAATGTCTTTTATTTCAATCTCAGACTGTTTGTGAACATGTGTACTAAAGAATCTGTTGTTTTTTCATCCTGAAGGTACATCCAGTTTGTTTATCCTCTCTGGCATGACGTACTCGTAACACATGATCAAAGTGCTACGCCAGGCTACGTGGCTATTTATAGTACAATCACACTGCCTGTCCAAAAATACATTTGTGCAATACAGATGGAGTTTCCTGTTCCTTTTTGTGACTTTGCTGTGTGCTTTACTGTGTCAGGAGATTTTCTCAGACCACGCTAGTGAAGCACTAACAGAGGAGGAAGAAAATTCATATTTCACTTAAATGAAAAATTCCGGCATGTTACTTCCATGTCCTGGGAATGTCCAATCAATATTTGTGAACATGAGCTACTGTCCCTTAAAGCCAGAAACCAGAGAAGTCTGAAACTTGTGATGTCATCAAGTTAAAAGTCTGGAGCTGCTCTGAAGACAATGAACGGAAGCTTGATTTTGCAACAGATTCTCACTTTCAACTCGTCATGAGTCCTAAAACCTGGAAATGAGTTGGCATTTTAGCACTCCTGGTTCCCTTGTCTCACAGTCAATGGGTTTTTGGTTAGATGCCTGAAATGAGGTCTGTAGTTAGCACAAGCTGAAGAGACTTTGTTGTATTGTTCTACAACTTTAAATACATCAGTTAAGACCTCACTCATGAATTTAAAAGCTTTAATTTGGTACATTTAGGATATGATATTGTATGGCAGTTCACAGTGGTTAAGTTTGTACCCCCTCCCTTCCCTTACAAATGTGTTTCTTGTTGCTAGATGTAGCGCATTGACTGGTGAGTTGATGTGACAAGATTACATATGAAGACAGCAAGTTTCACAGGAGTCAGTTAGTAAAAAGTTTAACAGTGCTCGCAGCTCACTCCATGGACAGTGCTAGCTTGCTGCTGTGTGTCCGAACTAGAGTCCACAACCCAGCAGAGTTGCCGTCACTGATGTAAATGGCTGTATGTTCTCTTTGGTGTATAATTACCTGAAAATAAGAATCGTTGTATATTTGTTACCTTAAAATGAGCTGTTTATATCTACATGGGAGAAGGTCCTCGTTTATGGAGATCCCCTTGTTGTACTGCCATGTTTCTACAGTAGCCCAGAACGGACAAACCAAACACTGGCTCTAGACAGGCCCATTTGTGTTTTTGCATTTTTGCAACAAGCGCATCGGAAAAAGCACTGATTTTTTAATGTGAAACTGCTTTAATCAGTGTTTTTACCAGTTTGAATCACCTGAGAGACCCCTGTGGATAATTCCACTCCAGGTAAAAACCTCATGGACATTCATCCATCCTTCTTTTTTCGTCTGCTTATCCAGGGCAGGGTCACAGGAGCAGCAGGCCAAGCATAGCACCCCAGACATCCCTCTCCCCAGCAACACTTTCCAGCTCCTCCTGGGGGACCCTAAGGTGTTCCCAGGCCAGATGAGATAAATAATCCCTCCCTAATGTTCTGGGTCTGCCCCAGGGCCTCCTACCAGTGGGGCGTGCCCAGAACACCTCTAACAGGCCAGAAGGCATCCTGATCAGATGCCTGAACCACCTCAACTGACCCCTTTTACGTGAAGGAGCAGCAGCTGTACTCCGAGCTCCCGCTGGATGTCTGAGCTCCTCACCCTATCTCCAAGGCTGAGCCCAACCACCCTTCAAAGGAAACTCATTTCAGCCGCTTGTATCCACAATCTCATTCTTTCTGTCACTACTCAAAGCTCATGACCATCGGTGAGGTTGGGACGTAGATGGACTCCTGAACGTCTGGATCTTAATTAGCAGGTGCTGGGCTAACTTTACAGCATAAACACGTTTACAGCCTGATACAAAAAATGCTTTTGGCCTATTTATCAAATTCCACATTCATTCAAACTGTGCATGAGGTGATTTTTTATACAACTCACCCGTTTAAATGTTATTAAGGCTTAAAGTTATGCATTTTTAAGGGTGTGGCCACTGTAGCGACATGCTGTCAGCAAAGTGTCACTACAGTCTATGGGTCAGAGCCACGCTTTTCTCCTCCACAGCTCCAACTTCTCATCCTAATATGGTCATTTCTGGCTCCAAAATCCAAGATGGCGACAGCTGAAATGCTGAACTAAAGGCTTCAAAATGGGAGTCTACAAACTAACAGATGATATAATGCTAGCTATGTCCATTATTTCTATGCTTTATAGTGTTACAGTTTATACCCTCTCTTGCTGTTGGATTTGGGAGAGAGTTGTTCATGTTAGCTCATATTTCTGACCAAATATAGTTACTTCTAGCTCAGAAAACCAAGATGGCGACAGCTGAAATGCTGAACTTGAGGCTTCAAATCAGGAGTCCACAAACCAAAGGGTGAGATCACGCTAGCTACGTCCAAATTTCTTTGAGTTTTAGCACTCTTGCTGTTGGATTAGGGAGATAGTTGTTCATAATTACTAATTTTTTTTGGACAGACCATAGGAATAATATGAATTGTGAATTTTTCTTCAGGCAGTACTGCAACTCTCATTTCTGTATTTGTCCACTTTATTAATGCAGCCATCAAAGTCAAACTAACCCAGATTCCTAACCTGATTTATTCTTTTTTTCAGATTTAATTCCATTCACATGTCATGTAAAAACACTGAAGTGACACACTGCCAAATCCAGTATTTCAGAGCTGCTGTCCTCCACATTGTCATGCACTCCTATTCTGTGTCTGACAGACAATCCTATCTCCTATCTGTGCACAGTGAGAGTAAACCCTCGCCGTGCTCTCTGTCCACAGTCCATGTTACATAACTTATAGTTAACCTACATTCTGGCAGCCTCTCAGGTTGCTGCCACTGGCTCTCGTGGCCCCATTTTCTCAGCCAAGCTACGCCGGCGATGGCCCACATACAGCAGAGTTTGACAAAGCTTCAAGGCATGTGAAACTGTGCCCCAGTTCCTCCTTCCTTCCTGTGGATACTACACTATCTCAGGGATTTACCCCCTTTTAAAGATCACTGTGAGCATAACAGGAAGTACAGGGTAGAGTGTCGGACTGTGTTACTGTGATCAGGTCAGGTAGTGAGAGAAGGTGCGACGAGATTGGATGGATGGATGGATGGATGGATGGATGGAATGACGGAAAGACGGGTAGAGAGACAGACAGACAGACAGACAGACAGATCGATAGATCGATAGATCGATAGATAGATAGATAGATAGATAGATAGATAGATAGATAGGCTCAGGTATTAAACTGAACATGATTCACTCCTTCATGACACAGAGAAACGGAGAATACACTCCTACATTCTCTCTCGGAGTCATCAATGTCAGCTCTTCTCGTGGAAATGTCACACACACGAGTCGGCTCCTTCATACAAAGCCTCTGATGTCATGTTTTCACTGTTGTCGCCATGGTCCCAAGGGCAAATATAGCCCTATTTTAGAGCATGGTAAAGCAGTGAATCATTATGTTTGCCTTCATCATCATCAGCAGCAGCACTGTGACTACTACCATCATTAATGATTGTGAATGTCTTTTCAGTTATTATGGTCATCATTTTTGACGTCAGTGGTGTTCTTAGCTTCATGATCTTTTTATTCTGATTTAGATTTGTCATGTCTGAAGCAGTTATGTAAGTTTTGTAGATATAAATAGGTTTGAATTCTTTCACTGAGTGTTTCTCAATAACATGAAGTATTCATGACTAAATAACAAACAAAGTTAAAGTTTGGATAAAAACATTGAATCTGAACACAGACGATCCATCAGAACTTTGTGGGTGTGGTTTGATCAGTTTTATTGAGGCACGTTCAGTCTGACGGAGTGCAAATTGTTGCAAAGGTTTGCAGGTTAAACAACCTGTCTCCTTTATCAGCAGCTTTTATCATCACCATCATTGTCAATATCGTCATTGTCATCATCTTCGTCATCACCATCATCATCGTCATTGTTGTTGTTATTGTTGGTCTCATTATCGTCACCATAATCATTCTAATCATCACCGTCACCACCATCATTGTCTGAGGTCATTGTTGCTATGGTCATTGTCATCATCACTATGATCGCTGTCATCCCCATCATCATCAGTATCATCGTCATTATCATCATGACCATTATCGTTGTCGTCATCATGATTGCCGTCGTCATCACTGTCATCATCATCGTGATCTTTATCATCATCAACATAAGTATCATCGTTATCATCACAATTATCGTCATCATTATTGCCGATGTCATCATTATAGTCATCATCACCGTCATCAACATCACCATCATTGTTGTCATCATCACCATCATCGTCATCAGTATCATTGTCGTTATCATAACCATTATCGTCATTGTCATCATCACTGTTGTCTTCATCATTGTCTTTGTCATCATCATCATCATGACCATTATCATCATTGTCACCATCATCGTCATTGTCATCATCATCATCATCATCACCATGACCATCATCATCATCATCACCATCATCACAACCATCACTGTCATCAGCATTGTCGTCGTCGAGGTTGACGACATCATCAGTGTTTACACCCCTCCTGTACTCCACAATAACAACTTTGGTGCAAATGTTGCTGAAGTCTGAGTCTTGTACAAAACATGTGACATCACCTTTGTCAAACAGAGCTCCACCCACTTCAGACCAGCGAGAAGAGCCCAGATAAAAACAGCAAAAACAGAAATTTAATGTGAAACAACAAACAGCAACAAAAAAATCAGTTACAATAAGAGGGCTTTAAAATGACCCCAGATATACAGTTAATTTTATTTTGATATGCTTATGTTTCAGTATTGTTACTATTATTACTTCATTTTGCTTTGATTATTTTTATCTACAGTACAGGCCAAAAGTTTGGACACACCTTCTCATTCAATGCGTTTTCTTTATTTTCATGACTATTTACATTGTAGATTCTCACTGAAGGCATCAAAACTATGAATGAACACATGTGGAGTTATGTACTTAACAAAAAAAGGTGAAATAACTGAAAACATGTTTTATATTCTAGTTTCTTCAAAATAGCCACCCTTTGCTCTGATTACTGCTTTGCACACTCTTGGCATTCTCTCCATGAGCTTCAAGAGGTAGTCACCTGAAATGGTTTTCCAACAGTCTTGAAGGAGTTCCCAGAGGTGTTTAGCACTTGTTGGCCCCTTTGCCTTCACTCTGCGGTCCAGCTCACCCCAAACCATCTCGATTGGGTTCAGGTCCGGTGACTGTGGAGGCCAGGTCATCTGCTGCAGCACTCCATCACTCTCCTTCTTGGTCAAATAGCCCTTACACAGCCTGGAGGTGTGTTTGGGGTCATTGTCCTGTTGAAAAATAAATGATCGTCCAACTAAAGGCAAACCGGATGGGATGGCATGTCGCTGCAGGATGCTGTGGTAGCCATGCTGGTTCAGTGTGCCTTCAATTTTGAATAAATCCCCAACAGTGTCACCAGCAAAACACCCCCACACCATCACACCTCCTCCTCCATGCTTCACAGTGGGAACCAGGCATGTGGAATCCATCCGTTCACCTTTTCTGCGTCTCACAAAGACACGGCGGTTGGAACCAAAGATCTCAAATTTGGACTCATCAGACCAAAGCACAGATTTCCACTGGTCTAATGTCCATTCCTTGTGTTTCTTGGCCCAAACAAATCTCTTCTGCTTGTTGCCTCTCCTTAGCAGTGGTTTCCTAGCAGCTATTTGACCATGAAGGCCTGATTGGCGCAGTCTCCTCTTAACAGTTGTTCTAGAGATGGGTCTGCTGCTAGAACTCTGTGTGGCATTCATCTGGTCTCTGATCTGAGCTGCTGTTAACTTGCCATTTCTGAGGCTGGTGACTCGGATGAACTTATACTCAGAAGCAGAGGTGACTCTTGGTCTTCCTTTCCTGGGTCGGTCCTCATGTGTGCCAGTTTCGTTGTAGCGCTTGATGGTTTTTGCGACTCCACTTGGGACACATTTAAAGTTTTTGCAATTTTCCGGACCGACTGACCTTCATTTCTTAAAGTAATAATGGCCACTCGTTTTTCTTTAGTTAGCTGATTGGTTCTTGCCATAATATGAATTTTAACAGTTGTCCAATAGGGCTGTCGGCTGTGTATTAACCTGACTTCTGCACAACACAACTGATGGTCCCAACCCCATTGATAAAGCAAGAAATTCCACTAATTAACCCTGATAAGGCACACCTGTGAAGTGGAAACCATTTCAGGTGACTACCTCTTGAAGCTCATGGAGAGAATGCCAAGAGTGTGCAAAGCAGTAATCAGAGCAAAGGGTGGCTATTTTGAAGAAACTAGAATATAAAACATGTTTTCAGTTATTTCACCTTTTTTTGTTAAGTACATAACTCCACGTGTTCATTCATAGTTTTGATGCCTTCAGTGAGAATCTACAATATAAATAGTCATGAAAATAAAGAAAACGCATTGAATGAGGTGTGTCCAAACTTTTGGCCTGTACTGTATATTTCCAGTTACTGTTCAGATATATGAGACCTTTTAAATATTGTCACGCCTTGAAAAGGAAACTGTCACTATGTTGAAATGTTTTGTTTTTTTTAAAGTAAAAGGGGATGTGAGAAATAACCACATAAAGAATAAGTAAAATAAAAATAAAATAAAAAGAAATGATAAAAACTGCTCCAGGTTTGTCAAAATATTTTGTATTCATGTTGCGCTCTCAGTGAAAAGCTGATTGCGAAAACATGTTTCCAGCGCCTTTAAACTCGACTGTGTGCCAAATACAGACACCAACCTCACTTTCTCCATGGGCTGGAAAATGCCATCAGATAAAGACTTTGGGTAAAATTTCACAACAGTGACACCTTAAGTGATGCATCAACTGACATCCTTTTGTCTGTGCAGTGGTATCAGCTCAGGAGGTGACACCAGAGAACTTCCTGTGACACCCTCATGGCAGCCGCTGGCCTTGTGCCTCATCCTGGAGCCGGTCCAGGAGTGACACCGTATCTGTGTAGTCAATCAGGCTGCAACATCCTGGAGCCCACAGGTGCTCTCTGTGCAACATGTAGGTTGAAACATTTATATAAGTGAGAGCTATGCTGTAATGGGGAGTGAGCTGCATACACAGTGCATGGACTGAGATTATTCCAGTGCCTTCAGAACAGTGAGGTTCAAAGCTGCTATGTTACAATATTTTAAAGGTACAGTTCACCCAAAAACCAAAAATACATAGTTTTACAGTCTTACAGTGGCAAGAAAAAAGTATGTGAACCTTTTGGAATTTCATGGTTCTCTGAATAGATTTGTCATAAAATGTGATCTGATCTTCATCCAAGTCAAGGGTACTGACAAATATGATGTGTCTAAAATACCACAAAAAAAAATTGATCTTTCATGTCTTTATTGAGAATAATCAAAAAAACCTCAGAGTGCTTGTGGAAAAAGTATGTGAACCCTTGAGTTAATGACCTCAAAAAAGCTAATTGGAGTCAGGTTTTAGCACACCTGGAGTCTCGTTAAGATAATGAGTTTGGAGGTGTGGACTACAGCTACTTTGACTTATAAAAACCCCTTAAACTTTTGGAGTTTGTTCTGCGCAAGAAGAACACGTTTATGTGAGCCATGCCTTGCCAGAAAGAGCTTTCAGAGGATCTACGATCAAGAATTGTTGATTTTCATAAAGCCGGCAAGGGTTACAAAGTGATTTCAAAGACTTTAAAAATTCACCAGTCTACAGTTAGGCAAACAATCTACAAATGGAGACACTTTGGGACTGTTACTACTCTACCAAGAAGTGGACGCCCAGTCAAAACGACACCAAGAGCACAACGAAGACTCTTCAACGAGGTAAAGAAACAACCCCGAATGACAGCAAAAGATTTGAAGGCATCATTGGAACTGGCTAACATCTCTGTTCACGAGTCTACAATACGTAAACCATTGAACAAGCAGGGTATCTACAGCAGGACACCACGAAGGAAGCCACTGCTTACTAAAAAGAAAGAAAGCTGCACGCTTGAAGTTTGCAAAAGAGCGCACTGACACTCCACAGCGGTATTGGCAAAATGTTTTGTGGAGTGATGAAACTAAGATTGAAGTATTTGGAAAAAACACACAGCACTACATCTGGCGTAGAAAGGGCACGGCCAGTGGCGCAAAAAGTGGGTATGCACTATATGCGGCGCATAGGGGCGCCGCGCTAGAGGGGGCGCCAAAGCGATGAGGGGAAAATTATTTCCAGTCGGCATTTTCTGTATTTAACATCTGTTTGTGCATGCACAAACACACACACACACACACACACACTATAGGCGCTCCGGTGCACGCCCCCTCGAGCACGCGCTGGAGCGCGAGTGTTTTTATTTGAATCGTGATGACAGGGACCTGAAAATGGAGAGGCAGAAGAGAAAGCTCTCAGGGGCACAAAATAGAAAACGGAAGAGGGAGAAGGAGAAAGAGTTCGTTGGGATGAAAAAAAAAGGCATTTCAAAGTGGTTGAAAGACAGTAGGTAAGTTATGTCAGTGTAAGAGGAGGCTTGTAAATATTCAGGTTAGCTAAAGCTACTACTAGTAAAAGGACAGGTTACAGTTGTCTTGCAACTGTGTACTGATCAGTATTTACAATATAACAGATCATGGCAAGAAAAATAAAGGAGCTTGTTTGTGGTTATTTTGTTGTTAGTCTCGGATGTCGTCCAAACACTCTATTTACTAATTGGATTATAACTCGGCAGTGGTGTGTGATAGAGACTTAGGGCAAAAAGATCCGGAAAGTTGACGACTGTGCCGTTTCAAAGAGGGGTCCGACATGATCGTAGCCCTTTCAGATGCTTTGTAATCCAGCCTTGAAGTTCAGTGACTTTTTGGAGTCTTGGCCTTTAAATCCGTCATAATACTGAACGTTTTTTACCGTGATCTGTGGATTTACTCTATTCACTGAACTACTGAGGCACTGAAGTAAGAATAGAAGAGTGTAGATCAAGTAAATAATGTGTAGATTCTTATTTGTGCATTTAGATGGCAGGCGGACCTAAAGGGAGAAAAAAGGGCTTAGACCTCTGAGGGTTTTTAACTAGATGGTGAATCATAAAACAGATAAATTATAGAACTTGGGAGTGATACACTTGAGTTTAAATGTCTTCACACGGATATAACACTACAGTGCTGTAGTGATGTATCTGATAAGTCTGATCAGATGCAGCATCCAATCAGTAACTGATATCCAATAAGGATATCATTTAAAATAAAAAAAATCATGTTTTTTATATGTGGTTTGACTGCTGTATTTTTGAAACCTCCTTAACACAAAGTTCACGTTGTTCAGGTGTGAGGATGGAGAGAAAGAAGAGAAGAAGACAGAAAAAGAATCAGGACAGACAGGGGAAGGCGACAGGTTGGTCTAATATTAGGTGGAAGTGTAGGAACAGCCACTTGATACCAAGTGATTAATTTCTAAATATTATTTATATTGAAAAATTGCATTAGCAAGATGTGTAATTTATTCAAAGCTATTAAATAATGCTTGTTTGACCATATAACTTAGCAGAGAAGAACACAGGCAAGGGGTGGAGACAGACATGAGGTCGGTGATGGCATCTGCTATAGAGGAGACCAGTGATGACATCAGGTAGGAATAATTAAACTAGTGAGGCCACAAAAACCTAGATGCCCAGCATGGTTTGAATTTCTGCTGACCAACCTATTCACTGTGTCCTTTTGGGAAAATTAGTGCAGGCAGACATGGCAAGTCAATCACCACAGAGGAGAATGTGGAACAGAGAGGTGAAGATGAGGGAGAGGAACAGAGAGGTCCAGATGATGATGAAGAGGAACTGGAACAGAGAGGTGAAGATGAGGGAGAGGAACAGAGAGGTCCAGATGATGATGAAGAGGAACTGGAACAGAGAGGTGAAGATGAGGGAGAGGAACAGAGAGGTGCAGAGGAGAGGGCTGGGGCAAGGCCTTACTCAGAAGATCCATCTGAATGGCCTTCACCACACGAAATGGGGGACTCATTCAGGCAGTACATGGTTGAGAATGGCCCACAGAAATGTCCTGATGGGCCATATCCAAGATCAGATAAGAGTAAAAGGTGTTTTTCCAAAGCATACTGTTTTCGTGTACTGTCCAATGGAGAGAAAGTCGAGCGGGATTGGTTACTATACTCCAAAAGTACTAACAGAGTCTATTGTTTTGCATGTAAGCTTTTTGGTGAAGCTAGAGTTGCTGACAGACGCCTTGTGGTGGGGTATAATAACTGGCAGTGTCTTTCAAAAACACTGAAGCACCATGAAACCAGTGGTTATCACATAAATGCTTATCTGATGTGGAAAGAATTGGCATCCCACTTACGCCTTGGTAAAACTATTGATAGCGAATTGCAGAGAGCCATGGCTGCTGAAAAGGCACACTGGAGAAGTGTGTTGACTCGAGTGATCGACTGCATACTCTTCCTTGCAGAAAGAAACTTGCCACTGAGGGGAAAAAATGCACAGTTAGGAAATCCTAAAAATGGAAATTTTCTGGGTATCCTTGAGCTCATAGCACGGTATGATGTCACACTGGCGGAGCATCTTAGAAAGGCTGCCTCAAAAAAAAACACCAGATATCTGTCCTGGTGCACTCAAAATGAATTTTTAGATTCAATATCAGCATGTGTTTTGGGTAAAATTTGTGCCCAGATCAAAGCCTCCAAGTACTTTGCAGTGGAATTGGACTGCACACCCGATATTTCAAAGCAAGAGCAGGCCTCAGTTATCATACGGTATGTTCATACAGATGAGAAGAAGAAGGTCACTATTACTGAGTCTTTTGTGGGGTTCACTGCTGTGAAGGACACAACTGGGAAAGGCCTCACAGATACACTGACAGGGGTGCTGGATAGTCTGGGGTTGGAGTTGGCTAATTGTAGGGGACAAAGTTACGACAATGGCTCTAATATGAGGGGAATACACAAGGGTGTCCAAGCTTTAATACAAGAGAGATGTCCAGAGGCTCTGTTCATCCCCTGCTGTAGCCACAGCCTGAACCTTTTGTTATGCGATGCAGCCTCATCCAACAGAGTGTGTCTAACCTTCTTTGGCACTCTTCAAAGATTGTACACCATCTTTATGTCTTCTGTGAAGAGGTGGGATATTCTCACAGAATTTGTTGACATCACACTGAAGCCTCTGAGTGACACCAGGTGGGAAGCAAAGCTAGACTCTGTCAAAGCTGTACGTTTCCAGTTGGGGGGGATTCTAGATGCGCTAGAAAAGCTTGAAGAAGTGGCAGGAGACAGCAAAATTGTCTCAGAGGCAAAGTCACTGTCTGACGAGATTGTAAGTATGGAGTTCCTTGTGTGCCTCTTGGTTTGGTATGACTTATTGTCAGAGATCAACTTTGCAAGCAAGGCACTACAAGCAGCAGATGTCTCAATGGACACAGCCATTAGATTGATCGACTCTCTGAAAGAGTTTTTGCTCAAGTATAGAGAGGAGGGCTTTCAGAAGTCACTTGACATTGCACGCAGGATAGCCATTGAAATGGATGCTTCTCCAGAATTCAAAGAGAGACGTTTTAGGAAGCAAAAGAGGTTCCAAGATGACAATTCCAGCACTGGTCATCATGAAAAGGAACCCGAGAGGCACTTTAGGTGCATGGTTTTCAATGTCATTGTCGACACAGTCCTGCAAGAGTTGTCTGACAGGTTTTCCAATCTTCAGCTTGTGTCTGAGAAATTTAAATTCATCACTAAAATGTAACCTGTAATGTGTCTGCATACCCCTCAGAAAGTAGGTAGTTGCGCCCCTGGGCACGGCATATCATCATGAAAACATCATCCCAACCGTAAAGTATGGTGGAGGAAACATTATGATTTGGGCCTGCTTTGCTGCATCAGGGCCTGGCCAGCTTGCAGTCATTGAGGGGAAGATGAATTCCCAAGTTTATCAGACAATTCTTCAGGATAATCTGAGAATGTCTGTACTTCATCTGAAATTGTGTAGAAGGTGGGTGATGCAACAGGACAACGACCCAAAACACCGGAGCAAGTCCACAACAGAATGGCTTCAGAAAAAACAAAATCCGCCTTTTGGAGTGGCCAAGTCAGAGCCCAGACCTCAACCCAATAGAGATGCTATGGAATGACTTGAAGAGAGCCATACACATGAGACGTCCAAAGAATTTGACAGAGCTAAAGCAGTTCTGCCAGGAAGAATGGGCTAAAATTCCTCCTCAGCGATGTGCAGGTCTGATCCACAGCTACAGGAAGTGCCTGGTTGAAGTTATTGCTGCCAAGGGGGGGTTAACCAGTTATTAATTCTAAGGGTTCACTTACTTTTTCCACTGCCATTTTGAATGTTGAATGAGTGTGTTCAATAAAGACATGAAAGATCAGATTTTTTTTGTGTGTTATTATTTTAGACACATTATATTTGTGGGTCCATGTCATTGGTTCAACAGCCCATTGGTTTGACATCCCATTAGTCCTACTGTCCGCGGTGCTGAACGGCTCGCGGCGGGCGTATGGTGTGCCGCGACCGGCTTGAGGCTGAGCAGGCTCACTGCTTATGTGTTTGTCACTTTCTTTTTCATATTAACCCACACCATGATCTTTTCCTGACCCTAACCAAGTGGTTTTTGTGCCTAAACCTAACCAGACCTTAACCACAGGGCATCATGATGATTTCGGAACGGACTTCGGAACAATGAGTTTAATATGGTTGGAACAATTGGATGTCGAACCAATGGGCAGTCAAACCAATGGGCAGTTCCCATATTTGTCAATTGACTCAGATGAAGATCAGATCACATTTTATGAAAAATTTATTCAGAAAACCATGACATTCCTAAAGGTTCACATGCTTTTTCTTGCCACTGTACCTGTAGTGCTGTTTATCAGTCTAGACTGTTTTGGTGTGAGTTGCCAAGTGTTGGAGATATCGGCCGTAGAGTTGTCTGTGTTCTCTCCAATATAATGGAACTAGATGGCACTCAGCTTGTGGTGCTTTGGTGGTTGATGGTGACAAACTGAAAAATGGTGGTTGCATACACACAAGTTATTCGCGCCTATGAAGTGAGTCAAAACAAAACATTACACATTCAAACATGCGCAAGTAATGCAATGCTAAAATTTGCATCCTGTTTGGTGTGAACACAACATATGAGTGTCTCTGCGCACTGACCAAATGTCGTCAGTATTCAACAAGTTGGGAGTGAGACTGAGACATGTGGCAGGTGTAGTTCGGCAGAAAGAAAATAGTGCCTACATGAAACAGCTCACAGCAAGGTCTGTGGATTATCTTGAGTATCTGAAGTAGTAATATCTCGAGTTGGGTCAGTTTACTGTCGAGTTTTTCAAATGCATTTTTTGGTGCTTTAAGCACCACAACCCCGGGTGCCATCTAGTTCCGTTAAATTCAAGAGAAGGCTTTTATTTTACTAGTTTGAACCACTAACTGATCTATAGTTGAAAGGCTGACAGAGATTCTCCAGGCAGCAAAGATGCACAGACTTCATGTGGACATGCAACTCATGCAGCGTTCCAAGTTTTATTCTTTTCTGTTTTAAACTCAGCTCCAGGAAGCTGAATCCACCACAGTCAGTTTGGACTGTTCATCAAGATATCTGCAGACCAGGAAAATTACAAGTTGACATTCAGGTTTCAGGCATTACTTCACCTGCCGCTGCTTTTCTGTGATTAAAAACAGATGTAAAAGAAAAATAAGTTTTTATCTGTTATAACACTGTGCTCAAGTAATTGCAGAGATTTTGGAGTGCAGCAACACTGACAAAAAATATTTGTCTCTTACCTGTAGTGCTATTCATCAGTCTGGACTGCTCTGGTGTAAGTTGTCGTTAGCTAGCTCAGTGGTGCTAGGTGAGCTAGCAGTAGATGCACGCTTCCTTCTGCATGGTCATATGGTTGGTGGGTGTGATTAGGTAGAAAGAAACAGTACATCTACTCATGGACGAGGAAACAGTTACATGAAACTATCTTGAGTAACTAGCTGAACTCAACTCAGAATTATGTCAGTCGAATCAGATTTGACTGTTCAATACGAACATTTGACTACTCCTTCTGTTTTTATTCATATAGAGTTTGAGTGGGGTTCAGTGGGACGTTCTGTATGACAGTGACACTCATGAAATATTATGAACAAGCTAACTGCACTGTGTGCTCTCTCCGCCTTATGTAGCGTTCACACCGGGCGCGAGTGAAGCGAATTACTCGCTCGTAACATGCCATGCATAACGCGTGAGTTTAGACGCCTGACCATTTTGTTAATTCCCGTTATCGCGTCATTCGCACGAGTAGTGGGGAAGCCGGCTGTGCTAACTGGAGCTAAGCTAGTGCTAACGTTCATAGTACAACTATTCTGCAAACTAATTAAGGACACATATTTACAGAACTTACCAAGTAGACCAGTCTCCTCGGCGACTTTCACCCAAGCCTGCTCCTTTTTGTTGCGGTCTCTGTAGAGTAGACACGTAGTATCATATAGCTCCGGGTAGCCGCACACCACAATGATAAGTTTCTCCTCCATCTCGGCATCAACAACTGGACGTCAGGGCGTCAAGACGTCACTGACGACCATGGCTGAGATAACCACCATCGCTGCTTTGTACCTGCTCTGGAAGTCCCAGATGTGTCGGAGGGCCAGACGCCGTCGTTTTTGGGTTCACCCTATCCTGCATTAGCGCATCCAGCTCAGCGAGTTTCACCACCTCCTCCAGGAACTCCGTCTGGATGATAGCTGCTTTCAGCGGTACTTCAGGCTGACTGGGGCCCAGTTTGAGGACCTGTTGGCGAGGGTTGGCGCCAGGATCTCCCGGCAGGACACCAACTACAGGCGCTCCATTTCAGCTGCGGAACGTCTGTCCATCTGTCTCCGGTGAGTAGCAGTTTATTGTTGTGTCAACAACTGGACGTTGATGACACACGCCGGTGACATCGGGAGAATCTCAATGCTGATTGGCTTTCGCGGCACAGCGTCACGCGAATTCGCCTCAAAAGTTCAATATTTTCAACTCGAGCGATGAGGCGTTGGACGCGAATTTTGCGTCTATCGCGCCGCGCTGGACGCCTCTATCGCATCCATCGTGCCACCCGGCGCAAATTCGCGTCTAATCGCGTCTTTGCATTGACTTTGTATGTAATCTTGACCCACGAAGGCCCGTGGAAGAGGCTTTTTTTGCGTAGGCCTGAGGAAAGGCAGAGAGGCCCCAGAACAGAGCCATACCGCCAAATATAATACTGCAAATGGAAATAAAGTTCTCTTTGACAAAAGTGTTCCTGACTGAAATGTATTTTTTGGCGCTTTGAGCACCACAAACGGAGTGCCATCTAGTTCCATTATATTGGAGAGAAGGCAGACATCTCTATGGCTGATATCTCCAACATTTGGCAACTCACACCAAAACAATCTGGATTGATAAACAGCACTACAGGTAAGAGATAAGCTATGTATTATTGATTTTTGGGTGAACTGTTCCTTTAAGGCAGTGTCTAAGCCATTTAATTAACTATGATTCACTACATTTTTATTTCCAGTACATAACAACGGGCAGTTTTGCTCATTGTAGGAACATCATACATGCAATATCAGTATTTTACAGTTATGTTGCACAAGTCAAGCTGCAGCCCAGAGTGCAAAGTAGGTTACACAACTACAACTTTCAACAGCAGTGATCTTATCTCGCTGCATGTGAGCAGCACAAGCTGTAACAGCCAAGCAGCTGTGTGATTAGGTTTGACATTCCCCCCTCAACAATGAGCCTCTTGTCAACATTAGCTGGAGAGCTGTGGTGACCTTTCTTACAAACTTACAAACTGGCCTCTGTGATGCAACGTGGACCCAAACGGCGTTTTTCCCTGAAGGGACCTTAGTAAAGATGAATTTCTCTTTACGTCTCCTTTGTTTCATTATGCATTCACAATGACAGGCTGAAGTATTGTGTGTGTGTGAGGAGGAAGTGTCCTCTGATTGCGTCTGGCTGTCAGCCCTGCAGTGGGAGCTCCTGAGCTCTCCAAGTTGTACTCTGCTGTTGGTGTTGGCTGTCACATGTGGCTCCATGTGAGGCTTTCTGCAGGAGCACACAGCAGCAGCAGCAGCAGCAGCAGCAGGAGGAAGGAGACCTGCTCTGTTCTCAGCTGTTCAGGACAGTACTGAGCTGTGTGTGGGTGAGACTGTCTTACTCCCCCCTCCCTCCCCCACGTGCTCAGTCACTCACTGATTGTCTCTCTTTTCTCCCACTGCAGCTGGTGAAGCACATGCATTAAAGACTGACAACACAACTGCACACACAGGAGGGGTTTCTCACTTCTGTTGCTGACGTCTGGCTCCACTGTTACCTGTCCTGTTTATGTGTTTGTGCATCATATATTGTCATTTTACCTTTTTATTTACCTATTTATATTTATTATTTTCAAGTGTACACAACAGAATAACAGTATAGAATTACACAACACAGTTCCTGAAATATTTACTACTTCTCAGTATGCATATACTACAACTGCTGCAAACACACACCCACCACCGACCTATCATTTTATGAATGAATGAATCATCTTTATTGTCTTTATACTCAGGTACAATGAAATGTCATAGGCATCTCCTATGCATGAATTATAACTACCTCAGTCAAGATTTTTTCCTAAGTGTTATTTCCTCCTCTTAAGGCATTAAAAATTTGAAGTTCATTTTTTAAACATGCATTTTTCAAGGATTTTTTGTTTGTTTGTTTCATGTCCACTCGGGTGGATTGCATGTGTTAAACACTTTCAACTGAAAACATGTAAAACAGTGAATACAATTAGATATTATGTGAAACTATAATAATATATATTTTTTATTATTTTATTTATATATTATATATTTATATTGATATTATGGACATTGTTTATCATTCATCTTTGAATACAAGAATATATTCAAGGTGGCAATCTGAATCACTTGCAAAGGCCCCGCTTTCTTTACTGGCCCCTCCACCCCTGCAGAGCCCAGTCTCAAGTTGTCGAAATCCGGCGCTTAGGCAATGACTTGTTGGACCCATCCATCACTCCCACATGCCCCACTCAGACTTTCACCGATGAGGCCCTTTAACGACATGTATTCGATGGATGCAGATGTGTCGCTCTGGCGCCCTCTCCTGGCTGGTAAATGATATTACGTGGTGTGTTTTCCTCCAGGAGTGAACGAACCTTTTCCTTCCATTGAAGGTCGACATGATAAATATTCATGAGAAGTCATGAGGTCAGATTAAAGAAATAATAACCCTTTGATCCCTGAGATAATGGTGCACTTTCTTACAAAAAATGGAGAAAAAAGGCAATGAGCAACTTGGTTAGATATTGCAAAACAAATTATAGATTTAGAAAATTAATTTTAAAAAAGCTAGGGTTGAACTGTATTTTAGAATTATCATTATAATATATCTAAAATTATGTTACAGAATTATTATATATTTTTAAGCTCTTTTCCCATTTTCTTGTTTGTTGGTTTGTTCTTCACTTTCTTTTCTTTTCTCTTTTATTTTATTATCTTTACTTTTTTTGTACTAGTTTTCTTGTTTCTGTACGAATTTATTGCAAATTTTTTGGGTCATTTCTTCTTTCATTGCTTGTTGCTTTTTTCCCATGTTTTTGAAAGAACTCAAGCCAATTTGCTCAGGTTCCAAAGGGTTAATGGTGCTGAATGATGATAAAATTTAACTTTACAGAACAGTCTTGGATGATTAACGGACTGGTAAGAATACAGGACAAGAAACGGGCAGCCAGGCATTCAAAATGCAGCTTGTATATGTCTAATAACACCCTGCATGTTAGCAAAATAAACAACTAACACCTGCATTGGGGACAGTAGAAGTCTTTTAGATTGATTTGTTTGAACAGTTTTTTATTTACACATCCAGCAGTTATGTAGCAACATTAACTTAAAATGAGTCATATTTCAATTCACCTGACAAATGAAAGTCTAACGTTCATCCTATTTTATGCTCTGTTTTGGTCTCCACCAACTCCTGAGAGGAATATCTGTCTCCTTAATGGTAAATTAATTCTTATTATTAAGGAGTTAGTTTTGACAGAGGGAAGAGATAGAGGGTAGTGAGATTTTCTGATTTCAGAGAGCAATGAGTGCATGGTAAAATGTGCACACATGTGAATCTTAATGACAGTTAATGATTACTTCATGTTTCCCGTGTTGAAGGAAAGTAACAGATAAAGTTCCCTCTGACTTATTGGTGAATATAATTCATGTGCCAATAGTTTGGTAGGATTGTAATTCCACCCTTTGAACACCAGCAGACTGCAGCGTCAGCACTTCCTGCGCTCCAGATGTGACCTCTCAAAAGGCATAGATTTCGTTTCATAGATTTCACTGAGGGGGACACGTGAAATGGGGGATCGATGGGTCCTCCACCAGAATATTTTGACCATCAAACACTTAATTTCCTGCATCCTGGTGAATTCATATGCCCCACTTTATGCTTTTTCTGCATCAGTTTATGGCGTAATCGCTTTAATTTCCTGTCCCTCCTGAAATCTACACCTGTGTGTCCTGTATTTGCAGAACAGCACATTAAGGAACATCAGTGCGTGATTGGGGTGAATGAGTGTGACCTCAGCGGCAGTAATTAAGTGGCCTTAGACGATAAGCATGTGAGTCATAGATAAAATGCTGCTGCTCTGGCGTGAGATACAGATACAGAGCAGCTCTGCTGGACATTTCAACACCAACATCTGACTGGAGCAGCTGCCTCTCACAGTCACCACAGTCTCAGTGTTTAAGTACCAAACAAAATCCCTGAGATGAGAGATTAATTTTAATTTTACGATCTGCTTTGCATCATAAAAACATGGGCTCTTTTAAAATGTATCAGGTGATGTCACGGTAGCAGATCTCATATCCGGAGGCTTTGAATCACAAGGTGCTGAAGGACTTTGGCCTCTGGTAATTGCTGTGTCTTGTGAGAGATGCTCCTAAACCACAAGTCAGCCACAGAGGCAGAGATGCACAGGTGACTTCTGCTCCTTCTCTTCAGGTACGCAGCTCAATATTCTGTTGATTTTTGCACACAGAGCAACAAAACCTCATTTACAATGGCAATAATTTAACTGTATTTTGCATGGTAGCTTATAGGTTTATTTACCATGATGCATTTATAAAAAAAATATCTTTTAAAAATCTTCAAAATCTTGTAACTTATTTCATTTTTTAGAGTGGGTCTTTTAGCAACAGTATAATCATATATTGTTATCAACACACACTCATAGTGAGGACTAAGTTTGGGTTTGCTGTGTGACTGCAGGAGCTCATAAACATTAACAGCGTCATATGACTGTCAGTGTGACAATCCGTTACATAATAACTCAAACGAAGTTAAACCTCAGCTGTGTGCTTCCAGTCAGATTGTTTATAGACGAATAAGAATTTATAGTTATCATCTTTCATCTTTTTAGCTCTAAATGTGACTATAAGCTCTGTGATCAATAAACAGAAACATGTCCGCAATCGTTATCATAAATAGACTAGAACAGGAGTACCTCAGGGTTCTGTTCTTGGTCCGCTTCTTTTTATCTTATCCACCTTATTTCTGATGCTATTTATTTATTATATCATATTTTTGTACATAGATATGTCTGTTTTTTTGGTGTGGTATGGTATGGACCTATCTCTGTGTCCTGTGTCATTGTTATTATTATTATTATTATTATTTTTGCAGTCTGTGTCTTGTATTGTTCTGTCTGTATTTTAATTGTTGTTTGTACTTTGCACTGTTACTTGTGTTCTTGTTGCTGAGTCTTTTGTATCTTAAGGCCTAGCTGGGGACGAGCATTGCAAAATTAGCTTAGGCTATAAATGCTGTGGTGTGTGGCATTTATGTATGCTACATACTTGTCCCTATACAAATAAACATTAAATAAATCACTGATTTAGCATCAAGTAATCTTACACATTCTGCTACAAATCTGTTGTAAGCATTAACACACAGCAATGCTGTCAGACATTATTACTGTAACGTTTCCTTATTTCAGCTGCTGTCAGAGGGACTGCCATGGAGGGGTTTGGTCTGAGGAGGACTCAGTCCCTGAAGAGTCTCTCTGGGGTTCAGGAGAGGTCATGGGTCATGCCAGCCCCCACCCGCTGGGACAGGAAGTCAGTGTCTCAGCTGGTGCAACAGTGAGTTCTGCACAATATACTCTGTGTAAACATTCATATTCACATACTATTTCATGCTCATACTTTTGCACTCACTGGGAGATTCCCAGTACAGTTCTCATTCATTCAAAGCATTTCATTTCATTCATTCAAAGCATTTCATTCACTTTTACCGCTCACAGATTACCAGTTGATTGTTGGAAATCAAATCAGAAGGGTTGTAGTTAATAAATCCACCCTGTCTCCTAGAAATTATTTCAATTTGTATGTTATTAAATTGCTTTTTTAGTTAAGTTGCTGTGGCATCATATTCACCGCCTGAATTATATTCAGAGAAAACGTTTCTGTCAGGTAATGAAATACTTACATTCATGCACCACGTAGGCATTGCATGGTGGAGGGCAGGCATATTAAGTGCAGGAACTTGACACAAGAACTTTGGGTTCCTGTCCAGACTACTGTTATAATCATGACAGATTAAGAGACAATGGGCCCCTGGGCACAGATAAGCAAAAGGCTCCATCACCTCTTCTACACAGGAGCAAGACACACAGACTTTGTAGTGGTTCTGTGCCTCTGTGTAGTTGTTATACATCTTTTTGTGGCTTTGTTTCTCTTTGAGGTGGTTTTGTGTCTCTTGTTAGTCATTTTGAGCCTCTCTGTGGTTGTTTTGTTTCTCTTTGAGGTAATTCTGTGTCTTTTTTTGGTGGTTTTGTGTCTCTTAGTAGTTGTTAAGGATCTTTTTGTTTTGTTTTGTTTTGTGTCTTTTTGTCAATTTATGTTGTTTTGTGTTTTGTTTTGCCCCTGGGCCTGTTTGTTAATCCATCTATGTTCTTGGGTTAAAACAACAAAAGCACTTTGGTTACATTTAGGCAAAGACCTTAATTAAAGGTAAATGTTAATTTAAAAAAAAAAGGTAATTAATAATGCTGCGGTTGCTATGACGGGATACTTTATTGCCTGTTTCGGCAAAAAACAACAAAACATTTTGCTGATAACTTGCCAGATACATTTAGTAACATTTGCTCATTATGTTAATAGGAAACGTAATATGCTTTGCATTACATTCCCCTCAAAATGTATTTGCTGTTTCAAAGTAGTTGTACATAAACTTTATCTCCAGGAAACATGGCTGAATAATTTTGTAAACACATTTGCTGACAGTTACCAAAGCTGTGCTGACCTGAGGAGTATTAAAAAAGAGCAGCATAAACTTCAGGTAAAACATATCTTTCCTTTATTCTTCTCATCATTAGTGACAAATCTGTCAACCAGTAAAACACTGTCCAAAAACATATAAAAACTGATGCTGCTTCCAGGCATCACACAGCTGTGCGGACGATCACTGGTTAACGCCGGAGAGAGGGGACAGTGTGGCCGTCTGGGGCTCTGGACGGACTTCTAATCTGTGCCGGAGCCGCTCTATGGACTTCCTCCCCCAGAGGGAATCTTCAGGCACCAAAGCTCTTTGTGCACTGTTTGAGTCCAAGGCTACCCAGCAGCAAAGCTTCAGCAGCAGCCCTCGGCTGAACTCAGCCTCTGCTGCAGGGAGACACTGCCCTCTGCAGGACTGGAGAAGTCACAGCACGTCTTTAAAGGGAACAATCTCTCAGGTGTGTGAGTTCAGTTCATTTATATTATATATTATGTAGTTGCTGTGGCGACTGGTGAAAGGTGTCTGTCAGTGATTTCAGCATCAACACCAATGTGAACAAAGTGACCGTATTTGAGTTGGGAATGAAAACATGCTGCTGTTTCAAGTCTTTATGCGAAGCTAATCTAACTGTCTCTTAGCTGTAGCTTCACATTTAAAAGGACTGATATGATAGTGGTATGAATCTTTTCATCCATCTCTCCGACAGAGAGTGAATTAAGTTATTTCCCAAAACATCAAACTATTCCTTTGAGCTCCCAATGGTTCAAGTCTTAGCAGCCACTTTCCCAAATAGAGACATGGTGACAGTAGAAACTGTCCTCACCTCTCTGTATGTTGTTTTTCCACAGAGAACCGCCAAGGTGGAAGGAGGACAGGCCATGAATGGACTCCCAGAGTCTCACGATAGATCATCCAGATACTCACACGGTGAGCAGCGGTGCCGCATTTCATGTTTATCGTCACTGAGATCTGAGAGAGCAGGTGGAGTCAGTGCAAGGGTTACATCAGAGGCATGAGATCACTGTTGTATTTTGGTGCCGTGGTTCACAATCAGTTGTCCTCACTTTAAGGGATGACTCAAAACAGAATGCTGTCACTGATCATTGAGCGAGTAAATGTTTGTGTTCCTGCTGGGTCTTTGAAATAGGTACATAGGCTGAGACATTCATCAGTCTGTGTCAGAAACAGTGCTGAAGTATCCTCACACATTAAGTACATCACATGGATTTAGATTAAAGGAATACTTAACCAACAACATGACCACTTGTGTATCAATTACTTACCCCTTGTTACCTTGGATGTGTGAAGAAAACTGAGTCGTCCTCTAATGCCTTCACCGTCAGCCCAGTCATCAGAACAAAATTTTGGCATCGTACGTTTCTGCAAACCACTAACAGGTTACATTTGTATGTTTCATATTAAGGTTTCAAAAGTGGTGTGACACCTAGGCGAGATGCCAACACTTTGTCACTCCAACCTCGTCACATATTGACGTTTGGTCATGGACTTTCCACATCCAGATACACCGTGCAAGGTACCCTGGGTCTGTTGGTTGTTGACGTTCTGGGACACCGTGTAAAGTTCTGCCTGTTACATGTACTATCTTCTTTCAAGATGCCCTTCTGTTTTCATAGGAAGTTTACTGTTTACATACAGTCTCCTTCAAAATAAACACACTACATCAGTACAACAACACGTATTGATGTTTTTTTCCCTTCAACAACAAACACACATGGTTAGGTTTAGGAAAAAGAACAGGGCTTGGCTTTAGAATCTCACGGGATATGAACACCGCTCTCTTAGGTGAAAGTCGGTGTTTGTTGGACACATCCACCACCACTCCCACCTGCCCCACTCAGACTTTCACTGCCTTAATTTTCGTTCTTATCCCGCTGCATTTCCCCCTGACACCACTGGGCGCCATTAAACTATAATGGCAACCGGTTGCATATTATGCCGACATTAAAGGATGCCTTTTTTTTGTTGGTTTCTGATACCGCAAGTCACTGCCCAAGCTGCAGACCACTGTTCAAGACCAAAAAAAACCCCGGCTATTTTTAGCGGGTTTTACTGTGTCTTCCAGCTGCTTTTAGTCACCAAACATGAGTGACTTTTAGCGATCCATCGTTGTTTCTCGAGCTGAGAAAAATGGCACAAAAAGCAGGTTTATTTTACGGAGACACTGCTGTGTTTCCAGCCAGGATTGTGCCACCTGAAGCAGGTATTTTAAGCCAAAACATTATCTTTTCCCTACCATGACCAAGTTTTTGTTTTCTTTTTTGGCCTAAATATAATCAGGTTATCACAGTGTTGTTATAACATAAAGAAATGTCTGCTACATATTTAAAATTGATGTGTTTGTGAAGTAATGAGCTCATGACTTGGATTAAACTGCCGAGTTATATGAGAGACTGTAAATGGTTGTTTTGATGTAGTTTTGCTGTTGTTAAACATGGTCATCTATGACTTAAATTCATCAAATATTTTCCCAGTTTTTGGATTCTTCGTTCACAGTGGAGACATGCCAAGAAAAAAAAGTCTTCTTCACAAATTTAACATAGCATGAGGAGAGTAACTGATGTACAAATGGTCATTTTGTGGGCGAAGTATTCCTTTAAGCTGCCAGGGTAAAAATTCCACGACCAAGGCCTCGGGTATTTGAAGTGTCACCTGACAGAGCTGGGGAAACACCGACCTCTGTGTCCTTTGGCCGTGGGAGTTGCAGGGAAACAGCTAAATAAAGATGAGGATGTAGTGGTGTAAATATGTATTTGGCTTACATGCTTAAGATAGGAGTGAGGCAGTTGCTGACGACTCTGACCGTGACACAGACCTTGGCCTTCTGAGCCATGTCCTGGAACTGATATCACTCCAGTGTTTCGTAGTTGACACTTTGACCCTGATATGTGTCGGGGGTGTGAGTAAGACACAGACAGGAATGTGAGCAGACATCTGCAGGGTTTAACTGTGGAATTTCTAAGGATTACTGACAAAAATAAATGTCTAAATAAATATTTAGGAAATAACATTTATATTTGGTAATGTTTTTTTTTTTTTTAATTTTAGCTTAGGGCTGGTGCAAAATCAGATTTTCACCATGCAGGTATCATGGTCAAAAGATTTCATGGCAACGATATTATCACGATATCTATGGAAAAATGAAAACTAGAATTACTCCCACGCACTTGTATGGCTCTGCAAACCAGTCAAGTTGCAAACATCCATGTCTGTGAAAACATGCTTCACATACATCTTACCCCCAACAGCAGAGAAGCTCTATACAGTCAGCAGAGTTTCAATTCAATGTCTGACCAAATGTCTCCCCTTGTGTTCCCGAGATGTGACGTTGAATAATGGCCTGAGAAGGGTTTTTGCAGAACATTATGATGTCACAGTGAAGTTGACCTTTGACCTTTTTGATACAAAAAGTTATCACTTCATTTTTTTTTATCCTGTTAGACATTTATGTGAAGTTTTGTCATAATTAGCGTATGAATTCTTGAGTTATAGCCAATCCGACAACGGGCAGACAACCCGAAAATGGAATGCCTCTCACCTCAAAGTCGACGTTTGTGCTAAATTTGAAAGCATTACCTCTAGGTGTTGTTGAAATATCCCATTTGCTAGAATGATGCAGACAAGGTCACAGTAACCTTGATCTTTGCCCTACGACCACCAAAATCTTTCGTCATTGAGTCCGAATGGACTTTCAAGCTGAATTTTACATAATTCCTTTAAGGCTTTCTTGAGATATTGCGTTCATGAGAATGGAACGGACAACCGGAAAACATAATGCCTCCCTCCACATCTACCACTGGCATCTTTAACAGCATCTTTATTGTGCACTTTGTCTCTTTTTCTGACAAATGAATTACATGCAAAGGTCACAATGATCTTGACCTTTGACCACCAAAATCTAAGCAGTTCATTGATGAGTCCACGTGGACGTTTGTGCCAAATTTAATAAAAAAATTAAAAAAATAAAATAAAATACCTCAAGGTGTTCTTGAAATATCCCGTTCACTAGAATGATGTAGACGAGGTCACAGTGACCTTGACCTATGACCTATGACAAACAAAATCTGATCAGTTCATCAGTGACTCAAAGTGGATGTTTGTGCCAAATTTGAAGAAATTCCCTCTGGCATTTTTGAGATATCATGTTCATGATAATGGGACAGACAACTTAAAAATATAATACATCCTGCCACGGCATGGAGGCATAGAAAAATGTCATCCGTCAATTTCAACTTTAAAAATAGTTTGTTCTTTTGTTTATTTTTTGGCAAATGAATTTCACTAAAATACAAGTGTAGGGAGGTGGAAAGAGTCTTTAATGGTAACTGTACAAAATCTGACAAAAAGAGCTATTAGACTGAATAGATAGTGTATTATTAACATGATATCTATATTTTACTTTTAAATATGGCAGTTATCATCAGTATCGATATCGCAACACTGCTACTTCTGCTAAAAACTACATTTAAACTACTAGAAAATCCTCCTATTGTCTGCTAGAATAATCTATGTGACAATAATAATATAAAATAGTCTCTTTAGCAGCGTTGTAGTGTACCACTTTACCAAAATAGGCCCTTCAGTAAGTCGTTTCTTTTCGTGTTGCCCACCAAACACCCACTGACACACATACTGCAGGTCCCACCCAGCGCCCGTTATAGTGGGTGATAATGTAACTATGAGAATGGGAGGTGGAGGGGTGCCCCAGTCCCTCGGTGACTAACAGAGGTGACTGACTCAGCCCAGCAGCAGCAGCCGCCGCCAGCCCACCCTCCCGAAATAGCCAAAGCCTTCCACTTGGGCAGTGGGCTCTGATAAAAATCAGCTGTCACCGAGGCCACAGGGCGAGAAAGAGCTCAGTCACAGTGAAGCGAGACGCAGAGAGGAGCTCTGAGAGAGGCTGTATCACACATCACAGGGGCCTTAAGAGTCCAGCACAGCGGAGATACACAGGGAACGACACCGGATGGTGTGTCAGTGAGTATTAACTTTACTGAAACTGATGAACAAATGTAAAAATAACCTTTTAAGGACGACTGAGAAAGCTATACATTGTTTTATATTACAGTACTCTATTCTGATTTCAATCTGAGACAGGATGTGGAGTGTAGTGGATGCGCCTTTCTGTTATTTCAGTGTAATGATATTCAAAATACTAAAGTTAGAAATAGTGCCATTGAGTCAAGAAGTCACAGAGAAACAAAAGTATTTTCCAAGATTACAACAAAAAGGATAAAAGCTAAGGATAAGTTATTGAATCACCAACTCTGATCAAAAAGAAGAGAAACAGATGCTCTGAATATCAGAGCTAGTTGTGTTGTGTCTACATTACTGGCATCTTCATTAAGTCTTAAGTGGCGATCAATTTTCAGCCCTTTATCCTCTGTAATGTCTGGAATGGGAGGTCATACGACAGGATCACTCAACCATTAACTTTCCTTCTTTCCATCGTCAAAAGACTGATGAAAAGCTGTAAAATGAGAAGCAATTTATATGGAGATACATTTGTGTCAATATTATTGGCAAGCCATGTGTTAATGTTTAATCTGTGAATATAACATACTAATACAAAAAAATTTTTTACTTTGGATCTAAAATGGATCTGCAAAAACACAAATTCCAGTAAATACATTTAATTAATTCACAAATAAATGAAAATCATTTGTAATATCTTTCTCACATTTACAACTTTCAGATGTTTGTGTATGGAGATAAATTTGTCTCAGTATTATCTGTGTGTTAATGTGTTAATCTGTAAATATAAAACAACTTCCACACATACAAAAAGGCTTTGTAGAGGCACAAAACATATTTTGCAAATATAAAACAGATCTGTTAATACACAAACTAATTCCAGAAATTAGAAGAATTTAGTCAGTGTGCATATTTTTACAATGATCTGTTTAAAAGTTGTAAATGTTAGTAAAGTATTCACAAATGCTTTTCATTTATTTGTAATTGAATTAAATATATTTCAATTTTTTTATTTTTTGGTGGAATTTCCAATTTAGTTATTTTTTTTTTAGTTTACAAATATTTTTTTTATGTATTTGTGTTTTAAATTTACAGATTTGCACAAATAGTATTGACACAATTCTATCCCCATATTTTTAATCCAATTTTTGTTTATGAATCTCAGTTTTTCGCTCATGAATTTGTATTTTCCACATTTAAAAAAAAAAAAAAAAGTTTGTTATTTGCATCTGTTTTACATTTGAAAATATTTTGTTAGTGGAAGTTGTTTTAAATTTACATATTACACATTAACATGTGGATTGTCGATCTCCTCATACAAATAATATTGACACAAATCTATCTCCATACCTGTGAATCCAATTTTTATTTATAAAGCTAATTTTTTCACTCGTCAATTTTCATTCTGCAAATCTTTTTTGTATTAGCTGAAGTTGTTTTATATTAACAGATTACACACAGATTGTCGATCCCCTCACAAGTAATAATGACACAAATCTACCTTCATATTTGTGTATTTGCAGATCCCTTTTATATTTGCGAAATATTTTTGTACGTTTACAAATCTTTTTTTGTATGTGTTTTTTTATATTTACAGATAACACATTAATACACGGACTGTCGATCTCCTCACACAAAAAAATACTGACACAAATCTACTTCCATACTTGTGAATCCAGTTTTTATTTTTGAACCTCAGTTTTTTACACTTGCAAATTAGCATGTTACGCACACTTTTGCATTTGTGTATCTGCAGGTGTTTTGTATTTGTTAAATATTTTTGAGTCTTTACAAAACTTGTTATATTTGTGGCGGTCATTTTATATTCACAGACTACACATTAACACACATTGGCGATCACCTCACACAAATGTCACTAATATTGACACAAGTCTATCTCTAATAAATGAAATAAGGAAAATCAGACGTAACTTTCATCGACTGGTGGGACACACAGGGGCGTGATGTGCTGTTTGGGGCCCTCCAGTTTGAGCAGCCTTTTGGCACGCTGGTTTTCATTACAGTCTGTGAATGTGGCTACGATCGGCAACAGCTGATGGTGGTGAAGGTGGTGGTGGTGAAGAACAAATAGCAACTGCATTTCACCATCATTTGTACAGCTGCCAGCGGCCCAAAACGCCCCCACATTACTGAGCCGCTAATAGCTCGTCTTCATTCCTGGAGAATGAGCCCACATCAAAGAGACAAGAGCAGAAAATAGTTTTCAGAGTGTGGGAATCACACTGGAAACGACTGGGTTTTACAAATCGATATTTCACCAGCTGCTGACACAGTGTATGTGTGTGTGTGTGTGTGGTGATGATAAGTGATGAAGTTGACCTCTCAGCTGAGTGGGTGAGGACTTCAACAGGACACACACGGCACTCGGTTGCCTCATTCTGTCTGCTCACCCATCTATGAAAATAGTTTAAGTCCGGACTCGTGAGAGGCGCCAGCTTGCTGGTCCATCCTTTTGTCCTGCGAGGGCTTAGTGTGTGAAAAGAGGAGGCCATTAGTTACAGCTGGATGGCCCATGCAGCACTCCGAGCTGTTGACCTCTGGCCAAATTGTTCACAGAGCTGTTGTTGTTGAAATATTTTATCACATCTACCGTGTTCTTGACTCAGACCGAGCGACTGTTTTCAGCTGATACAGACGGATTGATTAGGACTCACCTAAAGCGAGACCAAGTCATGATTGAGACCAAGAGTGTGTCGAGACCGAGACAAGACCAAGACTTTGGGGATTTAGACTGGGGTTGGGCTGGTGTGAAAATTGTCAAACTGGTTTGATATTACAAACACCAGACTTGACCAGTATATCGAATTTTACCAGGTGCCGGAGCTCTCCGTCCACACTGAAGCCAAATATGCACTTCTGTCACTTCATGTAAACAAACATAGCTATCAGCTGTTTGCTTGAGATCAGACGGGAGTGTAGCCTACTTGCTATCTTCCTATGTTTGTTACGTTACTTTTTAAAACCAAAAACACACATTTTATATTGTGATATTTACTGAAAATGACACATAGCCAACAGCAAGTAGCCTAGCTTGTTATTAGGGATGGTCATTTACAAGAAACTTTAATCTCCCCGGTGATTGTTATCCAGCTGGCTGCCACCTTATTTTTGGATTGAAATAAGGAGGTATTGTTAGATAATTCCTCATTTCAGCTTTATGAATCAACCATTCTTCACCCATTGTGGTTCTTCTAAAGCATGGGTGGGATGCTAATTTGTCCTGTAGGGGTCACTGTTCTGTCATGGATGTCTGTCAATATAGGTAAGACCCATGCATTCAGGGACAAGTGTTGCTAGACGGGGGAGCACACATAGTTTTTTGACCGCCATGTAAAGTCAGATGTACACTGCTCAATGTAATAGTAAAAATTTGTACCTTTGACGACTACAGCGGTGAGAAATGTATCAAATGAAGCATCAAAGAAGAAGAAGAAGAAGAAGAAGAAGAAGAAGAAGAAGAAGAAGTGGACTCTGTTTTTCACCTGATGAGCAGCAGTCAGTTAGGTCGGGCCATAAGAGACAAATTCTGCCACGTCTCCTCTCGTCACCCCAAAAAACACATGAACTTTCTTGTAAATAAACAGCGTGTGCTGCTTTGCCTCTACTGAATTTTGATCTTCATGTTGTCAACACTGGCCTGAGCTCGGCAATAAAGTGCACACAGCCTGTCAGACACTAGTGGCTCTGTTAGTCCGTTTATAAACATAATATTATGTTAATCTGGCAGGATTTAGCGCTGTGATGCCGTCAGCACAGGTTGCTGATGTGGGCTACTTTTTAATTTACCATAACTTGTTATAATGACAAATGCCAGTTCACACAGTTTGCATAAAATCAAACTGGTTTAAGCTCGTACTACAGATGGGAATGGCAAAACCAGAAACTGACTCAACTCTAGCTGAGTCTGAGATCAACACCAGATCTGCATGACACACACATGATAAAATGTGGAACATGCAAACCATAGTCACTCCTCAAATTGTTCTCAAAAGCTTTGTTCACACAGGACTCGTATTACCTGGGGACCTCTTGTAATTCTTGTAATTTGTCATAATGGTGGTGGTCATCTGTGATCTTTATCCCATCTGTTATTTTTCAAATTAATCCACCACAAATTTCCAAACAGAGGGCGTGAAATAATATTAGTCCTGTGCGAATCGCCATCTTGAATATTTGGGGTTGTATTTAGTTTTTTTCGTTTTCTCGGCGTCTCTTTTCTGCATCTTTCCCAGTTGAGAACTATGGAAGCTGCATTTTCAATGACAAAGGAAGGTTTTAACAGTATTTTAGGTGCAGGAGAGTCATCTCAATACACCGCATGGAGACTTATTTGCAGAAAAAAACAAGCTCAAATCAATCAGAAGAGCGATATCTCGAAAGATGATGAGTTGGATGACGTGTGACAATGTGTGGCAGAACCATTATTAGTAGGACTGTGTAATGTTTCTGTGTTGGGTATATTTGAGTTACAAATGCACCCTATCTGGGAGATAATGTCAGTGAACTGAGGTCCCCAGATAACAGTAGTCCAGAGCAAACAGTGCTCAAGACAAAGTCAAAAATACAGAACAACATCACATACCAAAAGAAGTTTCACTTGGAGAGAATGATCGAACGCTGGACACTGAGGAACCAAGACAAACTGACACAGAGAGCAGGGAACACATTGACTAAATACACTGGGGAGGAGGAAGTTTAATGAGGCACAGGTGAAAATAATCAGGGCGGGGTCAGTAATTACACAGGTGGGAAACACACAGGGGCAGGAAGTAAAGTTATCTGAGACAAGACAAGAGGTGAGAACAGAAAACAAAACAGGAAACGATGACAGATGACGAGAAACAGGAAAAAACAGACAGCAGACCATGATGTGACAAATGATGACCTCTTAGTAATCTGATGGCCCTCCTGCGGACCCTCATAAGGTTTAATATGATGATTATACATAAATGACTGCTGTATTTGTTGAGTTTAAGTGGTTTACTCATATGACCTTTTGTCTGAAGGCTACAGTCCTTGCGGTTCGATTGAGTGGGCCGTGTCAAGATACAACCACCACAGCAGGCTGTATAAATGATTCTGTCGGACAAAAATCAAACATAAAAAACAGTTGTCACTACTGTAATCCACAAGTCAATAATATGCAGATGAAAGGCTTCAGCTACAGCGAAAAATTATGTTTTTGGTACATTTTCCTTTTACTTGCGTTCTACGCCTGTCTCCTGACTCAAGGCCAGCCAGGAAGCATCTCTCATGTGGGGCAGTTTGTATTTTTTATGGTCAGTATTGCACATTATCAGCTGGTAAGACAAGGCAACAACCAATATCACCTTCACACATACGTCTTTGGTACTGGTTGAAGGTACAAATTTGCTGATCAGAGTTCATCAAAGTTGAACACACACAGAGGTTTAGGCATGTCCTCAAGTACTTTCTAATTAACAGTGTTTTAGTTTGTTTCTGTTACTAAAATTGGTCAAATTTGTTGCCATATCAAACTACAAACACTATTAATTGTAACTTACAGTGTCAACCATAAAATGTGATCAGGTTTTGGACCTTGTCCACTTTTGTGTCAGGATCGGGTGCAGACTGACTTGGCAGAGATGGCTGCCATTTTGTTTTTACATGGATTTGTGTATTGTGCTCTTACTACCACGAGATGGCACAAAAAAGTGTCCACAAATAAGGACAACAGGTCAAAGTTAAGTAGAATTAAAGTCGTGTCAACCCAAAATGTCCTCCAATGAGGACACAGGGTGTCAGGAAGATATAGAAAAATGCACCATTTTTGATTTAACGTGAGCTGTTGTTTGAACGCAGGCATATTTCCAGGTTGCTATCGGGCCCCTCCATCCCACAGGCGCCATTGCAACTACACTGCCTGCACTGTCTACATTTACGCCCCTGGCTTGCTTTTAATGGAGGTAAACAGGAGGTGAATATTCAATGGTGTTAATTTTGCTCATGTGTGTCTGTGCACTAAATTAGACAGCGCACAGGCAACTTGGTGATTTCCCCACAGCTGCGCTCTTGAAATAAAATCCTGAGTCCTCTTTGTCTGAGACTGAGAAAAAATGCAGTTGATTCAAGACCAATCTCAAGAGCTACAACACTGCATACTCCGCATTTGCTTTTTTTAAATCAATGAAGGAAATGCATTACTGCAGAGTAAAACAACCAGGTGAAGTAACGCACACCGAGCTGAGATCATTTCCATGTTTTTTACGAGGTCAGGCAGTTGCATTCCTCTGGTCAGGTGCTGATGGTTTGATGGCAGAGAGCTCACACAAACAATGTGCAAACAATCTGTGTCACTCCAGCTGAGCTAGCAGTTGCTGTTTTTTTTTTCTCTTCTTGGGCGTCATGACTGCTTCATGGCATGCAGTTTGGTGACGGTCCCAGGCAGCAGGCAGGCTGTGTGGCCTGTTTGTCCTGTCAGCTACTGGGTTCAAAGCCTCCGTAAACTCATTTGTTTGTCACAGTATTTGTCTTTGGCACTATAAATCATGTTACTTTGTTTAAATAAGTTGTTAAAATCACTGTTGGGATGTCAGATCGGTTACTGCACATGTTAACAGGGGGCTGCGACAGGGATAAGAAAGATTCCAACACTATAAATATACACAGTGTTATCATTAAACTTGTTGCTGGCTCTGGAAACACTCCACACTTATTTCGGGACACATTTGAGTCCTACTTTTACAAGTGTGTGTCAACAGATGTAAACTAACAAAAGCGATACCGCCCCAAAGTATTTTTAATTCAGTTATTGTTGTCTTACTGAGGAAATTTTTGAATGTTCTTGGATTTATTTTGTCTTTTCCACTGCAGATGACAAATATAGTCCATCACTGACGAAGGGGGGCACGCCAACGCGACAAAGCAGAGACAGGATATCAACTTCCTCCTCGGTGAGAGACAGATCAGCTCTCTATCTGTCAAGAGCAGCAGCTATCGACTCCACAGGAGGCTCGACACAGCCAGTGAGTTCCTGAAATGCCTCTCATTCCACCACACACCGAGGTCAAGGGCCCCAACAGGGAATGACCATAATGCTCCGTCTCAATGGGAGCGACTCAACATTTTACAATAAATCTATCGCATACTTTAAATGTTGTCTACAACAGATGTGCAGCACAGTGATGACATATATTTACTCCTGATCCAAACTGATCTAACCCTTAATTTTTCTGTTGTTCAACAGGAAATTGTTAATACTCCAGGAACAAGAGCTAAAAACAGCAAGGTACTGTATTACAGTCCTACAGTGTGTGGGTGCTGATAGATTGTCTGCTGTGTTGCTCACTCCTATGTTGCTTGTATGACCAAAGACACAGTTGACCTTTGACCTACATACAAGAACTCAACATGTACCATATAGTAACATATAATGAAATTACAGATCTATAAAAGCCAACTTAACTGCTTTATGTTCAGTAACATACTCTTCTACCATGGCCTCAGTAATTTAGATTTGATGTCAGTGTCAGGCAACAGTAATTTTGAAACAGTGAGGTACAGTGCCATAAACAGGACAAAATCAAGGATCACTTTTGTTTACATGCAGAGTAGCAGGGTTATCTATAAGATGTGCAAGCAGATATTTCCTCTACTCATATGAAGCCAGGGACAACAGCAACATTTAACAAAGGTAACATTACAAAATTTGGCTCCATTAGAGGTCACAAGGTTCACCGACACAACAACTGTCTTATACTAAACACGTTTTCCAAACAAATATAACATGCTAACATTATTAGCACAAGCCTATGGTATTTTACATTGTATAAATTAGCCTAGCAACAAGCAGAGATTTCCTCTACTCAAATGAAGCCAGGATAAATCACTCACAGGACTTAAAATGATATTTTTGTGGAGGCTTTATTGTCTTCAAAATTTATTGTTTCTTATCTGTGAAATTTAAGTAAATAAACCTTCGTTACCACTGAGGGAAATGGTTTCAGCTTACAAAACAAGGGGTCTGCGCCGTCACAAGGTGCATGTCAGGCTATGGCATAAATTTGACGCAGAAGTACAAATCCTGCTTTAGCGTTTTCGGTGTCGTTAGGTGACGGCAATCCAGATCAAGTTCGACGGTGGATCGCAGTCTTAGTAATTTATGGTGACGCTTGCTGCATCAAGTCCTTTTCCTCCTTTCCCTCTGCCGCTAAACCTCTGATTAGTCACTCTGTTCAAAGACCACTTCTTTATTTAGCTCATTTTCAAGTTATTCAATTAAAAGTGTTTTATTGCCGTTTAAACTTAGGCTCTTATATGGCCATTCTAAACATTGTTCAGGATAAAAGCAAGAAAAAATAATGTAATGACCTGTTCAGTCGGCTCAAAAATCTCCTCCCAGCCAGGCTGAGGAGGTGAACAATGGCCGGGAGAAATTGAGAAAAGCACCAGGTAGCAAAAGAGTCAAGTAGAGTCGAGTTGAGCTGAACCATGCAGTGGAAATGATTAGTGTTGTATTTGCAGCTTTTTTTCACTGCCCACAAGTGGCCAAAAAACAAATCTATTGCTGGTTTAATGCAGATTTATATTTCAAAAGGCAGACATTTAGTTATTAATGTAAATTAGTGCTCTTACTGTGTAGACTAGGTGTCTGTGTGATGTTTGCTTACTAACAGCTGTGAAGTGTTTTGTTAACCTTGGTGTGACAGAGGATGGTTTGCTGTGAAAAACATCAAGCGAGCATAGACGAAGGTAAAGTATGGCTTCACTTGCTAAAATGCATGTCATTCTAATATTTGCATGTATCATAACTAATACTGTTTTTGATAACTGAAACCTGACAATATTACTCCCGTCTGTCTTTCATTTAAAGATGGCTGAAGCAGCCGGGAAAATCACAGTTTCGCAATCATCTCATGATGACGATGACCTTCCTCTCCCACCACCTCCTCCCGTACCACCCAGACCCCTTGACTATGAAGGGCCTTCACCATTAAGTGGTCTCCCTCTGCCTCCACCTAAAGAAACCTTTTCCACATTCTACCAGCAACGGCAGAAGAGCGAGCTAAAGAGGCTCTTCAAACACATCCACCCAGACCTGAGGGCAAGTCTCGATGACGCCGTGGACGATGACATATTGAAGGCGGTGCAGTCAGAAAGCACTCAGGCAGCGGACGCAGCTTATCAGGGTGAAGTGCAGTCCATGAGGTGGATCTTTGAGAACTGGACTCTGGACAATATTGGGGATCCTCATGCAACCAAGAAGCTGCTGGATGATGAGGAATTAAAAGGTGGAAACGTCAGAGGCACCTCCTCCATGTTTGAACACATTGACGACACCCAACACATGTCCCCTAAAAGACAGCCTTCTGTCAGAGGGGACGTGAGAACATCGACATGGCTGTTCGAGTCTCAGCCCTTAGATTCTTTAAGTAAATCGAAAACAGAAGAAGGTGAACTGTTCGAAGCAGTGCTGAAAGAACCCATCCAGCCAGGAGATGTGACAGGTGCTCGGCTGCTTTTTGAATCTAAACCATTGAGTGACCTGGGACGCTGTAACTCCATAGAAGACCAAAGCTTCCTCAAACTGAGATCTGAGCTCCAGGAGCAGAAAGGAGACATCAAGAAGACTTTAAAACTCTTCCAGGCAGAACCCTGCTGTGCCATCAGAGACAACAGTGGCAACATCCATGAGATTAAATCCATCTGCAGGGAGGAGATCAACAGCAGCAACATCAGTACTGCACGTTGGCTTTTTGAAACCCAGCCTTTGGATCTGATTAATAAGGGAGCGGATGGAGTGAAAATAATTCGGGGTATATCTCTGGAAGAGGGGCACAGAGGAGGAGTTGATCAGAAGAGGTGGATGTTTGAAACGCAGTCTTTTGACACAAGAAAAGAGGTCATGGGAGTGGGCAAGTTTGAGGGGATGGTTGCTGAATGTGCAGGAGAGGCCGATGTCGAGAACAAGAGGAAGCTCTTTGAGATGCAGCCCTTGGCAGCACTAAAAGGAGACTCTGAAGAAAAGTCTTTGGAAAAGGAAGAAATTATCGCAGGAGATGTCAAGACTTCTCTGTGGCTGTTTGAAACTCAACCCATGGAGACCCTTACCGATAGCTATGAAGTTGGACGGTTGAAGAAAGTCACCCTTTCAGCTGACGAACAAGGAGAAGTCAAAGGCAAAAAACAAATGTTTGAGAGCAGCAGTATTCAAAAGAACGTCTCATTCAAAGAACAAGACATTGAAAAGGGCGATGTCAAGGGATTCAAACATCTTTTTGAAACAATTCCTCTGAGCAAAATTGCTCATTCCGATGGAACAATTGTTGAAGAGGAAAAAGCTATAGCAGCAGGAAATGTAAAAGGCAACAAAGCAATGTTTGAGACAACGCCTTTATATGCAATAAAGGACAGCTCTGGAAACCTCCACACAGTCACAACAGTCAGCCGAGAAGAATTCATCACAGGAAAGGTCCAAAACTACAAGTGGATGTTTGAGACCAAGCCTTTAGATGAGCTTGTAGAAGGGAAAGGAGATGTTGAGGTAATCAAAGGCATCACCAGACAGGAGGATACATCGGGTGATGTCAAGATGGCAAAGTGGCTGTTTGAAACCCAGACAATAGATGGGATCCATTCCAAGTTCAACCAGACAGCACAGGATGCTTCTGTACAAGAGGAGCATCGCAGAGGTGATGTCAAGAACTGTAAATGGTTATTTGAGACACAACCAATGGACATTTTGTATGACAAATCAGAAAAAGTAAATGATAAAGAAGCCATTGACAATACTGATGTCAAGTCCATTACTTGGCTTTTTGAATCACAGCCTCTGGACAGCATTAAAGACGGCGAGGAGTACAATTTGAAGCTCTGCGACACCATACGGGATTCTGTCAAATCGGAGGTTGATGTTAAAACAGTCAAACATGTTTTTGAAACAGAGACCTTGGACAGATTAAGAAAGGATGCAAATTCTGAACACAATGTGCGATGTGTCAGCCAGGTCAACTTTCAGTCTGGAGATGTCTCAAGAGTCAAAGAACTCTTTGAATCCCAGTCCCTCGACGAAATAGGATTGGAAATGGTTATATCTGATGAACAGAAACAAGACGAACACCTTGAAAAGGGTTCCGTACATAAATTTACTTGGATGTTTGAAAATTGTCCCATGAGCCAGATCAATAAGGACAATGATGATGCAAACATTCAGACAGTCAGTGGTGCAGAGAGCGGTGATGTACAGAACAAAAAGTTTGTATTTGAAACTTCCTCACTGAACAAAATGCATGATCAACCCCTCGAACTGAAGACAGACACTGTGGAGGAGCCTGTGAGCAATGTTGACGTAAAGTCGAGCACCATGATGTTTGAGTCCCTGCCACGATATGCAATCAGAGACAAAGAGGGCCAGTTTCATGAAGTTACAACTGTGAAAAAGGAGGAGATAATGAGTGGGGATGTAAGAGGAGCAAGGTGGATGTTTGAGACAAAACCCCTTGACGCCATCAAGGCAGAGAAGGAAGTATACGTGATCCGAGCTGTTACCCAAGAAGATGTCAAGAAAGGAGATGTCAAATCAGCCAGATGGAAGTTTGAGACACAACCTCTGGACTCCCTTACCAGCCGAGATGAGCCATCTGTCAGGGTCATTGAAGACTTGGGAAGCGGTAATGTGCAACTCAATAAACAGATATTTGAATCTGATCAATCAAGCCAGAAGTTCATGCGAATGGTTAGTGTCACTGACGTCCAGCAAGGTGACGTGAGAACCTCCACCTGGCTCTTTGAGAATCAATCCATTGACAGTTTGAAAGGGGAACCTCAGGAGCAAGGTCCAGTAAAAACAGTCCACAGAGAAGACAGCCAGAAAGGAGATGTGAAACGCTGCACATGGCTGTTTGAATCACAGCCACTGGACAAGATCAAGGAGCCTGAGGATACCTTAGTGCAAGGTACAGAAGAGGAGATACCAAAATCTGATGTGAAGTGTACTACTTGGCTCTTTGAGACCACTCCACTGGACAAAATCACTGCCAGCAGTGTGTCTGACACCTTGTCTTATCTGTATCAAATGAATTTTCTTCACTCAAGCGGCATCATAATAGAAGCAAATGAGAGGCAAAATGTGAACATGGCAAAATATCTGTTTGAAAGCAATGAAGGTGTGCAAATCCAGAAAGAAGAGGTTGTTGGGGGCAACATCAGGAACATTATGTTACAGCTTTTACTCAAACCAACCCTAAAGCCCCAAGTTAGACTTCTTAGAGAAGTGGAGAAGGGTAAAGTGAATACCACAGCAGTTGAACTTCCAGTCTACCAGTCAGCCACAACTATCACCCTTGAGAGGGATCAAAGAGTACAAAACATCGTCCAGATGATCGACGAACTGCTGGTTCAAGATAAGGATTTGAAAAAGGGAATCATAATGCAAGAGACTGCAGAGGGGCAAGCAGAGATGTCAGTTTATTCACTTATCTACGAAACCAAAAGTGAGAGTCACATCATAGAGAAAGGAGACGTAAAGTCTACGATTGGAAATCTGTTGGCTACTGCCAGCAGTCAGAGGACTGCAGCATCATGCAGAGTGGATGAAACTGAAAAGGGAAATGTGAATTTGTACAAAAGTTGCATTGAGAAAGGAGATCTGCACTATCTGAAAAGTCTTCACACTGAGGCATCGGGAGATGAAGTTGATTACAGCTCTCTGGCCGAGGAGCATATTGAAATAGTTCAAGGGGATGTGAGGGAAGCAAAGAGAAGCCTCTGCCAGCAAAGAGAGCAGGTAGAGCGAACCATTTCTGATGTTTTACCAGGAGATGTAAAAAACACCAAAAAAGTTTTCTCGTCTGAGTGCTCTGTCAATGTTGAAAATTTTATTCCAAAGGAAGAAATAATCCCTGGAGATATCTTATCAGCAAAGCAACAACTTGCGGTAAAGCAACCTGTCACTGTGGATAAAGAGGAAATTGTGGCTGGAGACATCAAGGCAACAATGCAGTCATTAGAACGTGCAAAGCAACAGAGCATGTGTGTGGAGAAGGAGATCATTACACCTGGAACTATCTATGAGATGAACATGCCGGGCCCTGAAACTGAAGGAAGCCAAGCCCAAAAAGAGGTCATTATATCCGGAGATGTAAAAGCGGCTAAAAAGTCCCTTGAAATGGCTAAGCAGCAAAGCATGCATGTGGAGCGTGAAGTCCTTGTCCCAGGAAAAATATACAACCTGAATGTCACAGCACAAGAGGAAAGCTCCTCCACAGCGATGCAATCCACATGTTCGGCTTCCTCCAGATGTCAGCAAACCAAGACTTTTCCAAAGGTCAGTGATGCAGAGAAAGATCAGGGAAGCCATGTTTCCTTTAAGGCTTGTCAACCAAGTGCAATTATAGTCAGTAATTGTGCACCAGAATCACTGCCACCTTTTGTAAGTTGTGAGTGTAATGGTCAGACAACAGAAGAAGAGACAGAGGAAGTTATCAGAGGAGATGTGAGGGCAGCTATTAGGTCTCTGCAGAGTGCAGCCACGGAGCAGAAGCTCTTAGATAAAGAAGATATTGTAAGAGGTAATGTCCAATTGGCTCTGCAATCTCTTGAGAAGTCTAGTGTAAATGTATCCAAAGGAGACTATAAAGCTGCAATGATATACAGGAATTCAGGGAAGGCTTGTCCAGGGAGGAGCAAGCAGTGTGTTGTGGTGTCTATCCCTCCATCTGACACAAAATTGTCTCCTTCAATTTCAGTAACCTGTGAAGGACAACCACCCATTACAACACAGAATTCAACACCCAACCCTGTAGCAAATGGAAACTCTAAATCATCCAGCTCTGTGCATGTAACTCCACCTCCACTCCCCCAAAAGACAAGTGAGAAACTACAGGAGAAGAAGCCAGCTTTGCCACCAAAGCCTCAATGGACAAAATCAGTAGTTGTTGAAGAACCAAATATGTTGCCTACTCCTGAAGCTGCTTGCCCCATCAAAGACCACATAGTAAGCACAGTGATTCCTCCAAAACAAAGCAAACAGTTTCCTACACCCTCTCCAGATAAACTACAACAAACCACAACTCAAGGCAAAATCGGTAAAGAGAACTCACATGAAACATCCCACAAAAAGTGTACTGAGTTATTGCAAGACTCAAATCAAACAAGTCTACCAACGCACTCAACGGTTCAAGAAATGAAGAAAGGGAGCAAATCAGACTGCCAAGTAAGGATGCCAAACAGTACTGAAGTGGAAATGGAGAGAAATGTAATACAGAAAATCAATGCAGCTGAGGAGATTCAAATGTGCATGAAGAGTTACGCAGAAGATGGTAAACATGAAATGAACATGAGCTTGCAGGCTGCTCTACAGAACTTTGAAAGAAAGGAAAGTAAGACTCTAGATAAAAGAGCCCCTTCATTGTCCAAGAAGGTAAAAGTGATAAATGACGTTAGTGACCATGAACAAACCAACAACACCACTGTTCAACAACAAAAATCAGCTCCCAAGAAAGACACTGAAGACGCACAGCAAACATCAACAACCAAGAGATGCCACGTACAGCAAAATGACCCCAATGAAAAGCAACCAGAACTCGAGGGTAAAGTTGTTTTAAGAGAAAAGAAAGTAAAGGAGACAGATGAAGAAAGACGACAAAGGCTTTCTGTCCACAAGGAGGAGATAATGAAGGGAAATGTGAAAGCGGCCATGGAGATCTTTGAAAATCTGAAGAAACGAGAGGAACTCAAAGGAATCCTGTCTCAGGTGCGAGAGATAGAAGGAGAGACCAGCAGTGTAGACGTTAGCTCCTTTAAGACATTATATGAGACTGTCCCTGCTTGGATGGTCACACCAACTGGAAAGCAAAGTAAAACGGAGGAAAAGAAAGTCGAAGTAGAGACACAGGACGATGATCTAGAAAGCATTTCCTCGGTCGAGACTGCATTTGAAGATCTAGAAAAGGCAAGCAAGGAAATAATGAATCTGAAGGAACAAACGTTAGCAAAACTTCTTGACATCGAAGAGGCAATTAAAAAGGCTTTGTACTCCGTCTCCAATCTGAAATCTGAGGCTGACATTGCAGGCTTGTCGGGACTTTTCGATGAATCTTTGAAATCTGAGCAAAACTTTCAACCCACCAACAACATCAGGAAAATAAGTATTGGGTCAAGCAAGGCCAAATCGGGGCAAATCAAAGAGGTATCCATTTCGGATTCAAATCCTGCCAAACAAGACATGCCGAGAAACAATAAGCCACTCATCAGGCAGGCCTCCTCCCAGTCTTCCCCATCATTTATCTCCATTCACTCAGCTGCCAGAAAGCCTGCCGAACAACCCAAGTCACCCATGTCAACATTTAAACCAAAAACAGAGGGTGATTCTCAAAGTTGCCACGATGTAAATAGTAATGTGGGACAGGAGGGTGCTGCTGCTGAACCTTCAAAGAATGGCAACAGTCCTGCACAACGCAAGGTCAGCGTGCTTGAAGTGAAAACTGTTCCAGAGCAACCCGCAGGAATAGTTGGAACAAAGACCGTCAGTGAAACATATGAAGAGACCGATGGCTTTGGCAATGTATTTGTCTCTTCTGTGACTTCAACATTCGTCACCAAACAGTCTGACAGTAAATCATCAGCACTGTTTGAGGTTGTCGGGAGTCCGGCCAGATATGAAGTCATGACATCCCCCTTAATTCGAAGAGCTGGTCGCCCCTTTGATGATAAAGTGTTGAGCAACGAGGAAGGGACAGTGTTTGTAACATTTAGCCAACCGAAGGAAAAGCACTAAATAAGACAAGCAGTGTGTTTCCTGGTCCTTTAATTTTAGGAAAGTTAATTCTTCCATTTGTGTATTTATTATAATGTGTTTTCATTTCATTCAAGATTTTGTTAGTCGTAAAATTGATCCCATGAAATCATTAAAATGTTGACTGCTAATTAAAACAGAATTTGTCTTATAGATTTTATACTGTAACCACATGATAAAGTGTTAAGTTCTTTTATTAAAGCTAAGCATATAGTTGATACTGTTGCTTTGTTGTGTAAATTGTCAAATAAATAGTTTAAAAGGTGATTGTAAAAATGTATTCTTTATATTGGTCCACTTATTACTCCACAATTTTTAAAACCTAAAGTTAGCTAACCCTTTAATGTACATTTAATAAAAACTGTAAATTTAATTTCTTAGCATCAGCACCTTTACCATAAAAAGACAATCCAAGCGTTTGGTTGAACTTAGCTTTAGATGGTAAAAAAATCATACTTACAAAATTATCTTAGCACACATATAATAGATAACAATGACTGTATCATTTAACAACAATTACTGATCAGAAGCCTTATTTTGTAGCAAACAGTCAGTGTAAACTTAATTACATTAGCTTAGCATCACTGCCTTCACCATAGAAGGACATATCAACCGTTTGGGAGGGCAGGTTTTTAAAAAATGATTTGACCCTTACTAGATTCTTATTTTCATATAAAGTTACATAAATCTATTCAATAAGACCTCTGAACTATAGCATGTCAAAAAAATATGCCTACCTGTAAAAGTCCCTCCGCACCTTTTTTGTTACTAATTTCCTGTAGGAGGCGAACTGAAAAAGCAGACAATTTAAAGACATGACATCTAGTGGATTTTTGTCAGCCTAATATGCCCAAACAGAACGGTAGAGATAGCTCGATCAGGTTGATTTTTCATAAAGATATAGTGACTCAAAATGTGCTCGCCCAAACTGCTGAACAGAACGTTGAAGGGTTAAACAGAAATAAGTATGCTTAAAGGAACAGCTCAACACAGGGCTGGGTAATATATTGATATTATATTAATATAGTGATATGAGACTAGATTTCATCTTAGATTTTGGATATCGTAGTCATATCATATTACAAGTGTTGTCTTTTCCTGGTTTTAAAGGCTGCGTTGCAGAAGAGTGATGTAATTTGTAATTTGATTTTACTAGACTGTTCTTTTACTTGTCTATACCCACTTAGTCATTATATCCACATTACTGGTGATTATTTATCAAATATCCTATCAACAAAGCACCAAAAGTCAACCCAACAATATTGTCGCAACATAACAACACTGAGGAATTTGGTCAAAAATATTGTGATACTTGATTTTTTCCTATGTTGCCCAGCCTTTAATCAACATTTTGGAAAATACACTTTCACACTGGCTTCCTGACAGAGAGTTATCAGTAACACTCTTATATCTGTTATAGTTGAATATAAGTCAGCAGCCAGTTAGCTTAATTAGCACAAAGACTGGAAACAAGGGAACAACTAGCCTGGCTCCATCCAGAATAATCAAATTCACCTGCTAGGACCTCTAAAGCTGATTAATTAACACATGACATCTCATTTGTTTATACAAAAACTAAAGTGCAAAATTCCCAATTTGCTGTGTTACTGGGGGATATGTACCGGACTAGCCTGCTTCTTGGGTGGGAAGAGTTGGAAGTAACTTATTTCCTAAAATGTTGAACCATTTCTTAAAAAAAATAAAGAAATACTTCACCCGCAAAATGGTCATTTGTATAGTAATTATTCTCTGTGTGATACCTTAAATTCATGAAGATAACTTTACCTCACATACCTCTGCAGTAATTGGAGATCCCAAGAAAGGTAAACATTTTTCATGAATTCAATTAAACTGGGACTGCGTTTAACAACAGCAAAACTACATCCATTCACAAACTCTCACACAACTTGTGCAGTGTAATCCAAGTCTCATTTATCCAGTTGTATGCTCAGTACTTCACAAACACATGCAGTTTTGCTCCGATTTAAAACTATTCAGCATAAACAGTCTAACGCATGAATGAGTAGCGTGTCTGGGCAACTCACTCGTAAGTAGAAGTATTTCATATTGTCACATTTTAGCAGGAATGCATGTGTTTGGGAAGCACTGAGCATACAACTGGATAAATGAGACTTGGATTCTACTGTATGGGTTGTGTGAGAGTTTTTTAATGGACATTTTGATATAGTTTTGTTGTTGTTAAACTTGGACCCCAATGACTCCAATTCATTACGAGTGTTCACTTTTTTTATACAATGTTCACTGTAAAGGTGCGAGAAAAACAAAAGGTTTCTTCATGGATTTAAAGTACCATATACAAATGGTTATTTTGTGAGTGGAGTATCCCTTCAAGTTATCAAAAGAAATATGTTTTAAAATGTGGACATAAATATCTTTCACCTTAATGATAGATGCCATTGTGTGTTTGTATCACTACACGTTAGCAAAATACTGTATACTTGACTGAATTCTAAGTCTTAAACTTCAAATGACATCAGCTATCAGTGTCTACATGGCACATCTAGTCAACACATTCTCACTCCGAACTTGTCACATATCGAAATTTGGGCTTTCCACGTCCAGATACGATTTGAAAGGTACCCTGGGTGTGTAAGTTGTTGATGCTCTGGGACACCGTGTCAAGGTCTGCCTGTTACATGCATTGTCCTCTTTCAAAATACACTTCTGTTTTCACAGGAAATTTACAGTTTTCATACTGACTCCCACTACGTCAGTACAACAACACAAATTGATATCTTTTTTCCTCCAACAACGAACACACATGGTTAGGTTTAGGAGAAAAGAACAGGCTTTATAATCTTACAGGACGTGAACACCACTCTCTCAGGTGAAAGCTGGTGTTTGTTGGACCTTTCCGCCACCCCCTCCGCCCACCTTACTCAGCCATTCAGTGCCCACGTTTCCCCCTGATGCCACCTGACCAGCCGCATATCATGCTAATGTTGACGCATGGCTTTTTTTTGTCAGTGTCTGACGTCGCAAGTTACAGCCCCAAATTTCAACGACTTTGGAGTGAGGCTGGGCTGATCAAGTACACTTGCAGGTCCAGGACATGGTTAGTGTAGCTTAGCTGAAACACTGGGGTATGTGAAATCAACTTGCCTCCATCAAAAGAGAAAATTCCTCCTAACAACAATTTGCAAGTCACCTGAAGTTGGTGTGTGAAGACTCACTTGGGTGAAATCAGGACAGGACTTCCATGCAGCAAGCAGACACCAGCCTTTGTTTGTCAGGAAACTGCTCCAATGCGAAAGCTGACTGCTCCTAAAAGAAAAAAAAAGTGTGTCATTTAACATTTTCTAACTCTGGTAAATCATTCCAATACAGGCATAATGCTGGAGAAATAAAAAGATGACACAGAAGCCAAATGAGGTAAAATGTTTAACATAAAATATCTTAAACTGAATTTGTTTTATCATCATAGTTTGGGTTACCTGCCAAGGACATGTGTTCAGCCTGTTTGACACCCGTCTATCCGATGGAGAAAATGGTGGCCAATAAACTTGTCCTGCACAAGAACTGTTTCTGCTGTAAACACTGTCAGAAGAAGCTCAGGTGAGATGTTTTTCACAGTGTGATAAAATGAAATCAAATCTACAATTGTAAAAATAAAGATATTTACCCAAATTAATACCATAAATCACCAGAATGAAAATAGCTTCATTGCATGGCGTCATTCATCGGTGTGCTGTCCAGATGAAGGGAAGGCAAGTGGGGGCAAAGACAACCAACACTGCACAAATGCCTATGATGTGATCTGTTCACACCTGTTCCAGTCGATGAAATTGGATAAAAACAAAGGCCGCTTTAAGTCCTGAAAACACCAGAACGTAAAGGGGAGAAGTAAATTAAAAAAATAAAAACAAGAAATAAAGCAGCAGATGTGAATCAAAAACCTCCCTCTTCAGTCTGGAGGAGCAGAGTCAACTTAACGTTAACAAACGTTAACTTAAGCATTCTATTGAACATGCCTTGAGCTGGATGCAATTACAATATGCTGTGACAACTTCTCCATGTTTTAAGCCATGACCCAGACTTTCAGCAACGTTTCACCAGACCTCTGGGAACAGTTTACCTAGAAGATAGAAAATAGTTGTTAGCTAGTGTTAGCCAGTAAAGTTAGCCTGACAGCAGTGTATACCATAGTCAAAATAACCTTTATTTCCATTTGCAGTACTATATTTGGCGGTATGGCTCTGTTCTGGGGACTCTCTGCCTCTTCTAGGCCTACACAGAAAGCCAAAGGCAGAGAGCACAAACCTCCTTGCCCTTCCATGCGCCTACATGGAAAGCGTAAGCAGCAGCAAAGACCTCCGGGAACAGAACAGAGCACGGGTCAGTTTCAAATATAAAAGACAGTTACACTGTTTGTCATTACTCACCCTGCCAAAAACAAGACTGCAGTCTTTTCAGCCGTCGACCGAACCACACACAAAATAGTTACAGTCCATTAGAGTCTTCTTTACTTTTATCAGCTCGCCGTGTGGCGTCAGTAACATTAGAAGGTCTGGAGGACAAAGTAATTTCTAAAGCAAATCAGTCAAGTTGCGGGGAAAAAAAATCACTTTTCCTCATTTTGTATGAATCACATCCAACATGAGTTTCAATATCCTGACAATACCTGCTGCCTGAAGGTTCATCCAACCCTTTGATGCAGTCACTTCCCTCTATTTACAATTGACACAGTATAAGGATTTATCACTTCCTTCCCTTCATCTCAATTTTGCGTGTCTTTATAGTCATGTGATTGCAAACAAAGTATTCTAATATCAATGTGCAAAAATATTATTACAGAGGATTTTGGAAATTAAACCATGATAATTGCAAATCTCCAATACACTGAAATCACTCACAACAGCTGATCCAGCAGGAATAAATCAATACAAATTAAACAATATCTGATTTTGAATTTTGTTTTATATTACAAAAGATTTCTCACTTTATTGCAGCATCCACAACTATTCATCTCTGTATGGAGAGTTCTACTGCATTCACCACTACCAGCAGCTTTTTAAAAAAACAGGAAATTACGATGAGGGTTTCGGGCACAAGCAACATAAAGACCTCTGGCTTAAAAAAGACAAAGGCATAGATGAACCAGAAGCTGCACCCACAGCCAAAATTACAAAAAGCAACTTGAGCATGTCTGATGGCTCCAGAGAGTCCTCTACTGGTGTGATCATCACAAAGTCTAATGTAAAAGAGCTGGGATATAGTGGTGCTGATGTGAAGGGCAAACT